CAGGATCATTCAAATCTGGTTTTTTTGTTATTGGGATAGGTGAATTCTTATGGATCCATCCCCCGAGGGAACCGGACATGATAATTTTTCATCATCCGGCTCGAGCAAGAATTAACGAAACTAAATTAATACATACAAAATATATATATGTTATCCACAAGTATTTAATATGTAAAAAAAAAGAATTATCCGATTCCAAAGTTATTGCAACTAAAAGATTGCCATAAATTCCATTCTTACAGATAAATGCTCAACACCCACGTAAGCTTAAAAAGTTGATCATAATTAAGTGCTTTCTGGATCGTCTCATACCTTATAAATTCGTCCTTAATCTCAAAAATTATATCGAGGTTTTTCAAATATAAAGGATTTACTTGTTACTAATGGAGTCTACCCTCTACTTTTCATTAGATCCTGTATTCACTCCGATAGTATCATAAATCGAGTTGATGCAGAGGAAATGAATGCATTTACATACTATTAATTTTTTTTTTTTTTTTTCGTAAAAAATAGCTAAAAACACAATCAGGATTTTGTTCCATCTCTTAATCTACTAGATCTACTGGATTTTACGGAGCCCACTCATCCACGACATCGTCGGGTATGATCATAGAAAAGATTCTCTTCAAGTGAACCAGCCTATCCCCTGTATGGGGCTTACACAGTGGTTGGAACAAAGACACATTTGGTTGTGAATTCCAATGTAGCAGATAAAGTCATATTTCTGCACGGCCCCGATCAATAGTTCAAGTCACACACTCCCATAATCCACTTTCTCTTCATAGAATTCCCTTCAACTTTTATGTCAAAAAAATAATACAATATTGTGGAGTTGAAGGGAAATATCCAAATACATGTCTTATTTTGTTAATAATCCATATTTATAGCAATAAAATATAAAATACTACCGTTCCTTCACCAAGTAATAAGATAAATGAGTAATTACAAATATCTAGAATCTATATTATTTATAAGGGACCCGAAATACCTTGCTTACGTATCATTAGGAAATGCATTAACATAAATACGGCCGTAAGAAGAGGTAATACAAAAGTGTGTAAACTATAAAAACGAGTCAAAGTGGATTGTCCAACACTAGCACTTCCACGTAATAATTCTACAAGAGGCGATCCTATTACCGGAATAGCGTCAGGTACACCTGTTACAATTTTGACTGCCCAATAACCAATTTGATCCCAGGGTAAAGAATAACCTGTTACACCAAAAGATGCGGTCAATACACCCAGAACCACGCCAGTAACCCAAGTTAATTCGCGAGGTTTTTTAAAACCACCGGTGAGGTATACACGAAATACGTGCAGGATCATCATCAGGACCATCATACTTGCCGACCATCGATGAACTGATCGGATTAACCAACCAAAGTTAGCTTCAGTCATTATATATTGAACAGAAGCAAAAGCCTCCGTAACAGTTGGACGGTAATAAAAAGTCATAGCAAATCCCGTAGCTACTTGTACTAAAAAACAAGTAAGGGTAATTCCTCCTAGACAATAAAATATGTTGACATGCGGAGGAACATATTTACTAGTTATATCATCTGCAATCGCCTGAATCTCAAGACGTTCTTCGAACCAATCATAAACTTTATTGAGATAGGTGGTACTCCCCCTCCAAGAACTGTATATGAGAATTTCATCTCGTACAGCTCAAACAAAAAAAGACCCAAAGACTCATTGAAACAGATATGGAATATAAAGTTTTCAATTTCTCTCTCATTCAATATTATTTAAAGATATGAAAGAGTCAAAATGCGAAAGCTCTTCTTTGTGGTTAAATGCCAAAAAATCAAGTCAGCTCATACGTTTTTATGTTGTACTGGCTTCTTGAATCTTCTCGATTGCCTATCTTTATTGTTTTTTTTATTTGGTATTTGTATGGAATGGGAATGCGGATTTCTTCTTGTTTTCTTTATTATTGATAGGAATTCTCTTGTTAAGACCCTATTTAACTAATCAATTGAAACCTCAGATTCATACGAGAACCACGATAATTCAATGAAACCTTCAAAGCCAAAAGTTCACTGAGTGAGAACCGTTGGATCATCACTTATTCAATCAAAAAACTAACTAAAATAACACTAAAAAAATCAAATACAAAGAAGCATTTGTCCTTTGATCCAAATAAGAGTTTAAAAGCAGAAAAGATTTTGATTTATTAAAGTTTCTAAGATAGAACGGAAAGAAGTCCGGCTACGAGGTCTGAGTATTAAGTATGAATCATAGTTCGAATACTTTGTGATCTATTTGATCCATTTCGTGCTTCAGATACTCGAATGAATATCCGACGAAGTAAAACCATCTTGATAAAGATGACAGACCCCATTCTCTGTACTATCCATAGGGTCAATTCTAACAAGTCACACACTCATATTCCGGAAATATACAATGCAGAAAAAATTTCGCGGTCGAACTACCAAAGGAGAATAGGCTAAAATTTTTAGACCTACATACTTTCCTTTTTTGTATCGAACTAAAAGCTAGGACTTCAAGATTCTTCTCAGTCTAATTCACTGAAATTCCATCCAGTAGAACAGAAGAATTATAAATCTCCAAAATAATGGATAGGAATACCGCAAATAGAGCCATTGCAACACCCATCAAAGGGGTGGTTCCCCATCCAGGAGCTACTTTACCATATTCGGAATTCAATGGTTTCAATAACTTCCCCACAGTAGTGCTTCTTGGACCCGATCTAGAACTATCTTCAACAGTTTGTGTAGCCATAAATCTTATTTTGTATTCATTACGATCTGTTGACTTTGTATACCATTCCGTTGTAAATAAACGATCTTAGCATAGATCCATTGTGGTCTTTCAATTTTATAATAATGGAAACAGCAACCCTAGTCGCCATCTTTATATCTGGGTTACTTGTAAGTTTTACCGGGTATGCTCTATATACTGCCTTTGGGCAACCCTCTCAACAACTAAGAGATCCATTCGAGGAACACGGGGACTAGTTGACGTAATCAGCCTCCAAATATTTGGAGGCTGATTACGTCAATGAAGATAATAAAAAATTATTTCATTTTTTAGTTGAAATTTTAGGTGGTTCCCGAAAAAAAATAGCGAAAAAAATTATCCCTAAAGTAGATACTAAGAGAAATGTATAAACCAATGCTTCCATAAATTTGATCGTGGTTTACAATTATAGCTTTCATACCTGTTTTGTTTATGTTTATTTAGGAGATGTTTATTTAGGAGTATCCCTCCGGATAAAGAAAGAAAAAGAGTCAAAGAAACGGCAGCAATTTAATTAAAGATTCCTACAGTACCCTACCTATTAAATAAAATTGCAAACAGAAACTAGACGCAAAAAAGCAATGTTGCATCAGACTGCTTGTCTTTTTGTAGTTGGATCTCCAAGTTTTTGGAATGCCCCAAATTCCACTTGAGCATCCAAATCGGGATCAATACCGGCAAAAACATCTCTGAAGAGGGTTCTAGCACCATGCCAAATATGTCCAAAGAAGAAAAGTAGAGCAAACGAAGCATGCCCAAAAGTAAACCAACCTCTTGGACTGCTACGAAAAACACCATCGGATTTCAAAGTAGCACGATCTAATTCAAAAATCTCACCCAATTGAGCCCGTCTAGCATATTTTTTCACAGTTGCGGGATCACTATAACTCACTCCATTGAGTTCACCACCATAAAACTCAACAGTTACACCTACCTGTTCGACACTATATTTGGATTCTGCTCTTCTAAACGGGACGTCGGCTCTAACAATTCCGTCTCCATCTACCAAAACAACCGGAAATGTTTCAAAAAAAGTAGGCATACGGCGTACAAAAAGTTCACGCCCTTCTTTATTTCTAAAGACGGGGTGTCCTAACCATCCAACAGCTATTCCATCCCCATTGTCCATTGAACCCGCTCGGAATAACCCCCCTTTTGCTGGATTATTACCAATATAATCATAAAAAGCTAATTTTTCAGGAATTTTAGACCAAGCTTCTGATACACTTTGATTTTCAGCTAGTCCAGCACTAACTCTTCGATATATTTCTTGTTGAAAGTATCCCTGATCCCATTGATAACGAGTAGGACCGAATAATTCGATGGGAGTAGTTGCAGAACCATACCACATAGTTCCAGCAACAACAAAAGCTGCAAAAAAGACAGCAGCAATACTACTGGAAAGGACGGTTTCAATATTTCCCATACGTAATCCTTTGTATAGACGTTGAGGCGGACGAACACTAAGATGAAATAAGCCCGCTAATATACCCAACGTCCCTGCTGCAATATGATGAGAAGCTATTCCTCCCGGAACAAAAGGGTCAAACCCCTCGACGCCCCACGCCGGATTTACAGGTTGGACCTTTCCGGTTAGTCCGTAAGGGTCAGATACCCATATTCCAGGACCATATAATCCTGTTACATGAAATGCGCCAAAACCAAAGCAGGCCACTCCTGAAAGAAATAAATGAATTCCAAAAATCTTGGGCAAATCCAAAGAAGGTTTTCCTGTACGTTCATCACAAAAAATTTCTAGATCCCAATATACCCAATGCCAAATAGCTGCCAAGAAGCACAAGCCAGAAAACACGATATGTGCTCCGGCGACCCCTTCGTAACTCCAAAGACCCGGGTTCGTTATAGTCCCTCCTGTAATATTCCAACCGCCCCACGAATTGGTTATTCCTAAACGAGTCATGAAAGGTATAACGAACATACCTTGTCTCCACATTGGATCAAGAACGGGGTCGGAAGGATCAAAAACTGCTAATTCATATAGAGCCATCGAACCGGCCCAACCAGCAACCAGAGCAGTATGCATTATATGAACAGAAAGCAAACGACCGGGATCATTCAATACAACAGTATGAACACGATACCAAGGCAAACCCATGGAAATACCCCTCTATCAACGAAAAATAGACACTATGTAACTTTATTGCATTGGAAAAAACGATTATTGACAATGCCTTAGTGGATTCTGGAGCAAGCATCAATCTGATCTCTCTCTCCATGGCAGAGAAGCTAGGCATAGCTGGAGCCTTGCAGCGCCCTACTACTTCAATCATCTTTGGAGATGCAACTACTAAGTCTCCTCTTGGAGTGTTCAAGAATTATCACTTGAAAATTGGAGAATGCATCATCCAAACTGATCTCACTGTGATGGAAATGGAAGAAGAGAAGGATTTGCCTCTTATTGGGAACCCCTTTCCTTAGTACAGTAGGCGCTTCAATTTTTCACAAGCAAGAAGTGATCCTTCACAAGGTGAATAGCTTGGTGTCATATCGCTTGCAGCCTAGAGGTTCACACTTTTGTGCCACAATTGACAGTACCAATCTCAGTTCTAAGAGTCATGGAGCTACAAAGGTTGTGAAGGAAAGGGTTGACAAGGAACCAAGAGTTGGGAAGGATAAGGATGAGAGAGGACCAAGGATTGAGAAGCCACGTCTTGAGAGGGCTAGAGTTGAGAAACCAGATTGAGGCCAAGAGCTGAGCGACTTGTTCAAGCCCCTTGTGTGCTTGATGAAGAGAGCCTTCAAGCTTTGTTTGATGAGCCACTAGGAAGGGCTCTACAAGAAGGGGAGGATGCAGCCTCTAAGGCAAGACCAGGAGATAAAAGAAAGGATCCACCAGCTCAGGTTCAGTCAAGCCATCTCAGCTCACAATGACCTTGTTCCCCACCAAGTTTGAAAATGGGAAGATTGAGTACAAGATAAGGTACAAGGGGAGATCAAGGCCATTCTCTAGAGCCAAGGCCATAGTGACTTCAGAACAGTCCAGGGACCCAACCAAGCTAAAGGAGCTTCTGTCTCAAGTCCTCACTATCACCCTTGATGGTGGGACTAGCTCAACCAATGCCTAAGAGGTAAAGGTCAAGCTATGGGACCTTAAACAAGCTCACTTGGGAGGAAGTCCCATGTTTATCCTTGTACATACTCTATTTATGCAATTTCTATCTATCTTTATGTTTTTAACCTTTCAATAAGTTAAGTTTAGGTGTCTAAGGAGCCAGCTCGACCCACGACTCGATCGAGCTAGAAACCAGGGCAACTCGATCGAGCTACTCAACTCGACCAAGGTAAGTTTTTGAATTTCAAATTCATAACCGTTTTTTGGTCAAGGGAGTGGGTCCCACAAGCTGATTTTGGTCCCCCACTACCCTAATTTTGGTCCCCCACTACCCTAATTGATCAGAGAATCCCTAGTTTCTTGTTCCCTCTTTATCATCTTTTAATCTCAACCACACATCTCAAACACTCTCTTCCCCATAACTCGATCGAACCCACTCCTCTCTCCCACACATCTTAAAATTTCTGAAACTCATCCTCTCTCTCTTCACCACAAGAAATTTCGAATTTCTCTCTTTCTCTCTTAAGTTTTTGCGATTTCTTGTTCTTTCTTGTTTTGCTTGGGTTCTAGTTTACTGCTCTTCAATTCCATCATTCAAGCAAGGTATGAACCCTAAACCCTTGATTCCTCCATCTCGATTTCCTATTGCTTGTTTCTCTTGATTTTTGATTGCATGTGTCCCTTGTGGACTTGTTCTTGAGTAATTGCTTTCATATTTCGCCTCTGCTGTAACTTGTTAGTTTGCTTCACCTCACCTCTGTTTTGCCTTTAAACTTGTTGCATGTGATTGAAAGGTTGAATTTGAGTTTGGTAATGGTTAGGTTGCTATGTTTTTCACTAGAATTGCTTATTGTTCCATTTACTAGTTGTTCTTGGTTCAATTTGATTGATTAGCATCCTTTCCTGCTCTTAATACATGAATTAGGTTTGGTTATACTCTGTTTTCACCAACTCGATCGAGTTTGTCACTCGAGTTTTTTGACTCGATCGAGCTGAGTGTCGAGTTGACCAAACCGATCATTACAACTCTAATTCTTTGAACTTTTGATGCATTTCAGGGACCAATCTAAGATGTTGAGAGGTGAAGGAAGCAAGCTAGCGTTCACAAGGATGGAGATGATAAGAGGAGCAAGGAGGATACTCAAAACACAAACCAAGGAGGACATAGAAGAGGTTGAGAGGGTGAGGGAAGGAAAGGAGAACCAAAAGAAGGAATGATCCTCTCAGCAGTGAGAGCGAAAGGAGAGTTTGAAATTGGGGTGAACATCCCACATGAGGAGAATGATGACTCCCAAGTGAAGAAGAGGGTGAAGAGATCAATCAAGAGATTGAGGAGAGTGAGCATGAGGGCAATGAGAATGTGCCCATGGAAGAGGAGGAGTCAAGTGAAGAAGAGGATGAGCTCCCCATGTACCAAGAGCACTATGATGCTCTCTTCTCCATGGACTTCATGGAGACCAAGTACCCACATGTTGACACATGAAGGCCCTTGGAATCTTTGAAGATGTGGAGTTGGTCCTCAAGAACATGCACTTGGCCAAGCTCTTCTCTACCACATGGAATCCTACAAGGAGCTCACTTGCGAGTTCTAGCTTCAATGAGGTACCACATGTATGAGAAGAAGATAGAGCTGATTTGGACCAAGGATTGGGATGGATCACGTTCTTGGCTAAGGGAGAGAAGAGAATGGTGACCTTTAGGCAGCTTGGAGATCTTGTTTGGGTTCAACTATGGAGAGGGAACCAAGTGGAACTTCAAGGAAAAGGAACTCCAAAGGGTTTGGGCTACAATCGCTGATGGAGTGTACTCTTCCTCAAGGTCCAAGGCAGCTCAGATCAGGAGCCCAGTCTTGAGATATGTGCACAAGGCACTTGCCAACACCTTCTTTGCAAGGAAGGCACCGGGACAATCAACGAGGGGGAACTCAAGTTTCTTGACATGGGAATCAAGCCCTTCTCTCACGCACAAGGATGGCAAGAGGATAAGGGGAGATAGGTCTGACACAGGGAACTTGATGCCTTCCTTGACCAGCTCCTCACCTACAAGATCACAGCTTACAACACTAGGCACCAAAGAGGAAGAAAGCTTAGTGTTGGAGGGCTCATCACACCTATCTTGTGTGCTGCTGGAGTAAACCCAACTGATAGGAGAGCTACTGAACCAGGTTGGATGGACATCAAGTTTTGCAAGACCAACCTCCTCATTGAGCACAAGGAGTTGGATGGGAGGTTCCAATTCAAGTTCACACATCCATTGGTTGGACCCTCCAAGTTTCTCCTGCCTAACCCAGAGCTCACCACAGTTGTAAGGGGTGAGAACATTGATTTTCAGACCCCCTGTGTACACATTAGTTGGGCATGAGGATGATTTGCGAGAAGAGGAGCCTGAGCGATCGATCTGAGTCTCGAGCTGAGGTCGAGCTGAGGATCGAGCTGAATATCAGGTCCAGGAGCGCTGATTTGGGTGAGCCTGAGTGCTACTACTTTGAGGAGTATGAGGCTCCAAGGATGAACCCCTCTGTTGTGGCTGCCACAAGAGGATTGGACTTCTCCAAAAGTTCAACAAATGGCAAGGGAAAGCCATTGAGAAGATGCAAAAGTCCATGGACAAGATGGTGAGCAAGATCAAAAGTTTGGAGAAGAAGGTTTCTGGTTCTTCAAGCAAGAAGAAGTCCAAGGCCCCCACATTCCCTAGGAGTAGTCACTCCTCACCACCCAAAGAGGCTCCCTGCCCAAGAGCCTCACAGAGCCTCTTCTTTCGAGCCAAGAGAAGGAGAGACAACACGCAGAGAAGGAGGAAGAGTTCTAAGGCCAGACGCTCCAGCTCGACCACCGGACTCGATCGAGTCCAAACAGAGGAAACTCAACTCGATCGAGCTGACGGTCGAGTTGACCTGGAGGAGCCCCTAGTTTGAGAACCCTGGGATTCGAGTACGATCAACCCAGTACCAGGACTTCTCTCAGACCGCTGGACTCCCTACAACCGCTTCGAGCGAGCACAACTCCACCAAGGCCAAGGAAGCCACACCCACTTTGAAGATGAAGAAGAAGAGGAGGAGGAGCCACAAGCTCGATCGAGTGAGCCGAACCCAGTTGAGTGGAGCGCTCCTGATGGCCGTCTACCATCTCCAGACCACGACCTAGCCTCCCAGTTCTTTGGGGGGCACTGAGGTATCCAAACACCAACCCTTGTATATACCATTTCATATTTTCTTGCATTTGTTCTTGTTTTTTCTTGGTTTTGCCCTCTTGAATCTTTCACTAAATTTTTCTCACACAAGGGACTGTGTGATTTAAGTTTGGGGGAGGGTTCAAGAGATGATTTAACCTTGTTTTCTTTGTTCTTAGTTTTTCATTTATCTTTTGCATAGAAAAACCAAAAAAATCATAAAATTTTCAAAAAATCCAAAAATATTTTCATCTTTTTGCATTCATATTTGTTAGACTTGTTTAGGATTGCATTTTTCACTTGCATTGTTGATTTGACTTTGAAAACTTGTCCATCTTTTGCGATTTCTTGAGTGCCCTGTTTTTAGATTCTTTTGTGCATTAGGGTGAGATTGATTGAGCAGCAAGAACCATGTTTATCTTGATCATATCGCTGCATGCACATCTCATTCAACCATTGCTGTGATTTGATGCATTTCCCTATCTATTTGAACCATAACTTGATCTTTAATTACCAATGCTTGCATTTGATTTCAACTCATGGCTACCACATACATATCTGGACATTCTTTACCATTTTCATATCCCTTTGCTTGTCCAGATAGCTGATCTCTATCTTTGAGACAGTTACCACACCTTAAACCTAAGCCTTTTCATTTCAAACCCCTTATTATCTCTTGTGCGAATGTGAGAACCTTTCTTGGCTTTGCTTAGCATAAGGTGTTGTGTTTAAACCGGCAGGGGCAGTAGTTCTAGTTGTCTAGTTCTCTTGGGATTGTTTTCAGGCTAAGTTTGGGGGTGCCAACTCGAGCTCGATCGAGTTGGGTGTAAAAACCAGAAAAGTGGTAAAAGTTGGGAAAAACCCAAAGGAAAAAGAGTTTGGTTAAGTCCAGGGAGTTGGCAGTGTTAAAAGGGTCTAGTAAAGGTTTGGGAAGTTAAAAAAGGAAAGTAAAAAGGGTTCTAAGTAGAATGAAAAGAAGGCAAAGCCTCAAGTGTCAAAAAGGAAGAAAAGTTCCCTAAGTGTTTAGAAAATCCCAAACCGCTAGATGTTACCTCAAGAAGCCTCTCCCTAGGAAGTTCTTAAAAGAAAAGTGAGCAAAGCTCCTCAGTTTCAAAGGCGAAATGCCAAAAAGGGTAGTTAGGATTTTGTTCTAAAAAGCTCTAAGTGTTGAACTCGATCGAGTTAGGATTAGGCGGCTCGAGCTGCTGTTCTTGCATCATCTTTGGTTCTAACACTTAGCCTTCTGCCAAAGCAAAGCCACTTTCTTGAGAGATCCCTGTTACTAAACCACCATACAAAAGAGACCCTCTTTGTCTCTTAACCCATAAACCCTTGAAACCAAATGAGTTGATTGATCTTGCATGTTTTTGGTTCACTGTTTTTGCTTAATGAATGTTAAAGGGATTTGCTGATTTGAATGCATTGTTTGAGTGACTGTGAAGTGGGATTGATGTTGATAAGCATGGTTAAATCTTAATGAATATCTCTCACCTTGTTGCATTCTAGAATCTCTAAGTTGGACATTTAGCAAATCGCTTTTGAGGACATGTTTTTAAGTGTTGAATCAGCTATTTTCAAACCTCATCTCTTTCTTGTTCTATTTGTTTGCTTGAGGGCAAGCAAAGTTCAAGTTTGGGGGTGTTGATGTACTTGCATTTTACATAGTTTTAGCACATCTTTTATGCATCTTTTGCATAGTTTTAGCTTCCATTTGCATCATATCTTGTTCCTTTTCTCTTCTTATGCATTCATGTTAGTTTTAGGTTGCATTTGCATACATATGCATGTTTGGTCCTTTGAAATAGGTCTTTTGGAGCATTCTGGAGCATATGGGACATGAGGAGCATGGAGGGACTTGGCACATGGAAGCAGCTCAACTGGATACGCAAAGGAAGAAGGGAGAAGCCATCTTGAAGACCAGCTCGACCGTCCACTCGACCAACCGGTCGAGTTCCTCAACTCGACCGGCCAAGCTTCAACTCGATCGAGCTGGAAGTCAAAGTCAAACCCGAAAAATGTTGCTTCCCCCTTGACTTTCCTTTGACCCTAAACCTAAATCCTCTTGTATTTAAAGGCTCTAAGCCACGAAAAAACCACCAAGCTTTAGATTATTTTGTTTTAGTTTCTTTTAATTTATTGTCTTTTACTTTTTAGACCCTAATCCCATCTTTGTGTTCTTGAAGCTCTTGCTTCTTGAATCCTTAGATCCTGGATTATTCTTTGTATTTGCACTTGCTTATTTCAATAAAAGTTGTTTAATTTCATCTCCTCTTTCTTATGATGTCTCTTTTATTGCATTTGCTTGTGTTTACATTCATGTGTAGTGAGTAGTTACCCATTAGGGTTTGAGATGGGATAGATTAGAGGTTTCATATGCTTAATCCTTCTAGCTTATGGTCTTAATCTAGATTCTCTCTCTTTTGGATAGATCTTAAGGCTACATGACCACTACCCCTGGCTTGTAAGTCCTTAGGCGACTCCCCACACGGAAGTGATGGCATTCGCTGGAAAAGATCCACTAAGAGCTCCAATATCTCTTGCTCTAGACAATAGAGGTCTAAGGGGTTGGATGGATTAGTTTGGGCAATGATCCTATGGCCTCCAAGGTTTGATTCTCACTGGCTAACCCCCTGTTTCTGAGATCATTCCTTGGTTGATAGCCTCCACCTTGGGAAAGGGTTGGCTAGGCATTGAGAAGCCCAATATCAAGAGAAGCCTTGATACAAGGAGTTTTAAGAGCTAGATTGATTAAGTGTAGATTCCTTTGATTGCAAAACCCTGTCTTGAACCCTAATTCTCTCTTTATCTTGTTAAAGTCGTCACCTTTAGCTTTTTGTCTCAACTCGACCCTAAACTCGATCGAGCTGGTACTCTGTTCCCACTCGACTCGAGTCCTTGGTCGAGCTACTTACTGCTTTGTTTACTTTTATTGCACTGCATTTTCATTTTTAGGTTGTTAGTGTTACTTCAAATCTATAACTGCTTGCTTGACTTTCTGGTTGTTTCATATTCTCATAGAGTGACAAGTTTCCCATTTTGGATTGATAACCTCTTATACTTCAATGACTATGATGGTTAAGAGGAATTGATTGATTGTGATTGCACCATTTCATCTTTATTCACCCCTGTTTGCATTCCACCTCATATCTTATCATCCTTCATTCATATCATATCACACCCACGCAAAACCTTCATCATCAATGCCCACCAGCCCGCCAGGCCTGGGCTCTATCCCCTATCCCAACGCCACTACAGTCCTTTCCTACGGATGCACTTTTCTCTAATATGGCACACCTCTTTTGGGGTCTTCCAAAGGATGATGATATGCTCATATTTCCTTGGTTACTATGGTTCATTTGGAAAGCACGTAATTATAAAGTCTTTTCAAATGATGACCATGATCCGCGGATGTTCTGGAATCAGCGATAACAGAAGCACGTGCATGGGCTACTGCACAAACGGGAGAAATAATTGGACCAATGGCTAGGGTCTCATATCCACGGACTGAGATCGAGGGTGAATGGTGCCAAATAGATGGAGCATGGAAAGACACAGAGTGTCGAGCGGGTCTTGGTTGGTATAACTTTGATCCCGCGTCAGGTTCAATCTTGGTGGGCTCATGTAATTTACGGCGAGGTTTATCACCTCTGCAGACAGAATTGGAAGCATTAGTTTGGGCTATGCAAAGTATGCTAACCCACAACAAAAGGCAAATGAATTTTCAAACAGATTGTTCAGAGTTGGTAACCATGGTGTCAAAACCTCAGGACTGGCCGGCTTTTGCGATTTTGCTTGAAGAGGTGGAGAAGTGCAAAAGGAGTTTCCAGGCGTTCTCTCTAACTCATATCCCAAGGACGAAGAACACGAAGGCGGACAAGTTAGCACGGAGTGCTCGAGATCAGCCTTATGACGTGTATTATGTAAACACAGTTCCACCGGTCACGCTTCCCGTGCCGAATTAGGAACTTATGCTGTCGACAAAAAAAAAAAAAAAAAAAAAAAAAAATCTAGTTATTAACAAAAGTTGACCATATAGCCATTGGTGTCTACATATAATTGAGAATACTCAATTTGATTAGTCCACATAAGCACTTTAGAAGAATTTCCCTTTATATTGTTATTTTGATATTTCCTTTTCTTAATACTTAATTTTATTATTTTATTCATATTAAAGGGTTTAAAATATAGAAAAATAAATAAATTTTCTAATGACATAAAAAGGAAAATAACTTCCCATGAAATTATATACTCTCTCTGTTTCTTAAAGATAAATTTTCTAATTTTTTCATACCTATAAAGAAAAAAAAAATTTCAATCATAAGTGTATTGATTTTTGTAATTACACTATTTCGTATAACTTTAAACCAAAAAAAAACCTAAGAAATATAGTTATTCTTAATAAATGTTTCTTGAAATCTGAAAAAGTAAATCAAAAAGCTAAAAAAAATTATCTTTATGAAACAACAGAAAATTGCTAGAAAATTCATCTTAGGGAGTATATATTTCATTTTTATTAATATATAAAATATATAATGTTTAAAATTAAATGTTACATATTCATTTTATTATTTGAACAAAATATGTTACAAATTAGTCTGTTTTTAAAATAAATTATATGTAAATACATATGGAACATAAACCGAATAATTTTTATATTGTATCTAAGCATCAACATATGATTTATATGCACCATATCATATATTAAAGTGGAAATAATATTTTGTCAATATGTTGAAAATAAAAATTGTAACTATGGGCCTGATTGGTAGTGGCTGTAGCTTTCAATTTTTTGCTGTAGAAATTTGGTTGTAGATTTTTTTGCTGTAAGATTTTGTCTGTAGATTTTTTGACTGTGAATTTTTTAAAAGGAAAGCATGATTGGTAAAATATCAAATATCTGTAGGTTAACAATTTTATATCTAATTAAAAATTGATAACTAATTTTTAATCGGTTTTGTGCCGATAGCTGCAAAAAGTTTGAAGGATCTTGAGTTAGGTTTCTAATTTATAAGTATTGAATTAGGGTTTTCTTCATATTTATCAATTATTTTTAATTAGTTTTAGAAAAAAAAACTTTTTAGAGTGGAGAACACATAAAATTGGGCTCTAGGTTTTTTGGCTTCCCACATCCAAAAAAAGGACGGAGAGCAAAAATGGGCTGTAGACTTAAAAAAAAAATTTAAAGCATGATTGGTATCTAAAATGGGCTGTAGACTTAATTTTGGCTGTGGACAGCTTCTACAGCTCTCCCCAATCAGACCCTATTTAAAATTTTTGGAAAGTTATTGAATAATGGCTATGGAAAATTATCTATGTACAGAAAAAAAAATAAAGAATATCTATGCAACATACATACATGGATTCAAACAAAGTAAAGTTATAGTAATATCGCTAGGGACGTTGATATTTTGAGTATTTTGACTGAAACTATGTGTTATGTTTTGATTTGAATAAAAAAAAAACTTGATTTGTTAAAAAATGTGGTTGAAATAAAATGTGATTTGTAAAAAAAAAATATAAAAAGGGATTTATACAACCTCAAATCATTTTTGGTACTTAGATAGGCAAATACATTTTCATTACAGAGATTGGATATAAACAACATTTTTGTTTAATATATGTTCATAGTTGAATCTACTATGTATACTAAATTATAAAAGTCAGATCAAACAAAACATGCTTCCAAGGGAACACACATGTATGTTGACATTGTGAGTATTTGGACTGCAAATATATGTGTTATGAATCCAAAGAAATATATTTGGAATCAAAATTATAATGCTCTCTTTGTTTTTGAATGAAGAATTTTCTAAACTATCCACCTATATTAAGAATACCAATTAAAAGCTAACTACAAAAAAATTGTTTGCTGTGATTGAAATTTCTAACCAATATAAATTCAGTATGCTCAATTTTTCTGAAATTTACAATTTATCATTATTCACTAATAAAAAACAGATTTATCTTCGAAAATTAACAAGAAAATGCCAGTATATTCATTATTCAGAAACCGAAAGAGTATCTAAATAAGCATCTAAATCATACAAATTTATTTCTCTTTTTTTGTTCAAACTCTTGATTTCATTAAATTAAATTAAGCTTGGGTGTTACAAATACAAGAGGGAATTAAACATCCTCTACTACCATACAACATAAGAATAATAAAGCATAAGGTAAAGATAGATAAAGCTGAAAATTCAGCAATGTTAAGCGACAGCGAATCACAGAAGCTACCTGGATGCGTCAACTTAAAGATCACGGCAAAGCCGGAAGGATTAGTCACTTGATGGTGTTGTGACATTAAAAGGTTGTCCCTACCTCCGAGTTTCATTGAAACAAAGCTCGTTGAATCTTCAGTTTCCATGGAAACCACTAAACAAGATAACAGAATGGTAAAAGGACTAGAATTTTTTCTTGGCTTTGAAACCGCAAAAAATTCTCCTCTCCTAGAGAGGGAAGGTGGTGGTATGATTCTCTCCTCGATGGAGGAGGATGGTAAAAGTGATCTCTCCCGTAAAGAGGAAGGTCTCTCTATGATTACAGAGGAAGTTTCACAACAAGATGCGCCAAATGATCTCTCGATTAATCGATCTGCCAAATTGTTGGAAGAGGCTGGTGGATAGTTTAATGAAGCAGTCCACAAAGGGAAGCCCATATCTAAAAGTTTATGGCTCAGGCCCATGATGAAATTGATAACGAGATTTCTCCCGAGGAAAGCCGCGTCAGAACACAAGCAAAGAGTACGTTTGTGCTCGGAGGAGACGGCATGGATGGAAGCTTGTTCTTCTGAGTCATCGCCAGCAGAGAAAAGCTCTCTGGCGGATCTAGTATTGAACGGGAGAGTGGGGAAAAGGAGGGATAGTTACCGGTTGACAGAGCATGTGTGTCAAAGACACTACACCGGAGCAGATCTTTGCCGGGCAAAACAGAGCTCGCTATGGACAGAACATGGACCAAGTCCAAAATTATACAACGCCGGAACAAGATGTGCAATTGACGATAACGGGAATCCAAGATCCCGATGTCCCTTCGCCGGCGAGGAGTAGGACGGAAAGCTTCAAATGGCCAAAGCTTGGAGATGTGGTGGAGGACTAAACGATGAGGATGAATGGAGATGTGCAAGAAACAGATGCAGAGGAAGTAGCCGACCTCTGAAAACGAGAGAGGAGATCTGATGGTAGCTCAGACGTCCGGCGGGTCAGGCGAATCCGGTGGATCTGGAGGGTTTGAAGGGTTCACCGGTGAAGACGGAGAGAGAGGAGCAAGAGACAAAGAAACCTTCACTGGATCTGACAGTAAGAGGCCTTCACAGCGACGAGGATGCATCGACGATACCATGAAGAAGCTCGTCGGGAACAGGAGGCGACGAGGGAGGAGAACCAGATTCCAACCAGCCTCTGCGGCGACCAAACGGAACAGCGGCTTCTGGGGAGCTAGACGCACAGACGGCCGGAGGGAAGGCTAGGTCGGAGACTCATCTGAGGAGGTTAAGTTGCGTCGGTGGTGGCTGCCTCAGTAAGAGTGCATGAGAGAGAATTAGGGCGAACTCGGAATCGAGAAACCCAAAAATTGTACAAATTTATTTCTCTATTTACCAAAAGATCAGCATAAAGAACAACAAATGAAACAACAAAAACCAAAGCTTGATTTTAAACATAATGATATTATGAGAAAAAAAAAATACACTTACGTGATAGTGATAGGATTACTTGAGAGAAACTCATTAATGGTTGAAGAAAAGAGAAGGACGATTGAAGATTTTTTTTTTTTTTAAATGATAAAATATATATATATATATATATATATTTTTTTAATGACATGATATTTTAAATCAGCATATAAAGTTAACAGCAAATACATAAGTCCATTTTAGCGGTGAGTTTCGATTTTGGATGCTTGATTAACACGTTTGACTTGCACGTGTTTTAAGTTGGGAGTTAGATTTACATGCAAAAAGATTTTAGTTTGTGGATTTGTTTTACAAAACTTTTTTGAATATCATCACAAATATATAAACATCCTATATTACAACTTTACAGGTGACTTTTAACTTCATAAAACTTACTTACACGAATTTTAAGTCGAAGGTTTGATTTAATTTCAGAGTTTTTTTCACAAAACCCATTATTAAATTATATAAAATAGGAGAGTTTTCTCTCCATCTAGCATAAACACATCAACAAAAAAAAGTCATTAAATTGTACTTAAGATATTTAATACATGACTATTCATATTTCTTTACATATAATTCAAAGAAATACATAAAATAAAGAGAAAATTACAGTGGAAGGCACTTTCCCACTTAGATATTACATATAAAGGCACTTTGTGCTCTAAGGTGACTTTGGGTTATTTTCGAAGAGTTGGAAGGGTTAGAAAACTCAATTTTACCCTTAATGAAATTTGTTGTTTGAATGTGATAAATAATGTTTTTTGGTAAAAAATATGGAACTTCGTCTTTGGTCTTTCGACGGTGATGAGAAAAGAGATCTCAAAACAAAAATTAAAATCAAATTCCCATAATAAAGTTCATGAAACTTCTAAATTGTAGAAAACCTTTTATAATTGTTAAAGAATCACAATCTGCAAATCTATTAACCTAATATTAATCTCAATCTGCAAATCTAAGAAGGTTTCATAATTTATGTGTGATTCAGCGGAGATGACGAATTCAGAGAAGAAGACAAAGGATTGAGATGTATTTGAGACTGGTTTTTGTATGTATGTGTGGATGGTCATTTGTGGATACACGATTATGGATGTTATTGTGTGTATGAGAGTATAGCTTGTAATATGTGTATGTATTAATGCATGGATATGAGTGAGTGGATACTAGCAATGGAAGTTGTGGATGGTCATTTGTGGATACACGATTATGGATGTGTGGATGGTCATTTGTGGATACACGATTATGGATGTTATTGTGTGTATGAGAGTATAGCTTGTAATATGTGTATGTATTAATGCATGGATATAAGTGAGTGGATACTAGCAATATTTTCCTGCACGTTGATTTGGAAGTTGTGCCATACAGTTCTGAAATCAAGGGAAAAAAAAATTTGAAGAACTAGCAAATATTAGAGACACATGGATGCAGTTTCGTGGACGACACTAGCATGGATGCAGTTTCCAAGAACTCTCTCGTAAAAAATAATTTGAAGGGCTATCCGCATGGATGCAGTTTCGTGGACGACACTAACATGACCATATACGTTTATTAAAGAAAAAATAGATGATAATCGTGACATAGTTAGCCATTTGGAATCAAGTGTATGGACGCAAAACACATGGATAGATGCACTTATGCAAGATCAGTGGATGAAAGTAGTGTGATATTCTAAGAAATGAATAACTATCCACATGAATGCGGTTGCGTGGACATAAATAGCATAAACATATACGTTTTATGGAGGAATTAGTTAGTAGAACTAAGATAGTAAACATCCAAATAGAAACCCCGTTACTATGGATACAACAAAGTTTATATATCCTACGGGCAATCTCATATGGACATAATATTAATTTTGGCTTAATTATATTATAGAAACTGGAAAGTAAGCATCATGTAACATATTGAATAAAGGAAGAACTTGCTACATTTTTGGGTTACAATGTTAGCAAATGGTGTGTTTGTGAATTTTAACTGTAACCTATTAGTACTCATTTGTTCATGATAGAGATATCCATATCCATATACATATATCATGTGGATATATATAGTTTATTTTCATCCACAAACAAGTATCCATGCGAGAACATGCAACCGTGGATATAAGAAAGTTGAAACCATGAACATATGGTCATAAAACCATGGATACAATCAAAAACAACAAATCGTGAATACAATAAATTCTCTTGTATTACGTACACTCAACTAATAAGAATCACACAATTGAAAATCATATTCATACAAACCCGTCCACGAGTCACAATCCATGTGTTCAATATCTAATCCATATTACTAAAACACCATCCATATCACTTCTTCCATGATAAGCGGAAGACACATGTATCTCATCCCGTGGACATGAACTATCATTCATTAATGGACGACTTCACATGGTCGGTTTCACATGGACAAGTACAATCCATTACCAGATCTGTACTCTGTTTCGGATAAACAAGAAAACAACGGGAGGACACAACTGCTTAATTCGTCGGAGGGAGAAACTGCTTAAAGCTAACAGAGTGTAAGAGTACAATCACCTTTCATGAATTTTCGCAGAGGAGACGACGGAATAGGAATCCTTCAGAGAGAGAAGGAGAGGGCTGCTTTTTCGTGTGAGGGAGCGATTGAAATCCGTAAATACTCGACACGGTGGTACTGGCGAAGAGCGAGGCGGAGAAGAAGGTCAGTGTTTCTAGGGTTTTCAGTTTCTCGTCGTTTGATTTTCTGGAAGAGAAGAGAGAAAAAACTAAAGAATGTGAAAACTTTTAATTGTGTAATAAAATAATACCATAAAAAGGGTGTTTTTGTAACTACAACACACCAAAGTCACATAGGAGAAATAAGTGCCTATTTTGTAAGTTTGAAAGTGTAAAGTGTCTTTGAGTGTAAATCACTCTAAAATAAATTAAAAAAATACACAAAATATATTAAGAAATAGAAAGTATGAAAATAATTAATTTTATTTAAGGTATTTAATACATGACTATTCATATTTCTTTACATATAATCCAAAGAAACACATAAAATAAATTAACAAAAATACACAAAATTAATTAAGAAATAGAAAGTATATGATAACTTGCTATCAAAATTTAATAGAAATTTAGTATAAAATAGAGAGAAAAAAATGATAAATTTTACTCTAAATAATATATAGTTACCTTATTGATCAAAATTTATATCGATGATTTATCTTTTGTAAACACTAGGGCTTGGCCACGCGATGTGCGGGTACTGTATATTACAAACTAATACTCTCTTCGTTTCTTTTTACTTGTCGTTCTAGAGATTTTCACACATATTAAGAAACTCGTTAAATTTGCTATCTTACCCTCATTTAATACTTGGTTTTCTTTGATAGGAATAATCAATAACCAAAAATAATGGGGATAAAACAGGAAAATATATCATTAATCTACATTGGAAATACAAAACGACAAGTAATATGAAACAAAAAATTATCTCTAGAATGACAAATAATATGAAACGGAGGGAGTAATAAGTATAAATTCAAATTTTCAGAATTATTACATTTATTCTATGTTTATATAGTTATCATTTTTAAAGTCTATTCACATAGTTATAAATTATTTAAGGAATATAGGAAATAATATTCAAATCAAATATGTTGTTTTAAGATATGAAAAATGATGAACTGTTAAATCTTTAGTTTTAAACAACATGAACGTAAAGAGACAACATCCCTACCCATGAGATGGAGAGGCCAGTGAGAGAGAACAGCGAGAAAATAATGAAGAGAGCTACTCGAAATGAAATGTCTCCTTCGTGGCAATATTACAGTGCAAGTAGTGTTGTTATTTTTTTCTGAAAATAGTTTTTTTTTCTTTTCTATTTTTGTAAAGCTTGTTTTAAAACATAATAATATTATAGTCTCTCCGACACACTGTTCTTTTGTATATCCAGTTTTTGTTTTCACCACTCATGTGACATGACAACTTTATTATGTGATTCACATCCTCTCTTTTATAATTTAGGTTGCAATTCCAATATTATACATAGAGTTGGCAGAACTGTGCTAAACCTCAAATCAACAGCCAACCTCAAATAAATAGTTCGGAAGTGTAAGGGATTCCAAAACCATGCAGCCCTGCATATAAATAATTCTATCGCGGGTTGTAACTATTACAAAGTTTTCTTACTTATATCTAAATACTTTGCAACCACTTTTTATAAATTTTTTTTTTTCAAATATGTAAATTTCTATATTGTTTCTTTTAATTTAAAATTTAAACACTATATCTTAAATTTAATTTTTAAGAAAGAACAAATAATGAATTGTTAATGCTATGCTTTCATAAAACATACATGTACATGTACGTAACAAATTGTTATACCAACAGACCTATACCCACACATTCAAAGCATTAATTTACTTTAACGGGATTATTAGTTTCCAAAATTTATAAATAGACCTTAAATTTAAAGACACTACCCATTAGTACCGCAATATAACGGAGATGACTCGACCGCCACATAAGTTGTCCCGGATATTAAAACAACGTTATTTTGTCCAAAAACAAAATGAAAAATTTGATTTTCTTGGTTAGAGTCAAATTTTGGTTTTGAAACAACCAACATTTTTTTTTATAATTAAATTAAATAACAATTCAGCGGAAGTCTTTAAATAAATAAATAAATAATAAATCAGGTTCAACAAATAAATTCAAATAAATAATTAAAGGAAATACTAGCAACCTAAACACCAGGTACTAGCAAGTCAAATAAACAAAACAATAAAACATTAAACATCCTATCATCCCCCTCTTCAGCCTTGATTCCGCGATCACACAAATCTTTTACCTGCAACACATTGGAATGGAGTTGCGTAAGTATTTAATAAATACTTAGTGAGGCAATCACTCTGCCTACAGGCCAATTACGCAATTTACTAGATATTTAATAATATTTATAAACTCCAATAATTATTAAATACCATTTTCCAATTATTAAATAATTATTAACAATTAAAACTTCATTTCTCAATTATTAAATAATCCTCATAATTAAATAATAATTTTCCATATTTTAAAATAATTAATATAATTATTTTAAGCCATTTAATTAATTAAAATACTCATTAATTAATTAAATACGAATTAAACCAAATAACCAGATAACCAGATTAACCAATTAAATTAAATCAATTTAAACTGGACCGAACCGGCTTGTGTCGACCGACACCAGCTTGGTGTCGGTCGACACCGGCTCGACAGCCCGATGCCAACATCAATAAAACTGCACGAAAATCACATAAAACACCAAATCCACACGAAATACACCCAAACAACACTAGATATCACATAATCAACATGAACAACTCAAGAACAATTAATCAATCAAACCAAATCTAGCAATTGCGGACCATATAACTATTTTCGGTTTTCTAAATCCAACTGATTTAATAATATATAATCAAATTCTAAATGTTTTTTCTCTAAAATAAACTAAACCATTAGCATTTATGTGTAAATGCTATAATCTTGAATTACTGTAGCCATCTACTGGTAATTTCATGTCACTAAGAAATCCATTCACATAATTAATAGATTTCCTTTTTTTCTCTTCCTTTAGAATAAACAGTTTCACATAACTTTGTACATAATTAAAAAGCATAATAATTAAATACCATTTCTTTGTGTAAAATGCATATGCGCATTTGGAATTTTTATTTTTGTATTACTTTAACTAGGACAAAGCCTGCGCTACGCGCGGGTGGTGTTGTTATTTTTTCTCGTATTATTTGTTGTTTTCATGTTTGTAAAGCTTGTTAAAAAAATAGTACAATAGTCTCTCCAATCCAATGTTTCTTTAATTTCTTGAGTTTATTTTTTCATCACTCATTCATTTCCTCTCTTTTATAACTTATGAGTCGCAATTCCGACATTATACATAGATTTGGCCAAAACTTTGTGAATAACGTTAGTCTCAGATAACTGAAACTCTGGTTTGTTTAGTTAATTAATCAGTTATCTTAGAATTGATTTAGGAGAATAAAAGTCACATAAATGTCGAATGCATCATCAACTTTTAGTTTTATATATTTTTCTCCTTAAAAAAATCTAAGTTGTGAACTCTTTAAAATAAATAAAAAGCATATATCTCAATTCCTTGATAATTCAATTGTCTATCAGATGCCATAATTTTCATATAAATCATAACTTATGTATGTGTATAAGATTACAAATATATTCACAATTCATTTTGCCACCAAAAGATAGATTTGGCGTGAATAACGTTAGTCTCAGATAAATGAAACTCTGGTTTGTTTAGTTAATTTATAAGTTATCTTAGAATTGATTTAGGAGAATAAAAATCACACAAATGTCAAATGCATCATCAACTTTTAGTTTTATATTGTTTTCTACTACAAAAAAAAAATCTAAGTTGTGAACTCTTGAAAATAAAAAAAGCATATATCTCAATTCCTTGATAATTCAATTGTCTATGAGATGCCATAATTTTCACATACATCATAACTTTTGTATATGTATAAGAATTACAAAGATATTCACAATTCATTTTGCCACCAAAAGATGATGTACTTATTTTTAAACTTTCACTTCCTTTCAAATGATTATTAGTTTTATGCTCTTTTAGAAAATGCATTGAGAAAATTCTTCGTTAATTTTTGTTTGTAGTTTGCTTCTAAACCATTTTCAAATCATATACAATCAAAAAGCATAAAACTGATTATACATTTTTATCAGTTTTTAATCCATTTTTATCAAGTAATACTGATTAACTGTAACTTTCAAGAAACAAATTAAGATTGATTACTTTTTTCTAAACTTGTTATCACAAATGATACAGTCTTTTTTTAATATATTTTATTAATGTGTGAAACTTTTAAAGAAATTTCTTTAAAAACAGAGAGAGAATATATTTGTTGTGTTTGGTGAGGGCTTAGAGCATGTACAACGGAGAAACGATTTAAGTTTCTTAATTAATGTTTTTAATGATTTTCGGAAAAAAAAACCAGTCGGGTTGTGACACGTGGCGAACTGTGTCAGAGAAATGTTTACAAAACCTCTTCGGGAAGAGTTTCTCGTCTTGAGTCTAGCACTTAGATAGATATTTTTTTTTTTGCTAGAATTTGATATAGTTGTTCTTTTAAGCTTTGGAAATAGTATTTTTAGATCATTTTGAATATATATAAAAGCATAGAGCAAGATTGCTTCGTGTTAAGTCTCTGATTCATGTTTTGCTGTAGCTCTATATATTCTTCCCCAATGACGCCAAAGTTGGAGTTAGTACGATGAAGATGTACACGAACCGGATGAAAGCAGAGAATGTCTTCAGAGCGATCTTGGTTGTTCAACAGAACTTGACTCCTTTTGCTCGAACTTGCATTAGTGAGATCTCTTCAAAGTTTCACTTGGAAGTTTTCCAGGTAATAAAGAAAAGCTCTGATTCGTGTTCTCTTCTTGATGATGTATGTATCACATGACAATCCTAAACCATGTTTTGGCTGTTGCAGGAGGCGGAAATGCTTGTGAACATTAAAGAACATGTTCTTGTTCCGTGAGCATCAAGTTCTTACCACTGAAGAGAAGAAAACTTTGCTTGAGAGATACACAGTGAAGGAGACTCAGGTTAGTATTTGGTCTAGAATCATTGTCCATGGTGATGAGCTTTTAGTTTTTGTGTGATTAAAGTTTGGAACTTGTGTGTGTATGTGTGTAGCTTCCAAGAATCCAAGTGACTGATCCAATCGCAAGATACTTTGGGCTAAAACGTGGGCAAGTCGTGAAGATCATCCGTCCGAGTGAAACAGCTGGTCGTTATGTGACTTATCGATATGTTGTATAAGCAAATGAGCTTTTGTGGATTGCGAATGTAAAACGCTAGTCAGAGATTTGTGAAACATAAGAGAAAAATGCTTTTGTACCAAACTGTTGCCAACAGTTTTTGTTTGTGTATGTTAGATTTAAGAATTCAATCTTGAGACGAATTTTTATTCCAAGAACTGTCTAGTGGAGTAAGATCAATTCAAAATTTAGATCATTGCCGTATGTTGAAGCATCATGGTTACAAAATTTAACAATTGAGACAACTTAAAAAGCCAAATTGAAACCATTGTTTTGTTATCTGCAAGAATCATTTATGGAAGTGGAGATTCAACAAAAAATATTAAATAAAGAACAATCTCCTCTACTGAAGTAGAAGATAAAAAAAATTAGAAGATATGACATAACTTGAAAAAAATATGTTTGTTTATGAGGCAAGAAGAGGAGCTACAGATTTATATAGCTAGACTCCTTGTAACTACTAACTACCTACTCGAGTCACCAACTCCATTATTGCCGGGTCGGGTCAGGTCAAAACCCACCCAACACTTCTCAGTACGATCTGTTTAATCCAAACCCACCAAAGCTGCTCCTTCCACTTGACTGAGAAGAACGATCTGAACCAAATCCCCACCATAACCTGAAGAACGGTGAACGCCTGAACACCTGAACCAAAACTGTAACCAGAAGAACGTCTGAACCACCAGAATAACGGCCGCCTGATCCTCCTGAACGGCCACTGCTGCTACCATAACCACCACCACCACCAGTAACTTCCACCACCTCCACCATAACTTCCACCACCACCTCCATAACCACCTGAACGACCACCAAAGCTTGAACCACCACGACCTCCTCCTCCATAGGATCCACCAGACCGAGGACTCATTCCTTCAAACATGCTTGCGCTTCCACGTTCAACAACAATGCTTGGAAGCTGCATTATAAACCAAACACCAACTTTAGTCCACAAGCATTCAAACAAAAGAAACAAAGATGTTCAAAAAAATCCAGTCTAAGAGAGTTTATAATAACCTCAGTGAATCTGCTTCCGACTTCTTTCTCAATCATCTTTAACAGCCCTGGATTGCTCTGGACCGTGGATGAGAATCGCATTTTCTTTCTTTCCAGCACGTCCTGTTCGCCCCGTTCGGTGAACAAACGTCTCAGTGTTGTTAGGAAGCTCATAATGAATCACCTATTCACACAAGTATCAAAGGTTTGAGAAACAGAACTCGTTAAAGTAGCAAGAGAGAAAAAATGTAGTTATCAAACTCACCAAATCGACATTAGGCACATCAAGTCCACGGCAGCAACATCAGTTGCAACAAGGATATTGAAATTCCCATCTCTGAAACCAGCAAGTGCTCTTTCTCTGACTCTGTGATATGTCACCGTGTAAGGCTTCGCATTTGAAGGTATTCGCTAATCCATACGCAAGACGATCAGTCACGTTTTGTTTGTGTAAACACAATGCATTTACCTCCCTTACCATGCTCCTACAAAGGCAAATATATTATAAGAATCTTGCCATACATTTGGAGGAGATAGAGATAATAAGTTTAAAAGCATACCGCTACAAGAGGACCAATAATGCCTGCTTTTCCATAAGACTCTGCAGAGATTGAATACATTGTAATCCCATCTGCGAGTTTCTGATCAGAATCTCCAACCTAAATAACAGCCAAGGCAAAAATGACATGTCATTAACAACTCCGGTAAACATTTTCAGTTATAAACAAACACATTAGCAAGTATGAGATTTTACTCACAAGATCAATCGTCAAAGGATTATTCAAATACTTCTTGGTGAGTGATCTAATCCAACTCGGCATTGTAGCGAAAACATCATGCTCTGACGTTTCAGGCAACTTCTGCAATATGATTTCGACATCCTCGGCGAATCCAACTTGAAGCATCTGATCAGCTTCATCAAGAACCATAAACTGAACCTCTGATAGATTCAGAGCTCCTCTTTTCATCAGATCAATGATACGACCTGGAGTGCCTACAGCAACATCGATACCGTATCCAAGCTCCCTCATTTGCTGCCCGATCGGTGTACCTCCATAGAGACAAATCGTATCCAAGCTTGGAGCAGACTCTCTAAACTCCTTCTCAACCTGACGAGCAAGCTCTCTCGTCGGAGCTAAAATGCAACATGATAAACCAAATGTTAAATCTTTGAAACCCTCACATCAAATCTCTGTAAACACAAAGTCAAATCCAGGAACTTTAACAAACCCATGTTTAGCGTTGAATTTGATGATTTTGTTAATGATTGGAATCCCAAAAGCAAGCGTCTTTCCAGTTCCAGTCCTAGCACGTCCGATCATGTCAGGCCTTGCATCGCCGGCTCAAGCACAGCTTTCTATTCAACCAAACAAACATGAAAAACTCGAACTAAAACTCGAACTTTAATTGATCCGATGCAGAAATTCGACAATCTCAATAAGCAAATGGAATGGAGAAGAAGATCGAACCTGAATAGGAAAGAGTTTATCGATTCCTCTACCACTCAAAGCTTTGACAATCTCCGGAGATATCCCGAGCTCAATATCGCGAGCCCATCACCGCCGCTGCTGCCACCGACACTCTCCGGAGTGAAGAAACAGCTAGGGTTTTAGGTCAAGTGATTGATACTCTGAATTTCTCCTGTGCATTTGGTTCTTCATGATTCAGCCTAGGGTTAGCTTCATTGGGTTTCAGAGAATCCCCAAATCGTTAGAAGCGTTACGCTTGTTGACTCCAGCATTAGCCCTGCGTTGCCTCTGTGGGTTTTGCACATACCTATGATCAGAGAGGTCTTGTTAGGGTTTGCGTTTGGGTTTGGGAAGCTGGTGAGTCTCCGTTTTCTCAAAGGAGATGGCTTTATCAGAAATCGAAGCTCATAGGATACTTCTGAAAGGAAGGAGTGGAAGAGAAGCTGTTGTTGGTTCGCTGAAGAAGTTAATCCATAGCTTTGATATTGCACAATGGGGTGATTCTGATGAGATCAATGGTCATTTACGACAATCCTGAGAGACATTGAATGAACTGTTATGAATGAAGTCGAAGCGAGAAAAACCAAAAAAAAAAAAGTGCGAAATTCGGAGCGCCACGTGTCCATCTCTCCCGTGCTGACGTGGCGGTCAGCTGGAGAGAGATGGGCAACTATTATAGTATAGGATTAATCTATACTATAATGAGAGGATAACTCTCTCTCTCCTTCCGCCACGTGGCACCCCTTCTTTTATTAAATTTATTTTTTTCGTTTCGGTCCCTAAACAATCTATTTTCTTCGAAAAAAAACACAAATAACATTTCTTTCATTTCTTCTTCACAGCGTCTCCTGGTTTGACACGAAATCGTCTCTCCCCACCGGCGCAATCCCCACCGCCGGGTTTAACCAGACCTCCACCCACCCCAATCGTTACCGCCGGCGATTTCCACATCGCTCTCTTTCGCCTATCACCGGACCACAACCAACATAGGCGAAACCACCATGCAAACAACTTGATTCGCGCCGCCGACGATGAAGGCTCTGCCACTGAAGAACATTGCGGCAAGGCAGGCGCTGCTAAATAGAGAGTCCATCCACTGCCACCATCCACATATCTCCACATATCTCGGCCCTTGCGAGATCCATTACGGGGTTTACTTCATGCCATGAAACAAAATGGATCTCCAATCTCCACCATCTCAGACCGTCCCTCCGAAGAGCCACCGGTGAGAAATACGTGTACAAACTACTAACCTGATGATTCCGTCTAATTTGGAATTTAATTCTCAAACATTATGTCAACGCCTTTTCGCTTTTCACTTTTTTCAGTCTCTGTTCGGTTTAGAAGACATCAATGACTTCAATTAATTTCCTAAATCTTTTCGTCTTCTCTCTACCTTCAGATATTTCACCACTTTATAATCCAATTTTGAGTTCTCCTGCTCAAAATATGACTTTCGCTGTTGAGAGGAAGAAGAAGGAGTTTGAGTTTCAGATTTTTGAACTGTTAGATGTGCTCACTGTTCGAATCGTCTTCTGGTATGTCTCTGATTCGAATTTCTAGGGTTTTCCAACGTCAAGTCCTCATTTGTATTTGCTTACATCTCTAAGTTGCTTCTCACAGATAGATTCCTCACATCTAGATATTTCGTTCTTCTCTTTTCGAAATGGCATTCTCATACTGTTTTTTTTTGGACACTGAAATCTATATGCATAGGAAAGTTGATATTTCTTTCCTTTCGTTCCCAGGAGCTACGCCTAGAGGTGTCATGACTCATGAGGTTATGAAAGATAAAAGCTTCACAACAGATATCATGTCAAAAGCCATTTCGAGGTTAGTATTATGAAATCTTTTCATTCAAGTTTTCAGTCCTGGTGCTTAATATGAACTAATAGGTTTGAATGAATTGTATTGATGTGGTAGGAGATACATTTATACACAGGTCTGTACAGAGATAAGGCAACTCAATAACATTACAATGAATGACAATATACGAAAGAGTAATTTTAGCTAATCACAGATTGTGATCTTGAGGATATCTTCTTTCCTCTAACATCCTCCCGCAAGATCAAGGACCCTTGGAGACGCCGATCTTGTCACGAAGAAGAGCGAAGCAAGCACGACCAAGAGGTTTAGTAAGACCATCAGCTAGTTGGTCATGAGTTGAGACATGTGACACACGTAACTGACCGGTTTGAACCATGTCTCGGGCCAAGTGTTTCATTCTGGAATGGAACACTGGATTTGCGCAAAGGTATGTGGCACCAATGTTGTCACAATAGATGGCTGGTGGGCTGTGTTGCTTAATACCAAGTTCATGAAGTAAAGAGCATACCCACGCAAGTTCTGAGGCGGTGTTAGCAACAGAGCGATACTCTGCCTCAGTTGATAACGAGCTACACCCTTTTGTTTCTTAGCCGACCAAGAGATTGCATGTTTCCCAAGATAGACGATGTAGCCATTGGTGGAGATATAGTTATCAGTGTCACCACCCCAATCGGCATCAGAAAATGCATGAAGAGTGAGTGAATTCGACTTAGTGAAGTAGATACCATGAGTTGGTGTGCCGGCGAGATAGCGAAGAACGCATTTGGCTGCTTGCCAGTGGTCAGTGGTTGGTGAGTGCATGAACTGAGAAAGCTTGTTCACGGCATAAGCAATGTCGGGGCGAGTGAATGCTAAGTACTGAAGGCTGCCAACCAGCTGTCTGTATTCCGTGGGATTGTTGTGTTTTTCTCCAGACAAGACCAGCTTCGGATTTGTAGCCATAGGAGTTGCGATAGGTTTGGCATCGGACATGTGCATTCTGTGAAGCAAATCCAATATGTATTTTCTCTGATTCAGGTGCAAACCCTGTTTGGTGCGAATCACTTCAATGCCAAGGAAGTAAGAGAGAGCGCCCATGTCTTTAAGAGAGAAGCGTGTAGCAAGATTCTTGATAGTTGCTTCAATCGCAGCTGGATCGTTTCCTGTGACGACAATGTCGTCAACATAGACAAGGAGATAGAGTAGTGTGGTGCCCTTCTGCAGTACGAAGAGTGCCGTATCTGCAACTGAGTTTTTGAAACCAAGAGTAAGAAGATGATTCTTTAACTCAAGATACCAAGCTCTGGGTGCTTGCTTGAGACCGTAGATAGGCTTCTTGAGGCGGCAAACGTAATCTGGTAGGTCAGGGTCGACAAAACCAGGAGGCTGACGCATGTAAACCTCTTCCTCCAGACTTTCTTGTAAGAAAGCGTTGTTGATGTCAAGTTGGCGAAGACCCCAATCACGACTAGTTGCGACATCAAGTACAACTCGGATTGTGGTTGCTTTAATGACTGGACTGAAAGTTTCGAAATAGTCAATACCCGGTTGCTGTGTGAAGCCTTTAGCGACGAGACGGGACTTGTGTTTGTCAATGTCGCCATTGGGTTGATACTTCAATCGAAAAATCCATTTGTTGTCGATGATGTTCATGTTTGGTGTCGGCGGAACCAAATCTGAGCATCATATTCAGTAGACATGGAACCACGCCACATCTTATGCTTCAACGCTTGATTGACAGTTTTGGGCTCAGATTCTTTGCCAGAGAGTAAAAGAGCAGAGAGACCATACCGCGTATTGGGTTTCCGGATGTTGTTTTTGGCTCGTGTCTGCATTTGATGTGCATTTTCAAGCGGTGGTGGAGGTGGTGGAGAGGGTGAAGCGAAGACATCGTCAGAGGCGGTGACGGAGGTTGTGGGTGAATCCGATGAAGAGTGAGAGTTGGTGGGCTGAGTGGTAGTTGGGCTTGTCGTGTTGGAGGACGAATGGGCCGATGCAGTAGAGTGTTCAGTTGGGCCTGGAGGAGAAGGTCCACTGAAGTTGTTGTTGGGCTCAGGCTCAGTAGAGTTGTTGGGATGAGTCGCCTGCGACGGAGATTGCGATGATGCAGAGGATTGTGTAGCGGAGGAAAGAGATTCACGGGAATCAGAGGATGACATCGTCGTCGGTGACGGCATGAGTGGCGTAGGTGCTGAATCGGAGCTCGAGGATCCCATTGATGCTGAAGGAGCCAAGTGAGCAGAGATGAGTGGTGTAACCGGAAGAGGGACATGAGTTGCAGTCGGAGAGGAAGAAGTGGGGTTTTCAGTGGTAAAGGTGGTGTTTTGTTGAAGGAGCGATTGAAAGGGGAAGATGGATTCCTCAAAGCGTACATGTCGAGAGACATACATGCGATTGGTGTGAGGTTGCCAACAAAGGTAGGCACTTTGGGTAAGAGAGTAACCAAGAAAAACACACGGGACAGAACGAGGGTCAAGTTTGTTGGAGGTGTAGGGTCTTAACCATGGGAAGCACAAACACCCGAAAATTTTGAGTTTGGAGTAATTTGGGTCTGTTTGGAAGAGGATTTTGAAGGGGGATTGAAAGGAGAGATTGGAGGTTGGCATTCGATTGATTAGGTAAACAGCAGTGGCAAAGGCAAACGGCCAATAGGAATTTGGAAGTTTTGCTTTGGTGAGAAGGGTGAGACCAGTTTCGACTATGTGTCGATGTCGACGCTCTGCAAGCCCATTGTGTTCAGGCGTGTGAGGAGGAGAAGTGAGATGGGTGATCCCTTTAGAACTGAGGAAATCACGGAGAGCGATGAATTCGCCACCGTTATCAGAGAAAAAGGTACCAATTTTGTGCTGGAATTTGTTTTCAACAAGGGCTGTGAAACGGATAAAGGTTTCTTTGACTTGGGACTTGAGTTTTAGAGGGTAGAACCAAACATAGCGAGAGTAATGGTCTACGATTATGAGATAATATTTGTAATTGTCAAGAGAGAGGGTTGGGGAAGTCCAGACATCGGAGAATAAGATTTCGAGAGGACGAGAAGAGGTTATTGTACTTTCGGTGAAAGGAAATTTGTGAGCTTTATTGATGCAACAATCCGTGCAAGGAAAAACTTGAGACAAAGAGTTTGAAAGCGGTAAAGAAAAAGCAGAGATAATGTGTTTTAGAATAGGTAGTGATGGGTGGCCTAATCTTGAATGCCAATCCGATATGGTGGTTTTGAGGTTGTTTGTGGAGGTGAAGAAGGTGGAGGCGACAGGCTTTGGGATAGGCCACTCATACAGCTCATTCTTGGTAGTTCCTTGGAACAATGGGATCCCCGTTCTGAGATCCCTCACCTGAAACCACGAGGGGTAAAATTGCACCGAGACTTGGTTAGCATTGCATAGTTTGTAGACAGATATAAGATTCTTTTGTATTGAGGGTACATAAAGAATATTATTGAGATGCAATGGTCGAGTAGAGGAGGTTAAGAGGGTGGAACCAGTGTGTGAGATGGGAAGAGCCGATCCATTGCCCACAACAACTTCTTCACCACCCGTGTATGGTTGGTGGAGGGACAGGTTTGCGAGATCCGAGGCTATGTGGTGTGTGGCACCGGAATCAAGCAGCCATGGAGATGCAGCAGCGAAGTTTGCTCTTGGTTGCCACGTTTTTGGTGTGGGAAGGCCATTGTGCTGCGGAAGCTGAGAGCATCGTCGTGCGCTGTGTCCTTGAACGCCACAGAGTTGACAACGACCAAGGTACGGTCGTGGTGTACGCTGGTCAGAGGAGTTGGAGGGGGGTTGCCAGCTACGTTGGGTCTGCTTCTGTGACTGAGGGGGACGGTACCGGTGTGTCGCAACGTTGGCGGTCACTGGGTATGGTTGGGTTGGCTGAGCAGCAAGGAGCTTGGCTTCATGGTTAATGAGCTTCTCATGGAGTTCGATGAACGTCGGCGGCGTGTCGCGTCCTTCGATCTGATCAGCAACCTGTTTGTACTCTTCAGGCAGACCATCAAGTGCAGATTCAATTTGATCTTCAAGGTCAAGAACTTTACCGAGATGAGCAAGTTGATCCACACGAGTGGTAATGCCCTGAAGGTACTCTATTATTGTTTTTGTACCCTTTTTCCAGGTTTTCAGTTGTTGTTGGAGTTGCTTGATGTGTCCTCGGCTAGGTTTGGCGTAGATGGCGGTTAAGGTTGTCCAGATCTCAGCGGAGGTGGTGGCTTTGGAGAGGAGTGGTTGAACAGACTGGGAGATAGCACCAAGGATGGCACTATAGAGCAGCTTGTCTTGGCGCTGGTAAACAGCATACACAGGATTGGGAGAGATAACACCATCGGTGGTGATCACCTGACAAGGAACTGGTGTGGTCTCTTTGAGGAAGGCAGCGAGGTCGTAGCCATCGATAAGTGCGTGGATCTGACGGCTCCACATGAGATAGTTGGAGGAGGTGAGTTTGGCAACGTTTGACGTGTTGACATTGAGTATAGATCCTTGAGTGGTTGGAACAGAATCAGTTGGGTTTGGTGTAGCCATGATAGGAGAGAAAAAGAAGGAGGAAAGAGAAAGAGGCGAGGAGAGAAGAGAAAAATTAGGTCTAGGTTAGATCAAAGGCTCTGATACCATATGAACTAATAGGTTTGAATGAATTGTATTGATGTGGTAGGAGATACATTTATACACAGGTCTGTACAGAGATAAGGCAACTCAATAACATTACAATGAATGACAATATACGAAAGAGTAATTTTAGCTAATCACAGATTGTGATCTTGAGGATATCTTCTTTCCTCTAACACTTAATGCATAGATTTGTCTATTAAATAAAGATGGTGTTTCTTTTATAAGCTACATATACATAGTAAAGCTAGATATAGGCCACAACCATTAGAAGCTACATACAAAGTGGTTTCTATTAATATTCTTTTATGATGTTTCTCCCGGAAAAGCTAACAAAAGTGTAACACCTTTCGTACTTATTCTGCTGGTAGATATTATGGAGGCTTTACAGCTTCAAATTCAATTACATAAGCGACTTCACGAGTGGTATGTTTATAGAGGTATTGGCTTTATCTTCTGTTTTTCTGTATTAGGTTTTGATTTGATGTGTTTTGATAGTATCATGGAAGAGTATATCGGCAAGATCTCATTTTTAATATATGGGCTTCGCCCAAAATGATTTGTCTACCACTTATTTTTGTTTAATTTATGGTCGTGTGCAGATTTTGTTGCAGATACAACACAAACTTCACCAGCTCCCTGATCTTGGAAGCAAAAAAAACAAATGCTGCTTGAAACCAATAAAATTTGGTCAATGAAGGTAATGTGTACACAATTAATAATGCATTTACTAATCATGTTACTGACATGGCTAAAACTCTTTCAGCTTTTGCTTGAGCAGTCATAATTGGTTATAGACATGAGGATGATAAAATGGTATGATTCTGATTCTTTTTTTATTATTTGTCTTTGTTCGGTCATCTTACAGCCTAGAATTATCTCATGAATCATGAGTCATGATCTGTTTTTTGTTTCAAAGTTGACTGTCAATGTATATCTAATTCTTTTATGTTCTCATGAACCATGAGTCATGGACTTCTAGGCACTGCAGCGTTATACATGCATATAGTTGACATGTATTCAGGTTCCGAATTCCATAACGGTAGTTACATGTAGTTAATAGGAAGAAGTAACGGGAGAAATAGGAAGCAGTCTGACCTATATGCATGGACCAACAACGAAGGTACTTAAACTGTTAACTTGATAGTGATGTTTAGTGCTAGCTCTTTCTCTTACGTGAACGTCTTCATCCTTCTCTTTATCAATCCATCTTCATATCTTTAATCTGCGGGTAGCTTAGTAAAATGGAGATACTATGTGCACACTACGGAAAGAAAGGAATTCTTTAGTAAAATGGTAGCTTTGTAAAGTTGCTTCGTTTGTAATCACACGGTTGGTGTGATTTATTTGTGAAAGGATACAATATACTCAATCATCAGTATATTAACTTTTCTCGTGGGTAATGACTTCTGTCCACTAGCATAATTTGTGTACAATTTGAAGCTTAGCTCTTTACTTGTGTTAGATGATCATTATATTATTAGTGAGTGAAAAAGTAATATATGAATACAAGATAGTGAGATTCCGTACTGTATACTTTTTTTCTTTTTATGGATCATGGTACCAATATCACAGTTGTAAAATATTACAGGATACATTCAGAGGAAGATGGCAGAAAAACTTGTGCTGATGTTTATGCAGCTGGTCCTTCAAAGGTTTGTTTCAATAAGCTTGCAAAGTTTTTTTCTCTACTGATATTGATTGTATGCATTAGAAAACTTCATAAACGAGTTCCCATAAACTTAAGTAGTATATCCAACTTTAAAGCTTTTAGCTATGCAAAGATTAGCTACATTTTTATAATTTTGATGTCGGTGGTGGATCTGGTGATTACTAGCATTATATCTCTATGTGTGTCTTTGTTGCTAACCTACACATGTTTGTCTTTTGTTATATTTTAAGTTCAACTCTTTAGGAAATGTGAAAGGAATCCCGTAAGTTTAATGTTTTACTCTCCAATTAAGTTTATACTGCAGGTTTTCAGGTGAGAATTATTCAAAGGAACAAAACTCACCCAGAAAATTAGAAAGTACCAGTTCTCATTAGAAAGCAGCATCAAGAATACTTGATTATGCGAAGGAAGACTGAAAGTGCAGAAATTGTCAATTTGGTTCTTTCAACTTGTTTGCGTTTTGGTAAGCATTTGTTATAGAGCTCTTTAGAAAATTGATTTTTTTTTCCCATTGAATGAGGGAAATGCCTTGAGATTTATTTGTTGGGTTTTCGCAGATATTTCAAAAATGATAATGCAAAACCCACTACTTGAACAAGCACAAGCTTTACATCTGCCAATAGGCGAGAGGAAAACCCTGAGTCCTTCTGCAATCTGAGCAAGTTAAAGTTATAATGATTGTATTATTTTCTTTATACAATGAACCTGGTAGCTCTAAATCATTTTCTTCTACAATTTATGTTCTTTGTAATTGTTTTTGATTTGGTTCTACAGACCTGACGAATTTGTCCACAGTGGTTCTTCTTCAGTGTCTTATGTAAATACTAACATTAGATAGATACATTAAATGGAGAGGCATCTTCATTGACAATGCCTCATAGCTCTTCTCATGAGCTACTTTTAAAAGGTTGTGTAATAAGATGTGTGTCTCTTATGTCCAATTTGGTTGCTTTACATACTCATTGTTTTGGCTTTTTACTCACTACTCGTGCAAAACTGTTATGGGTTTGAGGTTAAACTTATGAAAAATAGTCTTACAAGTACAAGTAGTAGATATGTATACTTTAAAAAGACTATAAAAATAAGTTCCACTGCGATCAATAAATAATTAATTTGATGAATCATGTCATTAATCTAGCTGCTCAATATATATTCTCCTGCTGAAAAATATATATGCTTAGGTTGGTAATATAATTAGTGTGAGAAGTAACCATATGGGAGGAGGGGGATGGGAAGGCGGTGAAGAGAATGTTTCCTACGTGCATCACCAAACACATTCTCAAGGATTATACCAGCCTATAGAATTAACAGCTTATAGAATGCAATCCATGTATGAAAATCGGGTAAATCTTTGCCTTAGATTATCTGCAAAACAGCTTCTATTCACAGTGATTTGGAACAACTATTAGGGACAAAATGTTTGCAAAATTAATGTGAGAATTAAGATACAAGTAACAAAATTTTGTAATAGTCATAACCCGCGCATCGCGCAGGCTTAGCCCTAGTAATAATAAAGAAAGCATGCTTCTTCTTCCTCTATCCTCTCTATTATGAAAAACCTAACTTTCTCTTTATTTTGTTTCTCACTTTCCAGCGATCAAAGAACAATCTCGAAATTATGAATCCAGATTCTGATCATCTTCAGCTTTCCAACATCAAAATCCATCACCATGCTTCCCCTTGTCAATTTCACCACCACCACCACTCCCACTCCTCCTCCACTCCACCGCAATCCAAACTCCCACAGCCGGAGCTCGCCGTAAGATCGGAGTCGCCATCGATCTCTCCTTGGAGAGCGCTTTCGCCATCCGCTGGAGGAGAACAACTACGTCTCCGGGATGGATGTAGTGATCAACGAACATCTGTACCAACACCTACATCCACCCAGATCCATCATCAGTCAACATCTCTCGGCTTCTCGATATGCTCAGTCAACGACAAGTTCATCTTGCGAAGAAAACAACACGACCTTTTGTCTTTCTAATGACGAAACAGCCAATTCTTCATAATCAATTTCTTCTTCTCTCTAAAAAATATGGTATTTTTTTTTAATATAGAAAATGCCACATGACAACTTTAAAGAAAACTTAAAATGTTGAGGTGTCACTCATATGGAAAGTGATATCCTCTCATTATAATATAGATTATAATGTGTATAAGTCATAAAATATAGAATATCACTTAGATAATATAGTGGAAAGCTAATAAGAAATTAGAAACAAGAACCATAAATTTTTAGGATTATGACATGTTTGTTTTAAAATTATAATTTGAATTTACAAATATAAAATTGTATATAAAAATCAATGATCATCCTGATCAAACGCTAATCTACAAAAACAACAAATATGTATTTTACCATATTTTGAGTTAAATGTGATTTTGTACCATATTTTAAACTTCTTTTTTCAAGTTCAGTGTTAACTTATAGTTCAATGAAACTAAATATTTAAAATGTTAGAAAAAAAGAACCAGAGATGAAGTATAGTATTCACATTTTTAAAAAGTCATATTTTAACTCAAAACATAACCACCATAATTAAATATTAAATCATCATAATTTAATCAACGAATATAATTGTTTTGGCAATAACTCTGTCCTTGCGCGGGTTTCATTCCCTACTAGTAACAATTTGTAAGTGCAGCTCCTATATTGGATTGTGCGCCATCAATCCTCATTGGACCTCGTAGGCTAACAGTCTCCTGACACTGGCATCTAACCCTGTAACTGGGGAAAAAAAATTATTATTAAAAACTTTAACTCGTTAGTAGTCGGTGTCACCGAGATTTTCTTTACTACACAACTAAACATAATTTAGAGAAAATAAACTCTTAACTATATCAAATTATTTCTGGACTTATAAAGAAGGCAAAATAAATATAAAAATAGAAAGGTGGAATAAAGAAAAAACCAAAACCGAAGTTAACACAAAAGTTAAAAGCAAATAAACGAAGTCAAAAATAGACATAGAAAAGGCAAAAGCAATTTTCTGGAGATCTATATATGTGTGTTCAAATATCAATTATTTGTAAGTAAATTGCGGCATAGACAATGTGTTTAAAGGTTAAGTTTATTTACAAACTCTTTCAGTTTTTTCTTACCTTTTTTTATTACCTTTGTTAAATTTTGAACATTTTCCTTGAAAAGAATTAAGGGAAACGGTCAAAATTATAAAATGAAAAACATATTTTTGAATATCATAATACAAAGGGTCTTTAATAAAATGGTATATTTTTAATATAACCATTTTAATCTTATATATAATTAGGGAGTTGCTCTCTCCATTTAGAGTGTCCACATCAGCACAAAAACATTAAATTGTATTTAAAATATTTATTAAATATATGACTATTCATATTTCTTTACATTTATTCATATTTAATAAAAATATACAAATAAATTAATTAATTAATAGAAAGTATGTGATAATTTGATGTTAAAAGTTATCAAAAAGTTGGAATATAAAATAGAGATGGAGTAAAGAAATATTTAACTTCAAATAGTATATATTTACCTTTTTATTCAAAGGATTATCCTATTTAAAAATGTTATAATGTGTTTACAAGTTAAAAAGTTGAATATAAATTAATTAAGATAATAGAAAGCTAATGAAAAATTAGAGTTAGAGTTTGTTTTTCTAAACAAATAGAAATAGAGTTTTATATGTAAATTTAATTATAGTGAAAAACAAGAATATGTTTACAAATTTTAACCTTCAGTCAAATGGTCAAATGCATATACATATTTATAAATTTTAACCTTCAATCAAATACATATACATGTTTACAGTCTAATAGAAGTAAAAAAAAAAGTAAACAAACATAATATTTATAACATGATAAAATTTTAGAAATAGAAAACTCGAGATAAAGCGGGGTGTTAATATCCTAATAAATTAAAATAAAAAAAATTATTCATATTTTTTATGTTAGTTAGTTTGTGTTGAGTTAACTCAAAACATAACAAAAACATGAAAGTTAACACAAAACCATCATAATTCAAATCAACGAGTATAAATAAAATTAAACAGAAAAACTATCGCAAACAACCGGTTTCAAACCTAGTTATAATTAATTACAGTGCCCACTCCGACGTCTCGTGGACAAAAGTAATTAATTTGTATTTTACATGTTTAGCATTTTTATTGGTTAAGAAATGAAAATTTAAAAGTGCATATACGTATTCGTGTAGCCATTCCACTTTCTTTAACATAATATTGTCTGGTACTGTCGGAAAATATCCTCTTAACATGGTAAAGCCTTTAGTATCTTCTTTGGTCTGTAACTATGTATCTATTAAATTAAATCCATATGTTCTTAAATTGTAAATACATTCATGATTTAACTCTTTTTGCCTGAAAATATATGTAGAAGAAGACTTGGATCTTGAATTTCTTACTGTTCATTCTCCAAATCTTCACATCTTCGGAAGCATTGGATGTTACTCAATACGGAGCGGTTGGAGATGGAGTTACAGACGCTTCTCAGGTAAAAGACAGATTTCATTCGTAGTTGTAATGTTAATCAAATCTTTGTTCATTCTACATCCAAAAAGTTCCTAAAATGTTTGTATCTTTTTACTTTTCTTGGAAGGCGTTCTTGAAAGCTTGGGAAGTTATCTGTAGCGGGGCAGGAGATGGGCAGCTTGTCGTTCCGGCAGGGATGACATTTATGTTACAGCCCTTGAACTTTCAAGGTCCTTGCAAATCGACCCCTATTGTTGTTCAGGTACTCTGTTTTTCCCCTTTTTCTAATTTATTATTCTTGAACATGAATGACGAGTATGCTGAAGTAAGCAATTAGTAAATTTAAATGAAGATTTTGGGCAATCTGTTCGCATCGAGTAAAGGAAAATGGAAAGGAGACAAAGATCAATGGATTCTTTTCTCAGACATCGAAGGACTTGTGGTTGAAGGTGGCGGCGAAATAAACGGCCAGGGTTCGAGCTGGTGGGAACACAAAGGCTCTAGACCAACCGTAAGGATAACGTTAGGGCTTTCTTTTTCAAAACTTTTTTTTTTGTATCAGAAATTAAAATGAGCTTTTCTTTTCTTTTGAGGTTAGGCATTGAAGTTCAAGAGCTGTAACAACCTTAGATTGAGTGGGTTAACGCATGTAGATAGTCCGATGGCTCACATTCATATAAACCAATGCAACGATGTGAGTATCTCAAGACTCCGGATAAATGCGCCGGAATCAAGTCCCAACACTGACGGAATCGACGTGGCCGCTTCATCCAATGTTATTATCCAGGATTGCCTCATCGCCACTGGTAATGAAACTGTCTCCAACTTTTTTTTTTGTGGCAATTTGTGTAAATTCCAAACCAGAAATATAGGAAAGTAATGAGAATAGTTCTAAAATCCGGATGCTGTATGAATGCAAACATTTACATGTCAAAATAGACGGTCCCTTTTATGTCACATCCAATAATGTCACTCGAAATGTACTGATCATTCATTATCATCATCGATTCGTTATGCACATGATGTTGTAATGATTTATAACAGGTGACGATTGCATTGCGATAAACTCGGGGACGTCTAACATCAGAATTTCCGGAATAGATTGCGGACCAGGCCATGGAATAAGGTTAAGCTTTTAAAAAGAATCTACTGAAAAATGTTAAATAAGATATAAAAATATTTATGTAAACATTTGTATAATATATAATATATAGCATCGGAAGCCTGGGAAAAGATGGAGAGATAGCGTCAGTGGAGAACGTATGCGTCCAAAACTGTAACTTTAGAGGAACTACCAATGGGGCTCGGATCAAAACCTGGCCGGTACTTTAGTTTTTTTAGCATTAATTAAATATCAATTATTAGTCATTTTATATTGCCTGTTCTTTGAAATAAAATGTGGTAGTAATTAATATAAACAGGGAGGATCGGGTTACGCAAGAAAGATAACTTTCCATGGGATTACTCTAGATAATGTCGAAAATCCAATCATAATCGATCAGCACTACAACAACGGAGATTCTGATAAAACCACAGATGATAAGGTACGCGTAGTACCGTAACGCAAGATTTGATTATAAGTTTATAACACTAAACAAATAATTAAATGGGAAACTACTTTTCTTTTTGTTTCAGTCCTCGGCAGTTGAAGTAAGCAAAGTTGTGTATAGTAATTTCGTGGGGACGTCAAAATCAGAGTACGGCGTTGACTTCCACTGCAGCGAGTCTGTACCGTGCACAGAGATTTTTATGAGAGACGTGAGAATAGAAACGGCATCATCAGGATCAGGACAAGTAGCACAAGGACAGTGTTTAAACGTGAGAGGTGGTGTGTCCACACTTGCTGTACCAGGTCTAGAGTGTTTAGCACTTTCCACAGATATGTTGTCATCGGCGGAATTTCCGGAACAAACTTGTATGTTGCCGAATTCAATGCATCCAAATACACTTCCGATGCAAGATCCGTTATGGGTTTACGGAAGCGGAGGAAAACAACTCAGAGTTTACGATACCTTATTGACTTCATTTGTCTCTTTGGTCCTATATGTTTTACGTTAGTTGAAGACTTATATTATGCGAGTACGTGGGGGTGATAAACTGCATCGGAGTTTGTAATAAAATGGTTCTTTTTTTAGTGTCACCACCATCTTGATTCTTGATTGTGTTTGTGACTCCGGTTTTGTATGTGTTTGAAGCTGGTTATTATTGAAACCGGACTGGCCTCGTTTGGAGTTGGACCACAACAATTTTACCTCAAAAAAGACATCGAAGAAAACTTACCCCAAATTTGGACACAATCTTCTTCCGAATCTTTCTCTCGGAATGGACCACCGTTCAACGACCGGAGTTTAATTTACTAAGTCGTGAGCCATGGTTTGCGTGGCCAGTGACGCTCGTCGCCACGAGTGGTGACATATCCACAGACAAGAACTCGCTCGTGGCTAACTTTGACACATTCGTCGCCACGAGGTATGTGAACTGCAGAAAAATAGAGCTAAAGCAGGATATTTTCTCAATCAACAACCAAATTTGTGAATAACTTTCATTCTTTACCATTTGATAAACACATGTGCAAGAAGTAGGTTTAGAGGTATTGTAAACAGAGTTATTTAGTAGATCTGGTTCTCATTAGTTGAGATCTCCGCTGAGCTTGGAACATAAGAGAAGGCGTGCGGGAAAACATTTCTGCCTCTTGTAACTTTTCGGAAATCAACATCTCTGAAGTAACCATTTTCTCCAATGAAGTAAACTGTGTTGAAACTGGTTTCTGGATAGTTATGATCTTCATCAAAAACAATCACGGCTCTCTTCTCCTCGTCGGTGATGAAACTCCCACCACTAAAGAACTGAAACCAAGTGAGTGGTGACATATCCACAGACAAGAACTTGCTCCAGGACGCCGCATTGGGCTCAATCTTGGTCGTAACCCAAACATCCATCTCATATGTATCCAAGTTCTGAAACAAGACGGCAAGCTGCTCTTCTCTGACAGTAGATAGAGTCACGGCATCTTTGTGATAAGACTCAAACGGCAGAGACAGGCGCGGAGCAAATCTCTCTGTCGTAAAATCAAAACAGAGTAAGAAACCAGGGACGTTTCCTCCAGCTTCCTTATCTTGAGCAAAGCAGTAGGCATTTCCCTTCAAAGACAGGGCATATTTATCGTACTCCAAATCAAGATTCCAGTCTGGAGTGACATCATCAAGAACCCTCCATGAATCAGAGTTTACATGGTAGATCTCGTGCACACATCTCTCCGAGGGAGGATGAGCAAATCTCAGGATTTTTTGTGTGCTCTTGTCGTATCCGAGAGCATGAGCATACCAAAACTTACTGTGGTCAACGGAATTAGGTTCGACGGAGATCCACCGAGTTTGACCCGAATAAGGGTTCCAAACCACGAGCTTAGTGTAGTCTTCCGTCACGCATAGCAATAAACCCTCGCAGTGATAAACTTGAGTGACCTCTATTTGTTTCTCCGAATCGTTTAGGCTAGTAAGGTTACCTCTAGGAGTTATAGATGGATCAGAGTAGTTGAGATTGACGCTCATCAAATGAAGACTAGAATTATTCAAAACGATTGCTAAAATCTCCCCTTCCCCTGCTTCTGCTGATTGAGCAAGGTGATTCTTTGTAAAGGTCCCATCTTTGGATATAGAGTTCCACATTTTGCAAGTAGATCGGAATTTTCTCAGAGATGTCGCCGGAACCCTAGAGAGAATCTCCTCCACCAAATCCCTTGAAATATTGGACATCTTAGCCATTGGATCCAACTTCAAATATGTCTCCTTTCCCCTGGGCCATTTTAAGGTGAGCCAGGAAAACTATAGTAATCCGACACGGCATCGTTTTATTAAGAGTGATTGTTCTGTTAGGTTTGTTGATTAATCTGTTTTCCGTGACAAATAATACTCGTTTTATTAAGAGTGATTGTTAGTGAATCTGTCGTTGGTTAGTTTCGTAGTTATCAAATGCAGTCAAGAGACAAATCTTTCATCTAATTCATAAATCTTCAAAGGGAAGTTTACTAAAGTAGCATAAATTTGTATGTTAATTACTAGATTAACTCAAATCATTTTAAAATTACTAATTTTAATATTATATATGTATTACCCTTAAATGCTTTAATAAGAACAAAATGTAATTACATATTTGCCATTACTATTTATTTGTAGTCATCAATTTTTTTTTTTACGGAAATGCCACTATCATTTCGAAAATCCAATCTGATAAATCTGTCAAATTATTGACGACAGATTTTTTAATGTTCGACAAATTTAGTTCGAATGGCAGATTTTTCATTTAGATGACATATTTATCTTATGTGACGAAGCCACAGATTTACCATGTCTCACAGTTTTGTTTACTATGTCAGACTTATTTGATAGATTTATGGCTATTGAAGCAACATAGTTATTAATGTCTGCCAAATTTAAAGTACGGTGACAGACTTTCTTCACTTATTTGATTAACCTCTGACAGACTTTCGTAACATGAAGAGCCAGATTTTTATTTTGTAGTATTAATAACGACAGACTTATGGTACATGTAATATAAATCTGTCAGCACAATGAGTTCAAAGTCAAATCACGGTACTAACTTTTACCTTGTGACAGACTTTCTTTACATGGTGGCAGTTTTAGTTTTTTAAGCACAAATATGTGTTTGACATCAGTCTTTTATGGTGTATATTGTGTCAGATTTCTATTTTAGTGAGATCATCACAATAATCATCTTCCATGGATTATCCTTGTATGTGGAAAATAGATGTTCCAAAAAACAGATGGTTGTTTGAGGTCGATCAAAAAAGAGGGTGCAAAATCCTCTCAGCAAATGATAATACAGGTTTCGATGACTTCGTTACAATGGTATTCGAAGATTTAAAGGTTGATAGAAACCTCTATGAGGTGGAATTGAGTTACATGTTCTCGAAGCTGATGCGACTAAAATTACCTCAAGATACACCACCGGTGAGTGTCGGAAGTTCTCGACAACTCCATGAGTTTCTAAATCAACAGAAGACTGGGAATGCTCGTCTTTGTGTCGAAATTGAAATTAAGAGGAGAAGAATAGGCGGCAGGCGGAGGTGAAGAGATGACTACTTCTGTTCGTTATCGTCGCCGGCATGAGAGTGTCGACTTCGTAGTCGGAGACGGCGAAAGAGTTTTATTTTGTTTTGGTAAAAGACAAACTACATAATTTTAATACGAATTTTAAATTTAATAATAATAATAAAAGTAAATGGTATTGTAGTTATTTGAGTTTCGTAGGGGTATTATGTCATTTCAAATAAAATCAGTGTTAATCTAGTAAGTTATGTTTTGGGTATGTTTACTAGGTGTTAGTCTAGTAATTTACGGATAAATTAGTGTTAGTCTGAGTAATTTCTCCAAAATATTTGATAAAGAATTCATAAAATCAATGAGAATTCACAAGAATCCCCACAAATTTTTAAAATCTCTAAACTTTTAAAATCCATAAGAATTATATTCTCAGTAACCCCTTAAATTATAAATCCTGCGTATACACAGGGACCTAATCTAGTTTTTTAATAAAAATTAATCTTTCTATAATTATGTTGTTCTTTGCTTTCTATTGTTGATTATACTTTCTTCTATTTTGTATTATTTTCAATTAAATATTACTCATTCTGTCCCAAATTATAAGTAGTTTGGGACAAAAGTGAGAAATTAAGAAAAGTAATTTTTTAAATAAAATATTATTTAAAAAATAAATAAAATATTATCTAACCAATGTTGAAAAAAACTGTGTAACCTAATTGGGTACAGTAAAGTAAACAATTTATATTGTGGGACAAATTTTTTTCCTAAAACTGCTTACATTGTGGGACAGAGAGAGTCCATTTTTTCATTTTTCTAATAAGGATTAGTTTTTTCAATTATTTGTTTTCCTTTTTTTATGAATGATCTTCATTGAGTTAACATGGAGTTTTGAAGATGAGAAATTGTCAATGACTTGTGAAATTCGTCTTGCTTTTATAATTTGCTTCATAAGGCAATAAGTATTTTTGAAAATAAATTTTCCTAACTTTCTTTTGCCGTGGTCATATAAGAACACCATTCTTCTTTTATTTGCACTAGGTGTGAACCGACTATTTATTAGGAAATGTTGATAGTGTTAGTTTAAGTATCCCGTAAAAACTAAAGTTTCAAAACTATGAATTAGGTATTTTTGTTTTTATTTCATGGCACTTTATGTGTGTAATTCAACACCTTTACTATGTTTAAAACATCGTTAATCGGACAGGGAAGATTAAATTAGCCATTTTTTAAAAAATTGAAATTAAATCAGTAATTATTCGAGGCAGAAATTTTCATCTCTATATTTAAACTATATATATATAGTTCATACAATTCTATATAAATGACATTTTGTATTTTTAAAACATTTTCATATCTATAAATATAAAGTTTATACAATTCTATTTTGATGATGTCATATCAGCAATAGAGGAGAGCTATAATCGTTAGCGTAAACAATTTAATATATCAGATTTTTTTTTTTTTAAATCATAATAATTACCATTCATTAAATAGGCTTAACAAGAATATGCAAAATCATTTAAAAAAGGAAAAAGATTTTATATAAATCTATAAAACTATTATTTAGTAGTTCTCAAGATATATATTATAGAAATGAAACGCATGTACTCTATCTTCTTCAATCTTCCTTCTCTGATCTTTAACCTTTTCAGGTAAAAAGAAAATGAGGTGTCACCATAAGATTTGATTCCTTTCCAGGGTTGGAAGTGTTTGTATAGTAGTACTTTTTACTTACATCTTGAATTAAATTTGTTTTACAGCGTATACTTCATGATTGGACCGACGAAGATTGCGTCAAGATACTTAAAAACTGAAATCTCAAGCAGAGAATGGTAAAGTTGTTGTAATAGAATTAGTCACTCCTGATGACGCTGAGAATGGGGACATCAATGCAAACATTTCCTTTGACATAGACATGTTGATGTTCACTCAATGTTCCGGCGGATAAGAGAGGTCACGAGCTGAGTTTGAAGCTCTAGCCGCAGCTTCTGGCTTCATCCATTGCAAGTTCGTTTTCCAAGCTTATGACTGCTGGATTATTGAGTTCAGTAACGAAAATGTGTAAACTATAAAAGCTAAATCTCCATTATTTTTCGTTTCATCTTTGTTTTAGTTTTTTTTTTTTATGTTTGGAATGTTTATACATCTATCTTTGTCTGCGAGCAATGTGAAATGAAAAATAAGGAAGCTTTTGTTCTATTCTTCTGAAATATCATGAATAAAATGTTATGCTGTAACAAAGCTATCTCAGGAAAAATAAACAATAATGGAGTTTCAACACCTAACCAAAACCCGAAACCAATCACGGTTTGGTTGCAAGCTGCGAAATCTTGATCATCCCATCATCACTGGCTGAGGCAAGCAACCGGTTCGTCTACTGTTTCAGGTAACAACCCGAAGCTAAAAATCATAGATTCTATGCGAAAGAAATTTCTGGTTAAAACTTAAGACATAACCGACCGTATCTATCGTGTACTCAAAACCAAAGCAAATATCAGAGATAATTGTCATCATCTCTTTGATCCTATAACAAAGCTTCACTAAAATGTTCTAGCTTCTAAGCCACATTTATACGATGTCATATAGACCTTACTTCATCATTTTAACCATATATCAAGCATGAGGTTGTGTACATTTGTATTTATTACTTTATAAGAAACAAAAAACTTACACCAGGCGACTATTGGACACTGTGAATATGTGATCTTCTTCTTTTTTTATTAATGGCCGGAACATTCAGAGACAATTGGGTCGGTTCACTTGTATGTTTAGGTGTTGGATGTTACTTGCTTGAAGAACACGTTCGAGCTTGAGGTGGTTTCAGAAACGCCTTCACTAAAGCCAACGGCATCTCCAACACACTCGGCATCTGCATTCACAATACAACAAAGAAGCAATGAATTAAGCAACTATGTACAACTAAGCCCAAAATGTCTCTCAACGAAGCAACTAAATCTGAAATTTAGTCTTCCTATTCAATAATAGCTTCAAAGCTTAAGACTTTTATTGCTTCCGCACTCTTCACATTAGTGTTTCCTTTAAACCCAAAATCCTCAGTTATGGAGAAGAACTTTCGATTTTCCCAGCACTAAAAAACCTCTCAGATTTTAAGGAACCCCCAAATGACCAAGTAATTCTTGCAAATCGAACCTCAAAATTATCACTGACACTCATCTGTTACCAAATGAACAAAGCAGAATCAATCACTTATGACTTATCAGCAAAGAAACTATAAAAATTTTACAGCAGATAGATCACACACTAAAGCACAATATTCACAAAGAAACTGAAATCGAAATCGAATAACACTTGCTCAGAAAATAACGAAGACTGATCAGATCATAGGGGGAAATAAAAGAAAACGGATCCACCAGATCAGGAACATTTATGAGCAGAGACGGAATAAAGGGATGTAAATATAAAAATACCTGAAGAATGTAGACAATGTGGTTGGAGAGGTTCGAGCCCGAGACCTCGAGGAAGTTGGGAGCTAAGTCTTCAGCTCAAGGAAGCTTCACTAAGATAGTTACAAGTGTCTCTCTCTCATAGATCAAGTGCTTATATGCACGTGCGAGTTTAGCTGACCAATAAGCTGGTGTTTGTTATAAGCTTAGATCTTATCCTCTCTGTGGATAAGGAGTTCTCTTTGTAACAGAAAACAGAGAGAGAAAGAGAGAGATAAGATAGAGAGAGAGAGAGACGAGAAACGTTGCAACGGTGATCGGAGAAAGCTCAAGTTCCGAGCTGATCTAGTGAAGCTTGCCGGCGTTGCCGTGCCCCAGGAGAGTAGGAAACGAACTCCTGGGTAACCAAAATCGTGTTGTCTCTTCTTGCTTTATCTTCTTTGCTCTTTCCATGCGATTTCATCTTCAATTCAAGTGAGAGAGAGAGTTGTTAGTGAGAGTTGATCTTAGCGTTAGATCGCACAAATTGGTATCAGAGCCAGGTAGCGGCTCATGAACGACTCAGGTTTCGAATCGGGAAGATGACGACGTCACGGAGCGAGATTGCTCAGTACGACGGATCCGGAGACTTTGTAATCTGGAGGAAGAGAGTCCTCGCACACATCACCGTGCAAGGATTGAAGGATCTCTTGAAGCCAAAGCCAATCCTCACTCTATCGTTGGCGGAGGAGACGCCGGAAGCGAAAGAAGTGAGGATTCAGGAAGAAGCGGCGTGATTGGAGCGCGACGATAAGGCTCTTAATCTGATCTTCACTTGTGTTGCTGATAAAGTCCTAAGGAAGCTCGACAAATGTACCACTGCAGCAGAAGCATGGGAAGCACTGGATCGCCTCTACATGACACAATCTTTACCAAATAGGATTAACTCGTTCAAGATGCATGACGCGAAGACAATTGACCAGAACGTAGACGACTTCCTCAAGCTCATTGGCGATCTCGAGAATTTGAAGATCGAAATTCCATAGGAGGTACAAGCTATTCTTCTCCTTAATTCTCTTCCTAGTAAATATGATTCCTTAAAGGAAACATTGAAATATGGTAGAAAAGAAATTATTTTAGATGATATAGTTAGTCATGCTAAGTCTATGGAACTGGAGTATAGAGAAGCACCTAGCTCTAGGACTATCGGGGAAGGTAATTTTGTTAGAGGTAGATCGGATTCTCGGACTAACTTTTCAGGTAAATCAAAGAACAATCAATCGAGATCAAGATCAAAGGATGGAAAGAAAGTCTGTTGGATCTGTGGAAAAGAAGGCCACTTCAAGAAGAAGTGTTACAAGTGGATCGAGCGGAATAAAGGCAAAAGTCACTCTCAGGATTCAGGGGAATCGAGCTTAGTCAGAGATGATGCAAAGGACCTTGTTGGCTTTCTAGTTAATGAGGTCAACATGTCAAGAGAGGAAGGTGATCATGAGGAATGGATAATGGACACAGGCTGCACATTCCACATGACACCAAGGAAGGATCTGTTTCTTGAGTTCAAGGAAGTGTCGAATGGAAAAGTACGGATGGCGAATGACTCAGTGTCTGATGTCAGAGGAGTTGGATCAGTCAGATTCAAGAATCCAGACAACACTACCTTTGTTCTCCATGATGTGAGGTACATGCCGGGAATTTCAAAGAACCTGATCTCCATGGGAACTTTGGAAGGCAAAGGGTGTGAGTTCAAAGGTTCAGAGGGGATCCTGAAGGTGATAAAGAGCTGTACAGTGATAATGAAGGGAACCAGAAGATCGTCCTTGTATATTCTACAGGGTTCCGCAGTTGAGTCTTCGAGTGGGGTTCCAGGTTTGAATGCAGCAGCTACAGTCAGTCAGAACAAGGATCAGACAGAGTTGTGGCATAGCAGGATGGGTCACATCGGACAGAAAAGGTTTGATGTACTAGCTAAGAAAGAATGCTTTGGAGGAAGCAAGGTCTCAGATATCAAGTTTTGTGAAGATTGTGTGATGAGGAAAACTCATCGAGTCAGCTTTGGACCAGCTCAACACAACACAAAGGAGAAGCTTGACTACGTCCACTCAGACTTATGGGGCTCTCCGAATGTGCCTCATAGTCTAAGCAAGTGTCAATACTTCATTTCATTCACGGATGACTACTCGCGGAAGGTTTGGGTCAGTTTTCTCAGGTTCAAAGATGAAGCGTTTCGAAGTTTTGTGGAATGGAAGAAGATGGTAGAGACTCAGAGTGGCAGGAATATCAAGAAGCTAAGAACAGCTAATGGATTAAAGTTTTGCAAAAATCAGTTCAATGACTTCTGCAAACAAGAAGGAATGGTGAGACACAAGACTTGTGCATACACTCCACAGCAAAATGGAGTGGCAGAGAGGTTAAACAGGACGATCATGAATAAGGTCAGAAGCATTTTGAGTGAAAGCGGCTTGAGTCAAAAGTTTTGGGCTGAAGCAGTGTCAACCGCAGTTTACCTCATAAACAGATCACCATCGTCGGTGATTGATTTCAGAGTACCAGAGGAGCTTTGGTCAACAGTTATGCCGAGTCTAGAGAATCTCAGAAGATTTGGTTGTGTTGCGTATGTACACTCAAGCGATGGCGAGTTAAACCCAAGAGCGAAAAAGGGAGTTTTTACGGGATATCCAGAGGGAGTAAAAGGATTCAAGGTTTGGCTTTTGGAAGAACATAAAGTGGTTATCAGTAGAAGTGTGGTTTTCCGTGAAGACCTGGTATACAAAGACATCATGTCCAGTTCAGGAGGGGAAAATCAGGGTTCAAAACTCGTGAACTTAGACATGGTTGATGTTCAAGGTGGAGCTACTGAGATTTGGTCTAATGAGAAGGAAGACGAGTCTGTTCAAGGTGGAGCTACAAAGGTTTCAGAGGCTACTGTGTTAGCACTTGTTTCAGCTTCAGAGGACAGTGTTCAGAAGGTCAGGGATTATCAGTTGGTTAGAGACAGGACTAAGAGACCAGTGAAGCCTCCAGTGAGGTTTACTGACTATGATTGTACGGGAGAAGAGGATCCTGATGACTACGAGTTTGCTGGGTTTGTTTGTTTGCAGTCAGAAGATGGCAGCTCAGAGCCTCAGACTTTTCAACAAGCTATGATTGATCCTGACAGTGGCAAATGGATGGAAGCAGTTGGGGATGAATATGGATCACTTATGAAGAACCGTACTTGGATTCTCATAGACAGACCATTGAATCAGAAGACAATAGGGTGTAAGTGGATATTCACCCGGAAACCTGGTATAATTGGAGTAGAAGATCCGAGGCTTAAAGCTAGACTTGTAGCAAAGGACTTTTCTCAGAAGGAGGGCATCAACTACAAGGAGATATTTGCTCCTGTTGTTAAACATGTGTCTATCCGATACATTTTAGCAGCTGTTGTTCACTATGACATGGAGCTTCAGCAAATGGACGTCAAAACTGTGTTTCTCCATGGTCATCTAGACGAGTTCATAGTGATGGATCAACCAGATGGCTTTGTAGACAAGAATCACCCTGATAAGGTTTGTTTACTAAAGAAGTCGTTGTATGGTTTGAAGCAATCGCCAAGGTAGTGGAATAAGAGGTTCGATGACTTCATGCTGGCGAATGAGTATTGCAGGAGTGAATACGACTACTGTGTCTACTACAAGATGTTTTCAAGTGGGATATACATCTACTTACTCTTATACGTGGATGATATCTTAATTGCTTCAGTAGACAAAGGTGAAGTTCATAAACTCAAGGCGCTTCTCAAGTCAGAATTTGAGATGAAGGATTTGGGGGATTCTAAGAAAGTTCTTGGCATGGAGATTGTCAAGGATAGAGTAAAAGGAGGCTTATGGATTTCACAGGAGAGTTACTTGATGAAAGTTCTATCAAATTTTGGGATGGAACAAGCTAAAGAGGTTTCTACACCAATGGAAGCTCATTTCAAGCTACAGTCAGCTACAGATTCAGAGTTGCTAAGTCATGCAGACTACATGGAGAATGTCCCTTATCAAAGTGCAGTTGGGAGCATTATGTACTCAATGGTGGGCACTAGACCAGACATGGCATATTCAGTGGGTCTAATCAGTCGGTTCATGTCAAAGCCAATAAAGGAGCACTGGCTAGCCGTGAAATGGGTTCTGCGTTATATCAGAGGATCAGTTACAGGAACAGAGGTGACTTTGTGGTTCGAGGCTACTGTGATTCAGACTACGCAGGCGATCAGGACCAACGTCGATCAATCACAGGTATGGTTTTCACTGCAGGTGGGAACACAATCAGCTGGAGATCTACTTTACAGAAGATTGTAGCATTGTCATCTACAGAAGTTGAGTATGTCTCGTTATCAGAGGCAGTAAAGGAAGGTGTTTGGTTAAAGAGGTTTGCAGAAGAATTGGGTTTTAGTCAGGAATCTGTTGAGATTCATTGCGACTCTCAGAGTGCTATTGCGTTGTCAAAGAACGCCGTACATCACGAGAGGACCAAGCATGTGACCGTGAAGTATCACTTCATCAGAGATTTGATCAGTTGTGGAGAAGTCAAGGTTCTGAAGATTCCAACAGCATATAATCCTGCAGACATCTTTACCAAAGTGTTGTCAGTTTTCAAGTTGAGAGAAGCATTGAAGATGCTTCGCGTTTCAAAAGATTGAAGGTTGCATCCGAGTCTGGATACAAGTGATTCACCAAGAGTTAGGCATTGTCTAAGGTGGAGATTTGAAGAATGTAGACAATGCGGTTGGAGAGGTTCGAGCCCGAGACCTCGAGGAAGTTGGGAGCTAAGTTTTCAGCTCAAGGAAGCTTCACTAAGATAGTTACAAGTGTCTCTCTCTCATAGGTCAAGTGCTTATATGCACGTGCGAGTTTAGCTGACCAATAAGCTGGTGTTTTTTATAAGCTTAGATCTTATCCTCTCTGTGGATAAGGAGTTCTCTTTGTAACAGAAAACAGAGAGAGAAAGAGAGAGATAAGATAGAGAGAGAGAGACGAGAAACATTGTAACGGTGATCAGAGAAAGCTCAAGTTCCGAGCTGATCTAGTGAAGCTTGCCGGCGTTGCCGTGCCCCAGGAGAGTAGGAAACGAACTCCTGGGTAACCAAAATCGTGTCTTCTGTTCTTGCTTTATCTTTTTTGCTCTTTCATGTGATTTCATCTTCGATTCAAGTGAGAGAGAGAGTTGTTAGTGAGAGTTGATCTTAGTGTTAGATCGCACAATACCCATTCTCGCCCAACGATGATGCGCAGATGGACTGATGAATGAAGAAGAGAATGGTGAAAAATTAAGAGACAGAGATCTCAAAGCGAAGTCGAGCTTGTGATGCACAGCCGTAGCTTGTGATGGATTATCGCTTTCAATCGCTGGCGACGAAAGGCAACCTTGTTCGTGAGGAGAGAGACCGGCGGTGTGTCACGTTTACGGAAGTTGATTTTTTTTGGGGTACGAACAAATTTGGAGATGAGAGAAACGAGATCTGTGTGGAGTTTTTATAGTGGAAGATGATAACTGAAGTGGTGGAAGCTTTAGCTGTAGTGTAAAACGCGGCCATTAAAGACCTCTGTAATAGGGAAGGTCGGAGGTGAAGAGTCCCCGTGGCGGAAGGAAGCGGGAAGTTGACCGGAAGAGATTTTTTTATTTATTTGTTATTTTAGAGGAAAAAAAATTGACTTGTCACTAAACGGCGTCGTTTGGAGAAAAAGAAAATGAATATTTTGTGAAGAAGGTGACCTGGCATGTTCTAGAGGTGCTGAGGTGTCATCAGCTGAAAAGTGTCATAAGAACTTTCAGTTATGTAGATTTTGTGAAAAAGGTGACATGGCACATTCTAGATGTGTTGAGGTGTCATCAGCTGGAGAGTGTCATAAAAATTTTCAATTATGTAGATTGGTCTTCCATCTTATTCTTTGGGCAAATACAGGTAATCTCTCCTTGCGTTGCTTTGCTTGTACTCTTATTTTATTATGTCTTATATCTTGTGTTTTATGTTGGATAGTTTTTCTTCTGTTCGTATGATTTCTCTTCAGCCACCGTATATAGTTCCATTTTTTGTTTTATGTTTTTCTGTGTATTATTTTTTTGTTTGATTGTGTCAATTTTGGTGTTATCGTTAACTCTTGTTGTGTTGTTTGACTTTTTTTTTTGTTTTATGAAGTCAATTTTTAATGTATTATAGAAACAAATACATAAAAATCAAATTTCATCACTTTTAAAAATAAGTAAAATTAGAAAATTGCACCATTATAAATTTTTTTAACAAAAAATATGTATAAATTTCTAAATTCAATAACTGAATTAGAGTAATAATTCAAATTACATGTTAGAGAAACAAATTGCTCCTCAATTCATTTTAATCATAACGCATATCATAATCAGAACAATATTTTTATCTTTTATCATTCCATAATTTTTTTTAAATTAACTTTTTAAGAAAAGGAATGGTTCAGATATGATCAACTAACGTCACCGAAAGCATTGTTCAAATACGAGAGATAATTTATCGTAAGGAATCATCGCCGAAACAACTAAATTTTTGTTTAACCTTAAGACATACACGAAATAAGAAAGAATCCTATAATACATTTTTAATTTAAAGCCAAGAAGTCAACCGGGTCTACGAATATATTTTATATATGGTAGTTCTTCTAATAGGAAAATCGGATATGCGAAACTTATATGTTTGTGAAATCAAAAAGTTTAGTGTATGTTCTACCTCGAATAAAATTAAAGAAAGAATGAAATAATGAAATTTTTTTTTCTGAATCTTTTCCAAACTCCTATGCAAAGCGGTTACTTCAGGGTGTGGCTTCGGAGGTCACCTTCTCGCAGCGGCTGCTCTCGGTCTCTGGTCGTCATGATAGTGTGTCGGTTGGTCATCTCTCTTGCTCTGGTTGGTGGTTCGGTGAGTTGGGTCAGAGTAGCGTTTGTTCTGCTATCCCTCCTCTTCTCTTGGCAGTTCTTTGCTGTGTGGATGGACTGCAGTCTGGTTGGGGCATGATCAGGCTTCGGCTATGAGGGTTGCTAATTACTTATGACTCGTCGAGGGTCTTCATGAGATAGCAGTGAAGAGCTACACTTCCACCTCCAGTATGTTTCCTTTGACATGATTTCAGTTCCTTGGCTAGTGTTGCTAGTTTATAGTTCTCGATGTTGTCTTGGCTTGTTTGCATATAGTCTCTGGTAAGTTCTTCAAAAACGTTGCAATTGGAGGAGGAGGTAGTAACACAAGGATCATGTGGTTGCTTGACTTTGTGTTTGCCGACACATGGGAAAGGTCTTGGGAGTGTGAGTTAGTGTATGACAAATATTATAAAAGGGAATATATTATTGAATTGTGTTATTGATACAAGAGAATAAGACCCATATATATAGGGTTAACATTAACATAATGATAACACCAAATAATGTAAATCTTCCTAATCCTTATCACAATAGGATTTCTCTAGAATATTCTTCCATGTGGCTTCACGGGCTTCACTTCATAAACGGGCTTCAATGGCCCACAATACTTGGTTCGCCTTGCTCACCAAGATATCTCCAATACTCCCCCGCACGACAAAGGTGGACGCGAAACGCAAAATCTGCAGTCACAATGCGGAACACCTATGTCGTGGACAATCATGTCGAGGATGGCAATACAAGTCAATAGGGATGGAACATGCTCGTCTTTGGTCTTGAAAGAAAGGGAATAATAACATCCCGTGGAAGCAAAATCCTGCAATTCCACAAATAATCGTCCTTGTCGCGGACAGCCCATAAATTGGACTAAAATAAATGACCTAAAAACATGAGCGCTCCAATAAAAATCCCTAAACCCATAACCAAACTCCCCCGTAATAGGAGAAACTAAAAATTTGAGAAATTCTAAACTTAAGAATCAATCTCAAAAAAATAAAGTATAATTTGTGAAAACCCAGCCCTAAAAAAAAATCGCCTTTAAGAAATCCTCCGATAAATCATTATCCCTTCAATAAGTTAAACCCAAACTAATATGATAAGTAAAAACCTTAATTTGAAAAACCAGAAGACTTTGAAGACACGTATTATTAAAACCAAATTGGAAAAACTTATTAAATTTGAAAAAAAGAAAGAAAAAGAATAATGTGAGAGTGTTTCACGTGATCATCCGGATCGTCGTCGTCGGACTTCGTCACCGTCATTATGCGGAAGCTTTAGTTTTGGTCACCAAGAACCGAAGGCTCTGATACCATACAAATATTATAGAAGGGAATATATTATTGAGTTGTGTTATTTATTACTAATAAAAGTTGATCCTATATGCATTTGAAGGTGTCCACCTAGGATTCAAAAATTAAATTTGATTGATCCACATAAGCGTACTTTTAAATAGTTTCCCTTTTAATTGTTATTATGATATTTACTTAATTAGAAATTAGAAAAAAATAAAATTTCTAATTACATAAAAAGGAAAATATCCACATATAGGATTTAAAATAAACTCAATTTAATTGGTCCACGTAATTAAGCACTTTCAAATAGTTTCATTTTCTAATTTTTATTATGATATTTACTTAATACTTATTATATTTTTATTCATATTAAAGTGTAGGAAATAGAAAAAAAAATAAAATTTCTAATGACATAAAAAGGAAAATTATTTCATACGAGAATATATATATATATTTTTTTTAATTTCGTTTTTCTTAATATAAAATATAAAAATATTTAAAATTATATATTGTTAATATGTTACATGTTCATTTTATTATTTTGAATAAAATATTTTACACATTAGTTTTTTTTTAATATATGTAATTATATAAAAATTATATTGTATCTAATTATCAACATATTATTAGTTTGTTGATTTATATGCACCATATCATATAGTAAAGTGATCATATATTAGAGTAGAAATAATATTTTGTCGTGAAGATATGTTGAAAATAAAAACTGCAACTGTATTTGTTTATAATTTTGGGAAAGCTATTGAATAATCGGAAAATGGACCAGCATGAACACTCACTAACTGAGTTCAAAGACATGCAAAATATGTTACACATTAGTTTTTAAAAACATATATGTAAATATATAAAATCATATTGTATCTAAGTATCCACATAATGTTATTAGTGTGTTGATTTCTATGCACATATCATATATTAAAGTGATCATATATTAAAGTAGAAATAAGATTTTGTCGTGAAGATATGTTGAAAATAAAAACTGCAACTGTATTTGTTTATAATTTTGGGAAAGCTATTAGATAACCGGAAAATGGACCAGCATGAACACTCACTAGCTGAGTTCAAAGACATGCCAAAACAAGATCTAACCGTCTAACCGAACGACAATAAATTCATTATATCTAAGGTTCAAGGAAAATATAATATCTAATGCTTATCTTTTAAGTCTTTTATATGCTGGAAAGATCTAAATTCAAATAGGACTCAAAACAAAACAAAATGGTAAAAGGCAAATTGAGTTTAGATAGAACCTCAAATAAATCTGATTCTTCAGTGATGAAACATGTATCTAATTAACTGTAATTAGTGGATGTTTGAAAATTATTCGAAAGATTTGAGGTTAAGAGGATTTGGTATTTGTTGTGACCTTTAATGATATGCAATCTCTAAAATTCTGAAACGAGATAATTAGTAGTGTTTATATAATTGAAGCAGATGAGAGGTAGCTAGGGTGAGATGATTGGTATTGTGCATATAAGTGAAGCAGAGGACATGTAGAGTAATCATAGGGATGTAGGGATTTAAGATTTCGACGAAACTGGGTTTCAAATGAGATATAATTTAAGGTTTTTGAAAACACAATGACAAAAGAGTCGCATTTTTTAATCTTCATCTTTGCATCTCAAAAACAAAGGTAATGAATTTCTAATTTCAGAGTGATGACGAAACTCGCTAACTAATATTACTTAATGGTAACAAAATTTTACAAATCAACAATTATCGATGACTGACTGAATAATTGAATAATATATATCTATAGAAAAAACCAACAATTATAAGCTGGAACAAATATATGAAAGATATAAATTCAAATAGTACTCAAAACAAAACAAAAGGGTAAAAGGCAAATTGAGTTTAGATAGCACCTCAAAAAATTCTGATTCTTCAGTGATGAAGCGTGTATCTAATGAAGTGTAATTAGTGGATATTTGGAAATTATTCAAAAGATTTGAGGATAAGAGGATTTGGTATTTGTTGTGACCTTCAATGACAAGTAATCTCTAAAATTCTGAAACGAGATGATTAGTACTGTTTATATAATGGAAGCATATGAGAGGTAGGGTGAGATGTTGGTATTGTGCATATAATTGAAGTAGAGGACATGTAGAGTGATCATAGGGATATAGGGATTTAAGATTTCGACGAAATTGAGTTTCAAATGAGATGTAATTTAAGGTTTTTGAAAACACAGTGGCAAAAGAGTTGCATTTTTTAATCTTCATCTTTACATCTCAAAAACGAAGGTAATGAATTTCTAATTTCAGAGTGATGAAGAAACCCAAAATGTGGCAAAAGTAGACTCTTGAACCGAAAATTGAAGATTTGATTATGTATATTCATTTAAAAACAATAGGACGATAAATTTTGGGGATTAATGTAACTCTTCGTGCCTCTATGCGTTACGAGAAAATATGAGAAAGGTTTGTAATATGTTTTTAATTAGAAATTATCATAATAAAATTTCTTCTACTATTGTGACTAATTATATAAGAATTAAAATTAAAAATTAAAAGAAATTAAATAATAAAATTTATAATGATAAAAGAAACTTTTAAAATATTAAAAAGAACAAAATAAAAATTGCAAAGCATTGGTATCTATGAACTTTTCAAAGAGTTGAAAATTAGAAAATTCATAATTTGTTTTTTTTTTCTAAAACATAAAAACATAAAAACGGAATGCGGGTAAAATACCTAGTTGATACAAGAGAATAAGACATTAATGGGTTAACATTAACATAATGATAACACCAAATAATGTAAATCTTCCTAACCCTTATCACAATAGGATTTCTCTATAATATTATTCGGTTGGGCTTCACGGGTTTCACTTCATAAACAGGTTTCAGTGGCCCACAATACTTAATTCACCTTGTTCACCAAAATATCTCTAATAGTGTACCCTGTTGTTCCGGGTTGGTGTTGGTCTTTAAGATTTGGCTGAGTGAGCGTTGGTACCTAGATGTTGAGGACAGTCTACGATCGAGCTCCTGCGGAATCTCTTTGCTCGGACTGTTGAAACAACTTTCTTTTGCTTAGTGCTCGTTTTTATCCGCCTCTTTTCTACTTTCGACTCAAGCTCGGGTTTTTCTCTTTTGCGGATTCACAATCACTGTAACGCTACTTATTGTCTTTGTAGGAAGACTCGACAAAGATTGTATTATGCTTTCATGTTTCTTACCTTTTTGCCGTGGAACTGTTTCAGATAGGTAATATATTTTCATGGTTTCAAATCGGTAGAACTTAAAAATTCCATTTAGATTGTTAGCAAAAAAAAATATATATATATTGAGTGAAAAATATCAATGCTAAATGCTAATCATGTCTAATTTAGTACCGATAAATAAAGACGAATTAAATAAATACAAATTAGAAGTCAAAACTAACAAAAAAAGAAAAGAAAAAACAGCTCCAAAATCTTCAAAAGAGACTGCTGGGTCTGCTTTGACCTTTAATTTTTATAGGGGCTTTTTTGGTAACAAGAGTTAGTCAAGGCGGATCTGAATCATTTTGTCTGAAAACTGAAGGAAGAAGAATCATGGGTTGGATTGGAGAAACAGTAGATTCTATCAAATCAATTAAGATCCGTCAGCTTCTCACTCAGGCCGTCACGCTCGGTTCGTTTCAATATGACTGATTTAAACTTCAATTGCGTTTTCTGGAGACTCAAATAATGAATCTATAGTAGGATCATCGAATTTCGTCCCCAGAAAGAGATCAATAGTTTTTGATACGATGGTGCTTGTTGTCATAATATATGACAAAATCGTTGGCTTGTGATTGGTTTAGGTATGATCGTAACGTCTGCGTTGATAATATGGAAGGCGTTGATGTGTGTGACTGGCACTGAATCCCCAGTGGTGGTTGTTCTCTCAGGAAGCATGGAACCTGGCTTTCAGAGAGTAAGTCGCATGCTTTTAGTAACTAGTTTACTTGTTGCATTAGCTTTCTGTGGTTCTGTGTTTATTGATATGCCTTGATCCTGCTATTTCAATGAAAATGGATTCAGTAATCAATTTGAGGGCAATGTGACAGGGGGATATATTGTTCTTGACCATGACCAAGGAGCCCATTCGAACAGGCGAGATTGTTGTTTTCAGTGTTAATGTAAGTGGCGCTTTGTGTGTGTATCTCGTTCTGTTCCATCAAATTCCAGAGTGGTTTCTCCTAATTGGTTTAATTGCATTGATGCTCCTTGTTTCAGGGTCGTGATATTCCCATCGTCCATCGTGCCATCAAAGTATTGTTTCTCGTTATTATCTTTACACATTGAATCATTGGATTGTTCAGGACATTTATATCAAGAAAACCTTGATGTCTTACTTGTATTTTTTGCGTTTTCAATACATCACAGGTTCATGAGAGGGGAAATACTGGAGAAGTTGATGTTTTGACAAAAGGTATTAGTTTTGTTTGTCTAAATGAATGTTTAACCTCTATAGTAACTTTGTGTTAGTTGATGAATTACTTGACTCGCCTTTGCATTTTCCAGGTGACAACAATGAAGTGGATGACATAGGTCTCTATGAGGAAGGACAGATTTGGCTTCATCGGCATCATATAATGGGAAGAGCTGTTGGGTAAATAAATACTCTCTGATTCAACCTCCTTTTGTGCCCGGCATACAAAAAAATCTCATTGAAACTGCTACAAAAGATCAGTAGTCGTAAATGGTTCCCATTTTGTATGTTCTTTTTTCTCTCAGGTTCTTGCCTTATGTTGGATGGGTGACTATTATCATGACAGAAAAGCCTATCATCAAGGTACAATCTATGAACATGGCCTGGGATTTTGTATGTCATGGTTTTTGACTTGACAGATATATATTCATTATAAGATCTTGTTTATCTTCTCTTCTTTCAGTATATACTCATTGGTGTACTGGGTTTGCTCGTTATAACATCCAAAGACTGAGGCAAGATGTTGATCATTTGGTGAAGAAGTTACTTCTGCGCAACCATCATCATCATTTTTTGGCAGTTTCTTAAACGCAAGAGCAAACCAAATTTATACTTAAAAATGTAGTATCCTTTAAATTATACAGTTTATTGGTAAGTTTTTAATCCGCAACATTTCTGTGACCAATATATTCAACATCGTCATCGGTAACTTCCACTCAGGTAAAGAATTTGACCTCTGAAATCTGAAAGGGAGGTGTACTTAAATGATTCGAGAGAAATTTTAAGAAATACACCTTTTGAGATGCAAATTTTCAAAACTACACCTATAGTGTGGAAATTTTCAAAAATACATATTTTCCTAATTTTAATATATATATTTGGGTTCACTAATCCTAGATTAGGGTTTAGATTTTGGGGTTAGCTGAAAGGGAGGTGTACTTAAATGATTCGAGAGAAATTTTAAGAAATACACCTTTTGAGATGCAAATTTTCAAAACTACACCTATAGTGTGGAAATTTTCAAAAATACATATTTTCCTAATTTTAATATATATATTTGGGTTCACTAATCCTAGATTAGGGTTTAGATTTTGGGGTTAGGGTTTAGATTTTAGGGTTTTGGGTTTATATTTTAGGGTTTAGAGTTCTTTTACTCCATGAAAAAAATGTAGTTTTGAAAATGAACACCAAAGAGGTGTATTTTTGAAAATTTGCACCTCAAAAGGTGTAATTTTGAAATTTCCCCCTGATTCGATTTCAAAAGTAGCAGCAGGATATAAAAACAAAATATATATAGCGCGATTTCAAAGGGAGGTGTACTTAATGATTCGGTTTCAAAAGTTATGTTTAAATGTTTTAATGTGAACTTATGATTTCACTTTCATCCAATCCAATTCAATATTTTTATATATAAATAAACTTAATTCAAAAAAAAAAAAGTTAAGAACACTTAAGAGATTTTATGAATAATTGATGCAAAAATATATTCTCTTAACAACGTCTTTTAACTTAGATATATTGTTATAATAATAATGTTAAAAGACATTTTGGGTATGCACCAATAATAATGTTTTATAAGTCATTTAATACAAATATGTCTTTTTTTCAAAAATAGTTCACCCTCGCACAGCGGGTCAACCACCTTGTACAATTTTTTTTTTTTTAATTTGTGATTTTGATAAATGATTAAATTATATAGTTTGATTTTCTATAATTATAAAATATGTTTATATTGTTAATTTATTGTTTAGCTGTTGTTGCATCCGTAAATTAATCATTTATAAGTATTCTGCAAATGCATTGGTTTTCAAACACTTTACCAATCATACAAACCCCTTAATAGTGCTATTAATTAACCACAACCGTTCGCTTCGGCAAACTCTCACAACATGCAACCCGCAATCACAGCGGTTAAACCAGTCAAACCCCACAATCGAATAAAATTAGGTTGATTAAAAGCTTTAAGATCCTAAAACAACTAACACTCGAATAAATTAAAGACAAACGTGCGGGTCATTAGTAGATGCCATGGCTAACACGATCATAACTATACATACGATTATAACTTATTTGTTGTTTGAGAGATTTATCCGTGGAATTATAGAAGAAGGAAAGGTTATCAAAGGATGGGGAAAGACTTCAAAAGTATGGTGACACGATGCATCTACGTCGGAAAAGAGAACGATAACGTCAAGAAGCTGAAATCCGCGACGGAGGAGCTCAAGGATCTACGCAGCAATGTGATGAAAAGAGTCAAAATGTACGAAGACCAGCAGAAGCTTAAGCGGCTCGAAAAAGTCCAGGTTTGGCTTAGACAAGCCGATGGAGCGATCAAAGAAGCAGAAGAGATGATGATGAATGTGATTTCTTCTTCTTCTTCTTCGAAAGGTTCGAGCGTGATGATGAGAAGTAGTCACAAGATGGACAAGAAGCTTTGCAAGAAGCTCAAAGAGGTTCAAGAGATAAAGAGCCGAGGAACATTCGATGCGGTGGTTGAGAATAGTGGCGTTGGTGGTGGTGGATCGATGATGATCTCGACCGCTGATAGAGATGATCAGACGATTGGACTGGATGCGGTTTCGGGGTTAGTGTGGAGGTGCATGACAGTGGATAACACCGGGATAATCGGCTTGTTCGGCGTGGAAGGTGTTGGGAAGACGACCGTGTTGACACAGGTCAACAATAGGTTGCTTCAGCATAAGTCAAATGGATTTGACTTTGTGATTTGGGTGTTTGTGTCCAAGAATCTGAATCTTGAAGATTCAGGACACTATTCGAGAGAAGATATGGTTTCTTGACAGGTCGTGGACGAGCAAGACCGACGAAGAGAAAGCCGGTAAGATCTTCGAGATACTTAGCAAGAGACGGTTTGCTTTGTTCCTCGACGACGTTTGGGAGAAAGTCGATTTAGGTAATAAAATAATAACTACTTATGATCCAAGAAATTATATGACTTGCGACCTTGGTTTACTAGTTATAAATTTTGTTTATAGTGAAAGCTGGTGTGCCACTGCCGGACGGACAGAACAGATCAAAGATTGTATTCACAACCTGTTCGGACGAGGTTTGTCGGGAAATGGGAGCACAAACGAAGATCAAAATGGAGAAGCTACCATGGGAGAGAGCTTGGGACTTGTTTAAGAAGAATGCCGGAGATGAGACAGTGAAGAGTCACCCTGATATAACCAAGGTGGCTCTGGTCACAATCGGCCGGGCCATGGCTTCTAAGAAAACACCTCAGGAGTGGCGTGACGCTCTGTACATCTTGAGTAACTCTCCTCCCAATTTCTCAGGTTCATGCTATACTATTAGTTTTATTATTACTACATTAACCTGCATTTGTGTGTGCGTGTATTATCAATAACATTTTATTAAATGAGATAATGACGGAAACAACCTTTTATTTAGCTGTAATGACTAGAATAACTCTCTCATTTTATCAAGCCTGAAAAAGTAGTGAAAAGTCCTTTAATTCTTAAGGGTTCTTTTATTTACAGATGTGCCATTTTCGTCAGTTAAAAAAAGAAAATAACAAATATCAATTGTTCACTTTAATTACGACACTGCCATTACGGTTTCATTTACTTTTCGAAAACAGAGTATCGAATTCATTCTCTTCGATCTGAAACCCTAAAATCCCCGGCGGCGTTCTCTCTTCGTCGAATCCGAAACGGAACTTGAATCGGCGACCTCTCTTCGTCGGAATCGTCGACGTATCTTCGTCGGAGATCTTCCTTTCTCGTCGACGACGTCCCTTTCCTTTTCCCGACTCCGAAACCCAGATCTCGCCGACCTTCCTCTTCGTTTACCTTCCTCTTCCTCTTCCGAAACCCATACTTTCTTTTCTTGGCCGACTCTGAAACCCTAAAATCGCACCGATGCATCATCTTGGTCTTCACATCTCGCCGAGGAGAATCCGTCTTTTTTTCTTCTTCTTCCCGGGATAAAATTTTCCGATCCAGTTCGTCGTTGCTTCTTGTACGGCGTCTCCAATCACCTTCTGGTTAAATCCTGGCGAAGAGGCGGCGATTTTTGACGGTAAGAAAGCTATAGATATTGCTTTGTAATGAAATCAGATAGGAGTTTAGCTATAGATATTGCTTTGTGATGAAATCAAATAGGAGTTTCGTTTTTTGATGGTAGGAGGTTTAGGGTTTATATCGATTTGGTGATGGTACACTTGTTATCGTTTGATGGTTGATTTATTTGTTTGTCTTCTCATTGCTTTAATGTTAAATGTGTTGATGGTAGACTTATTTACGATAGACTTATTTCTGATTCATATGTTCGTAGACATGGTAGACTTATTTACGGTAGACTTGTTTAAAAATTGGTTTGCGTAATGTTATGGTAGACTTATCTTAGTTTTGAAATATGTGCAGGGATGGCATCTAGAAAGCCGAGGAGGGACTATCCACAGAGATTGTATCCACCCGGAAAATCTCCTTTGCAAAACCGAAGTATGCATCACAATTGCTCCTTCTCTGGTTTTGGAGAGCTTGAATCGGTTGTTGGGGAGACAGTTTACAATGACGTCATGAATAATTCACAAGTGGGAGTGATTCTTAAGCTTGCTTCAAGGGGCTACGTCTGGTCTGCGAAGACATGCCACAATCTTCTAACCAATCAGTTGGCAGTTAAGCGGAACTATGAGATATGGTCCTTGATTGGGGGTCGTCCTATCCGGTTTAGCCTCCATGAGTTTCATGATATTACACGGCTAAACTGTGAGCCGTTTGAAGATGATGAAGACTTGAATGTTGACCACAAGGAGTTTTGGGATTTGGTCGGCATTAAATCAGGTGAAGGACCTAGCTGGGAAGAGTTGGACACTGCGTTTGCAGTATGCGGTAGTTGGGATTATGAGGAGAAGAGGAAGTTTGCATTGTTGTTTGTGCTGCATGTGGGAATATTTGGTCTTGCTCGAAATTCTAGAATCCCTTTCAAGGCTGCCAAAAGAGTGTTGGTTCCTGAAAAGTTTGAGGGCTATCCTTGGGGTAGAGTTGCATTTCAGCAGTTAGTGCAGACGATCAAAATAGCGAAATTTGACGGCCCTTCCTACACCATTTCTGGTTTTGTGCATCCGCTGCTTATATGGGCATACGAGGCTGTCGAGATTATCGGAGAAAGATTTGGGAGGAGACGTGATGCTCCAATCCCTCTTCTACAATGGCAATCATCACGTAAGCGATACAATCTGGAGGCCCTGATGGAGGAGGATAAGAAGATGAGCGTCGATAACAAGGTATGCAATGTTCACAATATACGCAGTAGTAGAATTTTTAGAGTATTTTATTGATGTGTTGATAGACTTAAAAGAGACTTTGTTTCACTGGTTTTGACTGCTGTGTGAAATTTTAATTGGTGGATGCAGACTCGTGTTAGGCACTTCGTGGAGAAGCCTCTTGCTGAGATATATCCACCTCAAGCTTAATGAGCGTCCCAAGGTTTGCCCTTCTGATCATGTACAAGTACACGGGGAGATCTTCGTATCCACTCTCCGAACTGCCGGAAATCACTTCCCGCGCGAACCGTAATGTGCAATGGGCCTTCCAATAATCCATCTGAAATTGAAATAAGTCTGCCAATGATAAGTCTACCGTTTACATAACAAGTCTACCGTTAAAAATCTACTGCAACAACTCGTGCCAAGGTTTTAACTAACAAATCTATCTGTCAAAATTCATTATCTCTTCTCGGTATCGACAAGAACATGTACCTTGATGCCATATCGTTTATTCAAAGCGTCTGCGACATGGCAAGGCAATACCGTGGGTCCAACGCAGCCTACAAATTCGCTGTACAGCCTTCCCAGAAGTTCAGGTTTTGCTTGCCGAGAACGAGAAGAACGCTCTGTAACAGAACATGAATGCTCTTGTACATAACTCTTGATGTAGAACTCAGGAGCAGAGCCAATTGTTGTTGCCCTCGCCCTCCATGTACACCCTTCGATCCAGCAGCATACCGTTAATAGTGAAGGCGTGCTGTAACCAACACTATAGTCGAACTTCAATGCAACGGAAAGCATCTTCAATCTCAGAACCAACGCCTTTTTCGTCGGATAACGTTGGCCGACGGCCAATTCTACAGAACCTCGTTCCAACTGCAAGAATGCAGGGATCGAATCTTCCTTTGCTGGCAGATAAAACATTTCCTCCTCTTCTTTCGCGAATCTTCCTTTGGTGGTACCGTATTCTTCATCGCCAGAGCTTGCACCGTCGGGATCGTCACAACAGTCAAATCTCATCTCTTCATCATCTTCCTCGTCAGAATCGCTATCAACGAACAGATCTTGTCTTCTATCTCGTACACCTTGATGACATGGCGTTTTCTTCACGATCTCCACACAGAGACGAGCTTTATGGTTTCTGAATAATTTGAGAAATGACCAGAATTGCAAAGAATTCGTAACTCGCAATGGAGGTGTATTCACGACACTTTTTGTTATCATGTAGCTCAACTGCACCTCATCAATCCGCCGATCGACCCCAATCTCTTCCATAACTCTGCCCCGAAAATCGTTGTAAGAGGTTTCAAGGTCAGCCCCAACAATTGCCGATCTTCTGCACTTGTCTGCAATGAAAAACCATTGATTTTGTTGTGCTTTCCATGTCCCACACACGAGAATCACCTGATCCATTGTAAGAGATCGATAATGTTTGTGGATATCAATTTGATAAACATAGATCTAAGGTACGCCTCTCATGGCAGACGGCAACCCTAATTCTCGAGGAGGATGACTGGTTTTCGTGATAATTTTGTGAAGTTAAAGGGCAAAATCGTCTTTCAACTGAACTCCATGACAAGTCTACCATCATTACCATTGGTTTTGAATAAGTCTACTATAAAGTGCAATCTCTAAACCGGAAACGCCTTAACCCTTAACCGAGTCAAACCGGAGGCGCCTACAAAACCTAAAAACTAAAAAAACAGCCACATTCTCTCATCTCAGGATTTCTTCGACGGCGCAATCAACTGAGAGGCCACTTTCTCTCATCTCTTCAAATCGCATTTCGGAGAAGGTAAGATCCAACACACATCTCTCTATGGCTTATGATTTCGCATGGGTCACTGATTTAGTCCGGTTCCCTTAGTTTCTGGTCGCTTGATTATGACAAATTTCTTGATTCCACAGAAACCCTAATTTTTTTTTTTTTTTAAAAGCTCATAGGAGAGATTTCTGGTAATTCTCCGGTGCTCTCTAGTTATTTCCGGCGATGTTCTTTGCGAAATAGACTGTCGTAGATGCTGCATTTGTTTTCCTGTGTTGGTAGATTTATTAATATGTTGTGGTAGATTTGTTTGTCACTATTCGACGGTATAGTTATTAACATTTGGTGGTAGAGTTATTGATATTTGGTGGTAGAGTTATTAACATATTCAATGTTCGTAGGTCTCATGGATCCTAACGATCCGAACGTTTACGAATGGAAGAAAGCGAAGAACCACATCCAGATGCTTGGATATTGGGCCGATGGTAACTGCGGCATAATGACATGGTGTCCTTGTGGTGAGGATTTGATCCAAGAAGTTGTTGATGGGACAAGATACTACACATGCGAGCAGTACAAGGTATGGTTGTACATTGTTTCTTTGTTTGTTTCTTTTAAATGCTTATGTAGTATTGGAATTGATGATATCATGTGGTGAATCATGTAGTACGACAGCGTCCTTCACGTTCGGAAGAGGTGGGATACGGCTATTGAAGAGGAAGTTCTTAGGCTAAAGGATGAGAATGAAGCGCATACCAAGAAGATTTGTGAACTTGGTGCTGAGCTTCACCTCGCTAAAAGGAAGGCTGAAAGGGAGGCTATTGGAGAGGAGGTTGAGAAGCTGAAGGAGGAGAATGCGGAGCAGGCCAAGAAGCTTCATGAGCTCGGTGTTCAACATGAAAAAACAATCAACGAGGTAAGAGAGCTGTGGGACTCGATTCTCAATCTCAGTTGCGGGTGTTCAAACTGCAAGGATGAAGTCAAGAAGACGGTGGGTGTGTTTGGTCTCTAAGTAGACAACTAATTAGGTTCTTTGAAGTGTTTGTTCCTTGTGTCGCAGAAAACTATTTTGCTTTATGTGGACAAATATGTGTGTGTTATGTTATGTTTGCAACTCTATGTGATAAAACCCTTCTGAATTCATCTCACTTTATGTCTTCATGGTAGAAATGTAACTCCATCGTTTCCAAAAATATGGATTTTGCTTCATCTAAACCCTAAACCGTATATACCCTAAACTGAAAATAGTTAGAGAACCCCATATAGTTAATCTTGTTTAATTGTTATTTGGACATTGCCTCATAATAGTATTCAAACACTAAACCCTAAAGAACATAATGCTTTGATGCCAAAAAAAAACCTAAACCCCATATAGTTTAATTGTTTTTTGGACATTGCCTCATAATAGTATTCAAACACTAAACTAACGAACAACACTAAATCCTAACGAACATAATGCTTTGATGCAAAAGAAAAAAACCTAAACCCTAAATCGTATACCCTAAACTACAAAAATAGTTGGAGAACCCTAGATAGTTAATCTTGTTTAATTGTTATTTCGATTTTGCCTCATAATAGCATTCAAGTCCCTAATAGTATTCAAACCCTCAACCCTAAAGAACATATTGCTTTGATGCCCAAAATATGCCTTTTACTAGTACTCACAGAGTATTGAAACCCTAAACCATAAATACCCTAATCAAATTCAAATTACACGAATATGATTTACAAAGATTCCTAAACCGTAAATATCCAAGTATACGAAATTGATTTGCAAATAACATGTAATCCCTAAACCGGTTTAATACATTTGAAAATGAGATTGACAAGAATAAATCTACCGCTTATAACAAGTCTACCAAATTGAGCATTACTCTACCATCATTAGTCATAGAAAAACTCTATGAAATTATGTTCACTAAGTGCCAAATCTACCGGCATTATCAATAACTCTACCAGATAAATCGATAATCTACCGTCAAAATGAATAACTCTATTGAACCAACATTTATCTACCGTCATTGCCGGAATATCTACCATGACTAAATGTCTATCATCAATAAAAATAACTCTGCCACTGTAAACTAAATCTACCATCAAGTTTAATAAATCTACCAACTCCCAAAGATAACTCTATCACGCGGTACGTAACTCTACCAAAAATACGTATCTCTACCGCAACATGAAAATAACTCTATCGTCGATAAATAACTCTACCAGCAGTTGACGCAACATAACTCTACCGATCCGCTAAAAACTCTACCGCCCGAACAATAACTCTACCAATGGATACTAAATCTACCATGTCGACTAATATATATACCGCTGGCTAATAAATCTATCATCACTCATTTGGTAGAGTTTTTATTTCGCGAATGCTGACGTGGCAAACTTTCATTAATGGCAGTCTCGTAAATATCGTTTTTCGGATACAAAGAAAAGAGGGTAAAATAGGTACAAAACTATTTTCACTTTGATAAAATGGGAGGAGGTTGTTCTAGTCAATAAGGCTAAATAAAAGGTTGTTCCCGTCAATGCCCCTTTATTAAATTGTGTAACAGTTCTCAAGTTACTGGACAGGAACTAGTTAATGTACACTCGAGGTATTTTCTATTCTTGGTAAAAATGAAAAAGGTTCTATTCAGATAATCAGATAATTAAATTTGTATTCCTACAAACGGTCTCTTTCTTTCTTTCTTTCTTTTGGTAGTAATTGTGTTGTGCATGGAGAGCAAAAAGTTGCGTAGATTTTGATTAGGGAGATTAACGGTTGTATTTTATTTTGTGTATTTTTATTTGAAAGTTAACGTATTCTTTACGTCACCGGCTTAGAGTTTGCAAAATTGGTCGAAGCTTTGAATGTTTTGAATTTGACGGTTAGTTATTGGGTTTTGTATTTAATTTTTCAAGTTCTATGGAAAAAGTTTGTTTCTCATTGATTCATGAGTATATTATATATTGATCCCTCTCCCTCTTTCTAATTACAGTATGCGTCGACACATGGATTGATCTGTTTCTTTAACCTTTCGTTTCTTTTCCCTATTATCAATACTATTAAAACTGAGTAACAAATGGTATTCCAGTCAGGAAATTTTCGGAGTTAAAATGAATAATTTACCAAAAAAACCAAACATATAACAAAGAAAAAGTGTTTGGAAACAGGAATAATCAGGGAATTTTTAGAAAGAAATTTCGGAGAAAAACTGAGCTGACTCGGTTGAGTACGAGTCAACCCGACCCAGATCCATTAAAAAAACACGCGGATCTTTTCCAACTTAAATCGAACCGGAAGAAATAGAGCTGAAATCGGAAACCATTTGAGATATTGAATTTTAAATAATGTAGTGGTAAAGAAGAGCTATTAACCAATCAATTCAACAGTTGAAGAAGGTCATAATCACGTAATATCCGCAGATCAAAGATTTAACAAAACAATATCACGGCTTAATAGACGGCATCTATTATTAAACAGCTATGAACAAGGTAAGTCGAGATCCCATTCGAGATTCGAGATCAATTTCACAAAAAATCCGAAGAGCAATTTCACATTCGAGATCCCAAAAAATATGGAACTTCAAATTTCGAAAATAAAGCAGATTCTTGAAAATCTATCACAGTTATTATGTGAACAGAAATGGATGGAATTACGGGTCTTACAAGAACGTATATTCGATATTTAATTCGCTAAACCTTAGAGGGTCCAGAAAATTACACTCAGGTGGACTTTTTGAGTTTGGCTTTACATTTTGAGGGACTTTGTGAAAGTGATGGACTTTCACAAAATGAGTTTACAGTGTTGCTCTTTTTTTCAGTTACCCTCTTTCTGTAATTCACTATTTTTCACATTCATCCGACAATTATTACTTTCATCTTCTTTCCGACAAACACACAAACGCCGGTCACCTATTTTTCCGCCGGTGACCTATTTTCCGCCCCTGAAGCCTCGGTGCGGTTCGCTGACCTCTTCTCCCACCGGTGACAAACAAGTAAATTTCGTTGTTGATTCTCGCTTCCAGTCTCAGAAGAAGCTACTCTCGTTGCTGTTGTTCACTCAAATCTCGATTTCGCATTCTCCTCACCAATATGGAAGGTATGTCACTTGTAAATCACCAATTAAACTGGAAATTTGGTTTCTAGATTTCAGATTAGGGTTGAAAACCAATATTAAACTCTGTGCCACTAAGGGAATATTCCAGATTAGGTGATACCATCCTCTCCAAGTTCAGATTTCGTAAATATGTATTCCGCATCTTCAAACCTTATTAAAGAACAAGTTCATGATAGCAAATTTTTTCTTTTGGACAACAACTCGTTGGATGCTTTGTTCACACCTCCTTGGATGCTTCGCTTTTCCACGCTTTTCCTGAGAACTCTACTTTGCTGCAGTTTAAAAAAAAATATGGATCGTCTCATGCTTTACCTGCAATCAGTTCTCCTAATTTCTCAGAATTGGTACAAATTCTCAGGTTTGTTAATTTCTCCTTCTCTTTGTCACCTCTCAATCCAATATTCTGTAAGTAGTGTGTATACACATAAGTAGAGTATTCAGTTTTTATTCAGTTCTTCTTTATTTGAAGAAAGAAGTAGATTAGTTGTTTTAATTTGGATAGTTTGATTTGGATAGTTTGTTAAACAGCTATTTGGATAGGTTGTGAGCATGGAGAAAATCTCTTATTTCACGTTTAAATAGTTGCCATGAATTCTTGTGAAAAGCTTCTTTTGCTGGTTTTTTCAGCAGTAGCTCAAGAATGCCATTACTTTGCTTAATTCACTATGTTTGTTTGCAACTACTTACCATTAACTTTTGTGTTTTTGGTGGTAATCACTAGTTAGATGGGTTGAGCTCTTGTTTGACATTATTTAGATTTACTATGGAATTTGAGAACTTAACAGGAAGAAGAAGACAAGGACTTGGTTTGGGAAAGAAGAAATCTAAAACTACAAAACTACAAGTGTAAACCGCAAAGAAGGCAAATCTTCTATGATTGTTCATACTCTGCAGAAATCTGGAAAAAAAATCACTCTGAAGCTTAATATGAGGGATCCTCCTCTTCTCTTCAATGGCAGCAAATTCTTCAGTGGCTGCCTTCAGCTACGCCAAATAACAACGCAAAGCTAGCTCTCTTACAAGACTGGCAAGGAGCAGTTTACGAGTTGTGGCGGGAAAGAAACAGAAGATTACATGACAGAACCACAGTAAACCACGACAAGGTCCTGCAGCTGGTTCTATCTATGGTAAAAACGAAATTCAGAGCTCTTGACCTTCTTGGTTCAGGCAGGGGAAATCTTATTATTCAGCAATGGACTCAATATGACCCCTAGTGTCATCTTCCTCTTGTGTACTGATCGTTTTCTTGTTCTAGTATCAGATTCCTTTCTTATCCGTACTTCATGGTTGTAACGGTTTCATTTGCTACACTATAATGTGTCCTTTTAATTAATATCAGAAAACTCTTTAACAAAAAAAAAAATGCTACAGGTCGAACAATTTCTCAAGATATTCAAACTATGTGGAACTCCACCTGCAAATTACTGCAAAAACAAGGATATTTATACAAAGCATAGATAAGAAAGAAGTAACAAGATCAACAAGAGAGATGATGATTCATTGTGGACAGTTTTATTTCACCTGTGGATGACTTATAGAGTAAGCTTGTTAAGAAGAACTGAAATACTTGTATTGAAGCTTATTGATGAGACTCTGATGGATAGTACATAGTAACAGAACGTAAAAAGCTAAAATTAAAGTTATTTCGATTTGGGTGGCACTTGCACTCGTCCAAACGATAATTATCCAAGCATACATTTATCCACACAAAACACACTCCACCAAAACCGTCCACCAAGCAACTCGTCCAAAATTTGCAACGACCAAGAAGACCTTTTATATCATCAATCTACAGCAGCTTTAACAACACTCTCAATCACAGTTTTATCCAAATCTTTGTTGCTTCAATCTCTTTATGTTGCTTCTCCCAAGCAGGAAGCTTCGATTCATAAACAAATCGACAAAATTTAGTTCCTCTGACACGAAATTTTTAACGACGGAGTTATTCACCAAAATTGCGTCAGATCGTTCCGACGATCTTCGGAACTCGGAACCGAACTGTTTTGTTTTCTCCATCAACGGAACGCAACCACAATGCTTGAAAACAACAGTTAAAAATAAATAACAATATGGTAAATATTTTCATAGTTTTAACCCCCTTCTTCATTAAGGATAGAATGGAAATTTTTGTTACGTGTAGCTTATGAAAGTGACGATAACTCTTGTATTGATAATATTAGTAACCGAATTACAGAACTTGAGAGAAGTTAATGGCGTCTCTCATCACCCCTTAAGAGATTTAATGGAGTCTCTCACCTCCTCTGTGATCACTCAATCTCGTGATGAGAATCTCTCTCAACCCCTTAAGCTAATTTATAGATAAGACTAAGAGTAACCTAACCCACATGTGGTTACTTTGAGAGTAACCACAGTTAACTCTAGTTACTTTGCAACACTTGGTAAATAATCATTCACCGTTTAACCACTGCTCCTAACAATACTCCCGCCTTTGAATTTAACCTTGTCCTCAAGGTTGAAGTGTAGAGACTGTTTCGCCACAAGCTTTGTGTTCTCATGTTGAACTTGACATTTTACCAAGGCCTCTTCATGGCCTGCCTGAGCTTGCATACCTTGTCTGGCCTGATGACGACGATCTATCAGTAATGCAAGCATTGCAGCTGACCCGTATAGCTGCTTTGAGATATTGGCCTTGGGAAGCCTTTCTCCTACTTGTCCTGCAGCTGACATCTTCATGCGGGCACGGCAGATTAACGCTATGTCAAGTCGTTCCCAAACCTGTCTCTCCTCATTACAGTCAGACCAGACCAGACTCTTGTGCTTGCCCTCCAATGCAGCCCTAGCGATTTCTTTATTGATGACGGATAAGGCCAAAGCTCGTTTGTTGCCTCCCCTTTCTATCAGCTCTTAGCCTAGAGAAGCTTCTCGTCGTGGATACTTAGGAAGATCCTTGCGTCCCATACTCTTGACCAGATTAATTGTTGTATTGTCAAGCTCAAAATTACCACCAAGACCATTTTGCAAACAGAGAAATAGATCACTTTTTTCTCTATCCTTCCCAAGCTTCACTAATCTTTCCCAGCTACTACAGCTTTCCATCTCCACTACACAGAGTCTTTCCCTTGTCCTTTTCTGTGACTCCACATACTTCTTTCTCCTTAATCTGTTCTGCTTCCTCTGTGTAAATCGTAGCCGTCACATCCCATAGAGCAAATGGAATTTCTCGTTCATTATCTCCCTGAAATTCTTCTTTATCTTGTGCTTGTGCCGGAATATGTGTCTCTTCCTGAAATTCTTCTTTTTCTTGTGCTCCTGCTGCTGGCACATCAATGATCACTTGGTGAATCTGTTTGTTTCGTTCCTCTAAAAACATTACATCATTCCTTGTTGTCTTCAGTTTTGGCTTTATCTTCTCCGTAGGTGACCACCAGGACCATATATTGTCAGCCATTTGGTCAATCCTCATGTTCTTCCTGTGATAGAAGCACCGTAGCCTCTGTGATTCTCTCACAGTTCATGTTTTATGACCCCTGAACATGTTCTTCTTCAGGATTCGAATTAGTTTCTCTTGGTCCAGCTTCCTGTGTTTGTACTTGACGCTTCTAGACTTTGTACAAACCATCTTCTTCTTCTTCTTCACTCGAATCTCCCACACTAGCAGCTCATTAAGCACAATCCAACAGCTCTTCACTATGTTACATCCTTTGATTCTCTTGGTGCGTTGAATGTTGAAGCCTCTCGCCTTATGAGACTGAAAGTTGAGAGGATCACCTTTCCATCGTTTGTACTTAGATCTCTTAGCTTTTGTGAACTTCTTATTCTTCCTCTTTCTGGTTTCCCTTTTCTTCTTCCTAGACCTTTTATCGAACACTTGGGAGGCATAAATACTCTTCTTGATATCTCCCTGTTTCCTATTAACGTAAAATCCATTTCTGATCTCTTCACAACTTAGAGATGTCTTCCGTTTCTCTTCAGAACTCAATTGTTTCTCTAATCGCTCATGAACCTTCAGAGATGCCTTCCATATCTTCTTCTTTCTCTTCTTGGCTACCTTTTTTCCTTCCTGAGTTATTTCGTCGAACACCTGGCAGGCATTTCTATCCATCTCAGCTGACTGGTTTTCCTCCTGCGTATCCTTCTTCTCTGTATTAACAATTCCAAAAAGCTTTTGCTCCGTGACTTTACCCCTCTCAAAATACTGCTCCACTCTGATAACCCAACCTTCAGCGTTACCTCCGTCAAACAGAGGCTCGAACCTCCGTGTCAATGATTCGTCGTTCTTCTGTGTAACCCATTGATGACTCTGTGTCAACGAACCGTTCTTCTCCTCAGGCACAGTCATCAAATGATCCTGCTCCAGAATCGGATCACTACTCTCCGGAGATCCTCCGGCATGGCTCGCGATCGCTCTTGAGGCTTGAATTTCCTCCTTCTGGTTCTTAGTAACCTTGGCATCGCGTAGGCACTGTTGCAGCTCATCTAGAACACTCGACTCCTCCTTCTCTTTTCCACCGAGATTCTGTTTCTCTAGGCGATCTTTGTCATCTAGGAATTTCTCGATCTTAACTAGAAAGCTCTTAATCTTCTCCACTTTCTGTTCGAGCGCTGAGATCCGATGCCCAACTCCCGTTGTCTCCTCCACGATCGTGTTTCCGTCATCAGTTTGTTTCGGAGGCGACATAGTTTCCTGGTCACGAACTTGGCTCTGATACCAATTTGTTACGTGTAGCTTATGAAAGTGACGATAACTCTTATATTGATAATATTAGTAACCGAATTACAGAACTTGAGAGAAGTTAATGGCATCTCTCATCACCCCTTAAGAGATTTAATGGAGTCTCTCACCTCCCCTGTGATCACTCAATCTCGTGATGAGAATCTCTCTCAACCCCTTAAGCTAATTTATAGATAAGACTAAGAGTAACCTAACCCACATGTGGTTACTTTGAGAGTAACCACAGTTAACTGTAGTTACTTTGCAACACTTGGTAAATAATCATTCACCGTTTAACCACTGCTCCTAACAATACTCCCGCCTTTGAATTTAACCTTGTCCTCAAGGTTGAAGTGTAGAGACTGTTTCGCCACAAGCTTTGTGTTCTCATGTTGAACTTGACATTTTACCAACGCCTCTTCATGGCCTGCCTGAGCTTGCATACCTTGTCTGGCCTGATGACGACGATCTATCAGTAATGCAAGCATTGCAGCTGACCCGTATAGCTGCTTTGAGATGTTGGCCTTGGGAAGCCTTTCTCCTACTTGTCCTGCAGCTGACATCTTCATGCGGGCACGGCAGATTAACGCTATGTCAAGTCGTTCCCAAACCTGTCTCTCCTCATTACAGTCAGACCAGACCAGACTCTTGTTCTTGCCCTCCAATGCAGCCCTAGCGATTTCTTTATCGACGAGGGATAAGGCCAAAGCTCGTTTGTTGCCTCCCCTTTCTATCAGCTCTTTGCCTAGAGAAGCTTCTCGTTGTGGATACTTAGGAAGATCCTTGCGTCCCATACTCTTGACCAGATTAATTGTTGTATTGTCAAGCTCAAAGTTGAGAGGATCACCTTTCCATCGTTTGTACTTAGATCTCTTAGCTTTTGTGAACTTCTTATTCTTCCTCTTTCTGGTTTCCCTTTTCTTCTTCCTAGACCTTTTATCGAACACTTGGGAGGCATAAATACTCTTCTTGATATCTCCCTGTTTCCTATTAACGTAAAACCCATTTCTGATCTCTTCACAACTTAGAGATGTCTTCAGTTTCTCTTCAGAACTCAATTGTTTCTCTAATCGCTCCTGAACCTTCAGAGATGCCTTCCATCTCTTCTTCTTTCTCTTCTTCGCTACCTTTTTTCCTTCCTGAGTTATTTCGTCGAACACCTGGCAGGCATTTCTATCCATCTCAGCTGAGTGGTTTTCCTCCTGCGTATCCTTCTTCTCTGTATTAACAATTCCAAAAAGCTTTTGCTCCGTGACTTTACCCCTCTCAAAATACTGCTCCACTCTGATAACCCAACCTTCAGCGTTACCTCCATCAAACAGAGGCTCGAACCTCCGTGTCAATGATTCGTCGTTCTTCTGTGTAACCCATTGATGACTCTGTGTCAACGAACCGTTCTTCTCCTCAGGCACAGTCATCAAATGATTCTGCTCCAGAATCGGATCACTACTCTCCGGAGATCCTCCGGCATGGCTCGCGATCGCTCTTGAGGCTTGAATTTCCTCCTTCTGGTTCTTAGTAACCTTGGCGTCGCGTAGGTACTGCTGCAGCTCATCTAGAACACTCGACTCCTCCTTCTCTTTTCCACCGAGATTCTGTTTCTCTAGGCGATCTTTGTCATCTAGGAATTTCTCGATCTTAACTAGAAAGCTCTTAATCTTCTCCACTTTCTGTTCGAGCGCTGAGATCCGATGCCCAACTCCCGTTGTCTCCTCCACGATCGTGTTTCTGTTATCAGTTTGTTTCGAAAGCGACATAGTTTCCCGGTCACGAACTTGGCTCTGATACCAATTTGTTACGTGTAGCTTATGAAAGTGACGATAACTCTTATATTGATAATATTAGTAACCGAATTACAGAACTTGAGAGAAGTTAATGGCGTCTCTCATCACCCCTTAAGAGATTTAATGGAGTCTCTCATCTCCCCTGTGATCACTCAATCTCGTGATGAGAATCTCTCAACCCCTTAAGCTAATTTATAGATAAGACTAAGACTAAACTAACCCACATGTGGTTACTTTGAGAGTAACCACAGTTAACTCTAGTTACTTTGCAACACTTGGTAAATAATCATTCACCGTTTAATCACTGCTCCTAACAATTTTCTATAGTTACAAGAAAAAAATAAGTGCACCTCTATCAAAAAGTCCCTCTTAGTGAAATGTAACTGAAAAAAATCACCTATAGTGTAAATCACTTATCACTATAAATACATGTGAGTGAGTAGTTTAGTCACTACCATCGAATATTTAAAGCAAGAAAAAATTGAATTACATACCTCGATACCTTCCAACAAGAATCTATATAATTGAAAGTGCTTGTGATACTCTCCAGCAGATGACACATCAGTATCTCCAAATAGTGCCACGTCACCTTTTTCTCTCTCCTCTACTTATGGCAAATCGGCGTCGCTTCGCATCCCTTCTCCGTCCCCTCCAAAACGACGTCGTTTTCAATTTAGGGTTAATATATTTTTGTTCACCTAATTCGTTCCTCTCCACCTCTGACTTCTCCGCCGAGATCCCCGTCCTTGCTTCCGCCGGGTCTTTCTGCATCCCTGCCTCCGCCGTTTCACAATTTCTATGTCCTTCAGTAAAACCGCCGGTTACGATTCTGCCTCTATAAAAAGGTCCGTATTGAATTGGGAGATGGCTGCGAGTGGAGGGATGATGTGGCGGAGGGAGCGACGTTCCTCTCAGCATATTGGATCCAGTGGAGTGTGGACTCGCCTGGGTTATATCTTGCCATGGCGGTGACGATGCCGAGATCGGATGCGACATTGTAGTCGACGGAAGCGGTGATTTTGAATCAGGTTAATATGCTTCTTAGAGATCTGAACTGAATCAAGTTTTTTTCTTTCTTAATTGAATCGATTTAATCAGGTTTCTTTTTTCTTAATTGGATTTGAGGGTATGGACTTTAGAGATAATATGGGAACAAAGGATTAATGATTGAAAAGCGATCTCAAAGCTTAGATCACTGAAAACTCATATGCTTAAATCACTGAAAACTCATATGATCAAATGATAAGATTATGGTCTGGTTTTTTGTGTAGGTGTGAGATGAATAATGTAATGCTGGAAATGGAAGCTGCTACGGTGCTGATTCAGACAAAAATTGATTGGGTTACCGAGAAGAAGATCAGAGACAGAGAAACACTTTTCATTTCGTCCAAAAAAAAAAAAAAGAAAAAAAAGAAACACTTTTCATCCCTTTGATCAACCTTTTGCTTCTCTTTAATGTGGTTAACCCAACATCGAACCACGTGAGAATCCAGTTGACATCGAGCTTACTCACCTTTGCAATCCTAAGGAGCATTACTATTGCATATAATACATCTTTTTTTTCTAGGCCAATGGCGTCAATTTTGCATCAGTTGCTTAAGGATCAAGGTGGCTGCTTTCTGAAATACAAGAAAGAAAGGTTTGTGCCATGTTATTTGAGAACGATATTGTATTTGCTTTAAGTATTCATATTGATTTAAGTATTTATTTGTTTCTTCTAAGATGTTCACAAAGACGGTATCAATCATCTAAAATCCAGAAAACTGATGTCAAGAAAGTGGCTAGTACTCAGTAACAGATCTAACAAAATATCTTCCGGTCTCCTTTTGCAAGAATGTCATCTACTCCAATATCTATAGATAGCAGAACTATATTAATCAATCTCATCCATCTTTGCAAAAACAAGAGGTCAGTTTTATCTTCTTCTTCTATTAATCTACTTTGTTTTCATTTACTACTACATCTAAAATATGAATATTATGCAAACAAACCTTTTGAGGAATGCAAGCAAGCTGATGATCAAACACATTATCTCAAATGTTTCTTTCGATGAGGTACTTTTATTGACTAAATAAATTGTCAAATGTTTGCATAATATTCTTTCTATGCCTGGAAAATTTAATAAAGCTACCTTCTACTATGTCACAGGTTTCTTTTGTCATGAGTAACAGCTAAGAAAACTCAAATGTTTCGGAAATATCTTGGATGTGTATCTAAGCTTTCTTCGACATTAAAAAGCAGTGCCCGAAAATCATAAAGCTGGAAAAAGCGAGCAAGAACAATGTCCAACCTGAAACCAAAGAAAAAGACGAGCAAATGAAATTAAACTCAAAAGAATCATTTTGTGCAAGTTATTTTGATTTTTTTTACATATGGACATAATCAAGAACTAAACCCTTGATATATGAGTTTTTCCATACCTTTATATTGCAATCATTTCTTTCCAGTAACTAATAAGATGTTCGATTCCATTCATAGTAGATATGCCTATAAATAGTAGGAGAATCATAATAGCAACCTATTTGAGATGCATTAAATTTATGATAATTATCTTTACCTCATACTTGCATCTTAGCCTTTTTTATTTTCCATCATCACAATACGAAAGATTTTTGGTTATCAGTTTTAGCTGTCACTATGGATATACAAAAAACAGACAAAAAAACATTGAAGACATCATCACAAAAACATCTTATTTGAACAGAGTATAGCAGTGTGTTCAGAAGTGTATGACAGGAAAAGAAATTGGAGACTACGGGTCCAACAAGAAAGTCAGTGTTTCACGTGATCTCATTATTGAAGTAGTATGCTATTAAAGAGAAAAGGCAGAGAAACAGGTTGGTTTATAAAACCTTTTGACATTCAACCGAGTTATGTTCTGTTTTTTCATATCCTTTTCTAGAAAATTAACTAATGTACTGATAAAGATACATAAGAGATAATACAGTTTACCTGAGATCATCATGGAGCAAAAGAACATGGGTTTAATATAAGAGCCGAACAACTGCATAATAACAAAGCTAAAGCCATGTCAAGATTCACGGGTCCAAGACTTTTAACCCAAGAGAAATTGAGCTACTTTCAAAGCTATTATTAAAAGAAACCACGTCTATGCTATCATGCTTTTTAAACCAATAATACAGGAACAGGTTACTTTGTGAGTATATCTACTTAAGCGAAACCATACTCTATGTATAGATACATTCACAGTTTTATATGAGGACCTTTCAGAAAGTGAACTTAATCACTTCATAGCATAACGTTTCATGAACTTCTAATTCAATTCATTGTGCTCAAATATAAGCCTCCACAAGTACCACAACGAGATAATTATGCAACAAGAAAAGCAGCAGAGTTCCAAGACATGTTGATTTTTTTTTCATGTAAAGAACATCAAAGTTTAGAAAACACACACAAAATTGATTCATGCAAAGCAAAATACATTAAAAAATCAAATGAAACAAGATAAACTTACTCGATCAGGTCTCAGTTCTAAGCTACTTCCCACCTTCACAAACCCAGCTTCCATCACTCTTTACCGTGACCATCCCAGATAGATTTCTGACACCGATCACCACACCTTCTCTAAAAATTATCATATCATTTTAATCAAGTCAACACGTATCGTTTCTCACGTCGAAACAGAGATAAAAAAAAATGAGAAATTTTACCCTTAAGTGATGAGAACAACATCTAAGTCATGCCTAGAAGCAAAATCTGCATCTGAAATTCGAAGCCCTACATAAGCTTTTCCACCATAAAGCTTCTCAAGTCTGTGAATTCAATTATAACATAGTCCATACAAAGAAAAATCAGTTCATAACACAAAATCTAAAAAGTTCAGGAATGGAAAATCGAAGATCGATGATGAGATAGTTGGTGGCAGAGTCGGTGGTACCTGTGAGCAATGGAGAAGATAGCGGTGGAACGGAAGTCTTGACATGGGAAAACTCGTCGTTGTAGAAGAAACGACAAACGAGATATGATCTCCACCTCACATCGTTCTTCTTGGATTGTGAGGAAGAGAGATAGACGCTTGAGAATAAAGAAATTGACCAAGGATAAGAAGAAGAAGACGAAGAATAAGGTCGAACAGGCAGGAGATTTAGTACGCAGAGGTTGAAGAAGGACGATTTCGAGCAGATTCAGAGGGAAGAAAACGACGGAGAAAACGAAGAAAAATGGAGAGTTTTCGAGTAACAAAACAAAAATTAAGACAAAACAGCGACAAAAACCGTAATTAAAAAAATTAAGACAAAAGAAAATTTTATGGCTTTTGTACTTAGGAGGTATTATTGGATTGTGTGTTCTAGTGGATTCTTAATGGGAGTGAAATCAAGTCAGGGCCGGCCCTCCCATAAAGGGAAGCCAATGAAGCATTGGTTTTAGGTCACCGATTATATATAAATACGTAAGGCCACATGTTAAAAAATATTTCCTTAGCTCATTGGTTACAGTGCTCATTACTTTCCTTGAAGTCTTTTTTTTTTCATGGTAACTTTTTCTTCTATATTTTATAAAAAGGTGCTATTTATTTTAAATTTTGCTTTAGGCCACAGAAAATGTCGGGCCGGCACTGAATCAAGTTATTGGATTATGTATTTGGTAAAATACATCAAAAACAGATATGAATTATAGTGTTTAAAGTAGTACAGTAAAAAAAGGGAATCCGAGAAAAGAAAATCATAAACGAAAAAGAGTAATATACCGTTGGTTAAGAAAACCTTCGATTACATGTTTACAGATACACATGCACAAAAACGAGAAAACAAAAACAGTTCTTATAGCTTCAACGAAGAAAAATCAGAGATGAATTTTTTCAAAGGATTACATAGGTTTTACAAAACAAGTACAACTTGATTCTTGAGAAATCATAAGAAGAAATCAAATCATTTCACAAAACCAACGACAAATTGCAAATCTTAAACCATAAATATTACTTTTACCTTATTTTCTGATAATCCGCTCTAACAAGATTCAACAGTCCAAAGAAGAAATTGCTTTCGATTAGTAGCTGAATCACGAAATTTTCTCACGCAAGACACCAATTCGACGATTACAATTAGAATTGGTGTCCTGTGTGAGAAAAAGGGGATTTTCAAGTTTTGGAGAAGAAGAATGAAACATAAACGATATAGCTTTCCATATTTTAACGAATTGGTTTTGTTGAGTAATAAAATTACTATGGTCCAATTTTTAAACCGGCGTCAAACCGAAAATTGAGTCAATCTGTCTTGGAAAATTGAACAAATAAAGTTCACAACTTCCTATGTTATATTAACATTTGTTCGACTAAGTTCACAAATTTAGTTAACCCAACATTAACAATATTATGGGTCAGAATCAACATTTGTTTAATTGACTGAAGTTCATGTGTTATAGTTATATTTGTTCAATTGACTAAAGTTCACAAATTTAATTAATCCAAGGTTAACAACATCACGGGTGAGAACTAACATTTGTTCAATTGACTAAAGTTCACAAATTTAGTTACCACAAAGTTAACAACATCACGGGTCAGAACCAACATTTGTTTAATTGACTCAAGTTCACAACTTACTGTGTTATAGTTACATTTGTTCAATTGACTAAAGTTCACAAATTAATTAACCCAAGGTTAACAACATCACGGGTGAGAACCAACATTTGTTCAATTGACTAAAGTTCACAAATTTAGTTAATCTAAGGTTAACAACATCACGGGTCAGAACCAACATTCTTTCAAATTTGGGTTAAAAGAAACAAAAAGAACGAATATATGTGGTCAAATATGAAATATTGTACAACATTTTAACTCACTAAATCAAACCCAGCGAACCCAAAAAATGATCACATATTTACTTTATATTATTCAAACTTTGGTTTAAGTTAGATTTGGTTCGCTCGAGATCAGAATCTAGCATTAAGTCATGAAACTATAACAATTTGTAATTCACCAAAAAACATAATTAATTATCAATTTGTAACTGAGGGCTTACATAAATCTGATCAAAGATATAGCATTGTTCTTATAATTATGTAACAATGGGTAGGATCCATCCTAATTCGACTTTCTGCTCCAAACAAGGTAATGTAAAATGATCATTATCTTTCTAAGTGTGTTTTACATGTCTAAATATTTACTAAGCATCAAGACATATGTAAGTTCCAAAAAGATATGCACAACTCATATAAAGAAGCAAGAAAAATGAGTGATTTGATCCTTTATAAAAGAAGTACATGATGTTAAGATTTTTGAAGATTTTAGCTAATTGACCTGTGCTGCTATAGGTCATGACCAAGTGATTTAAACTAATGGAAATGCTAAACCTCTTACGTAAAAAACTCAACATCTTCTTTGATGAATACACGTCGCCAATTTCTCCAAACTTTAAGCTCCGACAACTCTTTATCTTCACCAGATTTTTCATCACGAACTTATACCAATTAATCATATAAAATCGATTTCACATCATCATTCGAAAAATAAGGATACGATTTATGGAGAGAAACTCCAGAAATCGATTTCCCTTTTGACGATTGTATTTTCTTCCGTTTATTTATTCATTAATGTTACAAAAAAACAATGAATTTGGGCCATAATTGCAATGTCCAGAACTGACCAATTGTGGGTTAAACAACCATGTACATCGTTATTTATTTCGGTAATTCTCATAAAATCAGGTTTTTAGTGTTTCCCTAAATTAAACATACAAACCCATAAATATCTCATTTTCATTATACAATTAGGCTCATAGATACCTCATTTTCATCATACAACTAAATAATATCTTAACCCTAAATTAAACTAATGATAATTTAATTATCATATTCATTTAATTCACCTAATTAGCATAATTAATGTTTTTTTATAAGATACAATAACTCGTGCTGTAGCAGTACGGGTCAACAGTACGGGTCAAGATGTAGTTAATCTTAAATATCTCCCTAAGTAAGGATATATGCTTGGCTAATTAAAGCGAGAGTTAGGCAGGTACTTTAGGCCATAACTGTATTCCTTCCTATGTGATACTCTTAAGGTTGTCCTCATCACGCCACATACTTTTATTCTCTTTTCCTTTGTTGTGTTTTCTGGAAACTTCAAATCATCACCTCGTGTCAACTATCCTTGGTTATATCAAGTGCGTGTTAATCATCACCTCGTGTCTACTATCCTTGGAAACTTCAATATCTTTTCCAAAAGTCTTCAGAATTGTGAAGAAAGAAAAGCCAAAAAGACTAAACTTCATCATGTGCATTAATTTTGTGGAAAATATAATATATGCATTAATATTTAATAGTCAAAGTAGTTTAGTCTTCAGAATTGTCCAAAGTTTTTAAATTGTTTTGGACAAACGATTTTAAAAGATCTTTAACACAGATAAACTTAAAAGCTTTTTAGTAGAAGACTTCTACAGATAAACGTGTTCTACACAACATGCGTATCTTGGTACAATGTTTATCTTAATCTAAAAAGGTCTTTCTAATCAAATGTTCAATGTATCTAGAGACATCTTCATACATACATTATTAATAGTATACGTTTACATATCTATAAATACATTCCCACAAATCATCATTTAAGTAAAGGAAAAAAAAAACAAAAAAGCAACAACATTAAGTGTTGAAGAAACACCACCATGGAGCAACATTTCTCTCATCTCATTTCTCCTGCTTACATATCATCAGCATCAGCCTACGAGCAGAGGAAGGCAGGAGAACAACCGAAGAAAGCGACCACGACCACAGTGGAGAATGTTCCGGCAAGGAAGCAGGCGGTAAAGGAACGTGACATCAACGAAAGCGCCGAGGCATTTATACAGAGGTTCAGAAAGCAGCTTCTTCTCACAACGGCTGGAATCAACTGTTAATAGTATCAATGCCCAAATCTTTTACTGTTAGAAGTCATCACCTGTATCGTTTTAAGTTTTAACCCGAGAGATCTTTAAATTCTTGGGATTGTATGTATAATCGTCTATGTATTACAAAACACATCATAATGTTTTTTAATATATAAAAAGCACCGAATAAAACAGTCTTAAAAAAAAACTTTCAGACGAGCAAAAGAGGAACAGAACACAGACATATGAATGAAGTTTCTTTGTTCTAAAAGCATACACAAAGCACAGTGTCATAACTCAAAACGAGCTCGAATGTTGGTTTTAATGGAGCTTCTTGATCCCAGGGAAGGAGGGAAGGATCGAGATGAGAGCATCGTTGTATCCTACAGGCTCTGTTTCAAATGAGAAAACGAGAAAATAAATAAATCATTACGTGGAAAGTCTTAAGAAAATCGAGGAAAGGTTAAAGAAGAAGAAAGACTTGCCGCCATCCTCTCGGAGTATTTTGACAACCTCGCCGGTAACATCAGACTGGAAGATTGAGAGAAAAAGAGAAGCAATATTAACAACCTTGGTGGAAGCAAGAGATAGATAATTTCACCATAACAGAAATTCAAATGAGATGTTATATAACCTCGATCGGGAATTGGCCACCGAGTTGTTCAATGTAGCACAGAATCTGACCTTCTTTCACTTGATCTTTCTGTCAGAGTATACATAAGCAAAGACGAGAGTAATGCAGTGAGTGGTTTCCCCATACAATCAAACACTCTCTTCTGCTCAAGGAGATTGGTCAAAGTCTTACCTCTTTACAGGACGAAGGAGTGCGTTTACCCTTTATGGTTTTGGATCTCCTGAAGAACCCTACCTGCACATTACCACACCATTTAGAGTGTACACATTTTTCTGAGTAAAACTCACCTCCAACTTTTTACATTTTGAAGGGGAAATGAACATTCTAAAGTTACTAGAAAAGAGGACATTTCCCAACAGAGTAGCCTTCAAGTTGTGTGCTTTCTTACTTTTGGAGATCGGAGAATCATTAAACCCTGATCAGCAGCTGAAGATGCTGGTTTTGTGATAGCCAATGAAGTAGAGGAAGCTGAGCCATTCGAATCAAGATTCTCGGTAGTTGTATTTGCAGCAACCACAGCAGGAAATTGCTGAGGTTGACTACTTTTGTCGGATAGGTTCCTTGCTACATATAGGCGGAAACCCCCCAGCTATTAGAATGTGCAAGTGAAAATATTAGATAAGAATCTGCAAAAGGGCAACAACATAACTACAACTCAATTGAGTAGGGCCTTACTTTCAATTCAAACTCTGCAATTGATGAGGAATCGCATATTTCAGTGACAAGAGCTTCCACCTAATGCATCCAATTGAAAAACATACGAAATGTTTTTATTGTCCATGAAGCAAGTACATTCACATAAATCATGTTATACTAAATCATCAAGAGTCACACAACCTCTTTTCTTCAGAAACTATCAGACAGAGTTCCTAATATTTAGTGGAGAATCAAAAACCTACCTCAGAGGGCTTGGGAACGAGCTGAGCATTCAACGGAGATGACTTGGTCTTTTCAGCATCTTCTACTTCTACAGTCGATGTGGATAATATTGTTAAATCAGAAAGCATTCAAGGAGCAATTAAAGACACTCTCTCGATATGCAAAACATATAAACAGTACCTGCTGTTTCAGCAGGTGTGACAGTAGACACTTGGACAGCTTTCAAAGATCCAAGAGTTGTCCTCAGACTCAAATACTTAACCGGCCTTTGACCAATCACTGATCTTTGATTGCACGGAATCTGTAAGCTTCCAGATCTTACTCTACTGAGGTCCACAGCTGAGATTTTTATTTTAGGAACTCCTAGGCTACCTGAAATTAGACGCCGAAATCTTATTTGAAAACTCAAGAAGATACAAAACCAGCAGTAAATCCGAGATAGCTCCACAAGGTTCTTAACCATTCGAAATATAGTATGTCTCTGTAATGTTCGGTATTGAGGATTTGAAATGTTTGAAATAACATTAACAATGGAAATGGTGACAAATGGTTGTATTCAATTCAGTTACAGAGAGTGCAGATGAAAATTGATCAAAATGGAATCTAATCACCACTGAGACGAAGACTGCCCAGGAATTCTTCAACTGTAGATCTCTAATTACTACCAGAACTAATCTAATTGTTCAAAAATGAAGTCCCTTTCTGAGTATCCCCTATCACTCAATAATGAGAATCCCCAACGTTCCATCGATTTCGATGAATATGAGATGAGAAAACTAAGAAACGTTCCAAATTTGAATGTAAGAACAAGAACCCGGTCTCGTGTGCGATTTTAAAAAACAAAACAACAAAAGACAGGTAGAGATACTTACAGGAAGCCATGGAGAGAAGCAAGGATTGGAGACAGAGAATGTAAGGCGGAGAATGAGATTATAAGCTGATACGATAACGATACGAACGAGGAAGATGATTTTGACGAATGAGGTCGATCAAATCGAAATTTGAGGTGAACGCTCGTCGTTGGTTGGGTTCGCTCGTTCGATACAACCAGAGTGGTATTTTGCACAGCGAAGCACGAAAGATCAAACTTTGATTTTGTATGGGCTTTTTTAGCCCACTAGTATGACCACAAGCCCATAAATTTATTGTGCTTAGGTAGCTTAGCTACAAGCTTTTTTTCTTCCAGCAATATTGATCTCTTTTTTTTTTTTTTTTGTAAAATGTGAAGATAACAGGAAACTAAAAAAGTTGGACAGGGTCAGAGACAACTAAGAAAACTAAAAAATGAAAACTACTAACAAAGGCTAAGAATCAACAGGAAATAAAAAAAATTCAAATCAAATACAAATTAGGCATACATATAAAGCCCTAACAAGTTCCTTCCAATTTTCTTTTCTCTTTCTCTTCCAAAGCGCCGCCGCCAATAATTTCAATCTTCCATCTTCCTTTTTCTCTTGTGGCCGGTGCTCTTCGCCATTGCCGAGAGAGGATCTCCCTTCGCTTTTCTTTCTTCTTTCTGGCTACCTCTCCATTTTGCTCAGTTTTCATCGGAGAGTTTCTTTTTGTTTGTTTCGAGCTCCGTATGGAGGTCCTCTTCTATGCGGTGTGGGGATCGTTGTAGGGGTGGAGTGTGGCCCTTCGGCTCCTTTCTCCAGTGCTCTGATCTTTCCAATTGGCGTTTCTTGTGAAGAGATCTCCATCAGATTTGGTCGGCTGTCATTTTGTGGAGGCTTTGAGGACGAGCTTCTCTCGCTGTTTGTCCAAGCAAGTGGATCTCCTATCTTCTAAGTCGTCGTCAAGGGTAGCAGCGGTTTGGTCTCCAATGAATCGGAGAAGTGGCTTTCTCTTTCTCGTCTCGTTCCTGACGGTGGTTGTTGTTGGGCGGAGGATGTCCATGGTATGGGATCTCGCGGTGACGACAGGGGGATTTGTGCTTCTTTAGGCCTCCGGTGTGGCTCCGTCAGCAGCTCCAGTTTCTGTTTTGGCTTGTTCGCAGGTTTTAGAGTGGCTCAATTGCTTGATAGGAGATGGCTAAGCTCAGTTCTTAGAGTGAACCGATGTAGAATAGAGGCGGCGGTCAGCTCTCAGCCTCTTTTGTGATCTGTGGGAGATGATTCTTGTAGTTTACAAGAATGGCGGTCGGAGGCGGTTTCTTTGGCTGCTCGAAGAGGCTACCGTGCTGTCGGATTACATTTTTGTGTTGAAGCGGTTCCGTTTTTGTGTTAGTCCTCGGAGAAGTTGTAGTGCTGCTAATTGCGAGGTTTGAGGACGGCCTTGGGTGCGATGATGGGTATTCAAGATCTTTGGATCTTTGGCAAAAGCACAAAATTCCGAGCTTACGGGTTCGGAATTAGTGTTTCTCTTCAAGGATATTTAAGTTAAACTGTGAACTGTGTCTATTTTGTTGGCTTTGTCCGTCCTTATTCCTTGCTATAACTTGCTTTTGTTTGTAGTTTTCGGTTTTTCTGCCTTTTAATTTCTTTAACATTTTTTTTTTTAATAACTCATGGTAAATCTCAAACCTATGGAGAGGTTTGGACTAATCCATGGGGAAGGTGCAGCCCACAGATAGACCCTCTCTCTCCGGGTATTCAAATGGGCCAGGAGCAAAGGCCCATATCCATGTGACCAAATGGGATAAATTTACCAATTTTGCGTTTGAGGAGAGTCAATCCCTAGCCTTGACCTACAGAGTAACTCCTCCATCAAGTGGAAACCACTAGACCACCAGCACTTGATTAAGAACAAAAAAAGTTAGGCACAATAAACACCAATTCCTCACAAATAAGCTCGGACATTTGTGTTGTTGCCACGGTTCCAAAAAACTCGAATCCTCAATATTAATTTTACTTTACTAATTAGGCCATACATTCTTCGTCAGATGTTTAGAAACATAATTAGTCATATTTTTTTTTTATTAATGTTTACACATGTTATACAATAATATCCAACATACACTCTTTTAATATATTTACACATGTGATATAACATATCCAACATACACTCTTTTATAAATATTTACACAATTGTTTTTTGATAAAATAAATATTACACATGTTTTTTGCACTTGGAGATGCATGCAACTGCCTCCATATTATCCATTTATCCTAAACAATTTTAAATTTCTTTTTTTTAATGATGTAGTAATATGTTTGGTTGTAATAAGACAAGTAGAGAGAACCTCTTCTTTTATTCTCTCTCCTGAAAGGCGATTTTCCCCTTTTCAACCTTCGATTTCACGATGTTGGAGGCTTTGCCTCATCCCTCTCTCCCCCTGGTTCAACTCTGTCTAATTCCATCGAAATTGAGATGGCGGAATCTCCAATTCCAACTATCCCTAAATCTTCTGGCGGTGCTGGTCCATCATCATCGTCTGGTTCTGTTGGGCGTGGCTCTGGTTTTAATTGGGCAAAGAATTTGACTTCTGAAAGCTCAATTCCGGAATCTACTGCTCCGGTGACAATTCCTGACTCGGGAAGACCCAGAGTCAAGGTTTCGAACGAGGTTTTTGAGCGGGGAGCGAAACTTCACAGCTATTACATTGTTGGTATCTTTTATGGGAAGCCTCCCTCGTATGGGAAGATTTGGGGTGTCCTCAACTACTTGTGGGGTAAGGATAAACGCGTCTCAATTCATAACCTTACACGAAATGCCTTCCTCTTTCATATTCCCTCTCCAGTTCTTCGAAGTAAGATTTTGCAACACGAACTATGGAGAGTGGGAGACTCTCCTTTCTTCGTTAAGGAATGGCGTTCTGAGTTTAGCTTCAATCCGCCTTCTCTGGATAGAGCTCCGGTTGACTCTTCATGGTATGCCGTTCGATTTGATAACGCCGGAGGGTCTGGGTATTGCTTGTCGTCCCCTTGGAAGAGCCGTAGCTCATAAACCATTTACTAGTATCAACTCTGCTGAGGTCAAGGTTATTGTTGATCTTACAAAGCCCCTGCCAACAGAGATTGAGCTAGAACGTGATGACGGTAATCTACTTCTTCTCACTGTTACTTATCCTTGGTTGCCTCCTCTTTGCTCGATTTGTGGTGAAATTGGGCATAAAGATTCTTTGTGTCCTCGGGTATATGGTCCGGAGAATAAACCGTCGAGACCTGCCAGAAATCATCTGAAAACTAATTCATCTTCTCAGTCTCAGACCTTACCGAAGGAGACAGGTCTTCATAAGGAAAAAAAATCGGCTTGGAAACAGGTGGTCTCTGACCCCAGGTCTTCTTCTGCTTCTGACAAGCATGTGGCTTCTGTCTCTGAAGGGCTTAGTCAAGATTCTGTCGCGATGTTGGTTTCTGCTGAGAAGTCATCCACCGCTATTGTTCCTGTCAATAGCCCTTCCCTGCCTAGAAAAGCTCATCAGGAGGTTAAAGGTTTATCGGACAAAATCTCTATGGATCTAGTTATTGCCGACACTACCTTTTCTCCTCCTCAGAAACCTCTTCTCCCTAAGGCAACAAGGAAGTCTTCTTCATTGCTGATTGAGACTTCGAATTCGTTTGATATCCTGAAAGAGAATAGTCAAGCTCTGACTATCCCGGAGCGTTCTGTGAAAGATACTCTGAAAACTTTAACGGATGAAGCGCTTTCAACTGCTCCGATGAAGAAAAGGAAGGTTAACTCCTCTCCTCTGTTAGTTTCAGGTGATGATCCCCCCTCTATTGGGGAGATGCATCACGACCCCTAAGTTGTTTTTATGTCGGACTCATTTTTTTGGAACGTGCGAGGTCTGAATGAAGTTTCTAAGCATCGTCCTCTCAGGAACTGGCTGTACAGCAAATCAGTTTCGTTCGGTGCACTTCTTGAGACGCATGTTGGAGAAGTAAATAGTACCTATCTCCTATCAGCTATAGGGCCTCAGTGGTCATTACTATCTAATTATGAATTTTCGGAGTTGGGCAGGATCTGGATTATTTACAAGGATCCAGTTGGAGTTAGAGTTTTGTTTAAAGATCAGCAATCTATCACTTGTGAGATCTCTGTGGAGAATGAAGAATCCTTTATTTTTAAAGTAGTCTATGCGTCAAATCTTTTGGCAGAGAGGCAGCTCTTGTGGGAGTCTTTGAAGGATACTTGTGTATCGTTCCAGCTGATGCATAGGGCTTGGATCGTTGTTGGTGATTTTAATGAAACTATGTATCCTTTTGAGACTTCAAATCCTAATATCTACAGAACAACTCGAGGTATGAGGGACTTTGCCGACTGTCTTGCGGCCTCTGGTCTGTTTGATCTCCCTTTTAATGGTCCTCATTACACTTGGTCCAATCATCGTATTGAGGATCCTATTGCGAAAAAGCTTGATCGTTGTCTTGTGAATGGATCATGGCTTCTTCGTTTCTCTCGTAGCCACTGTTCCTTTGAGGCTCCAGAGTTTTCGGATCATTCTCCATGTCATATCCGTCTAGTTACTCCCCCGCCTGCTTTTGGTTCAAGACCGTTCAGATTTTTTAATCTCTTGACAAAGCATCGTCGTTTCCAGGAGACTGTTCAGTCGTCTTGGAGTGAGGCAGGAGAATCCGTCAGATCTCTTCGAGACTTTTGTTTTAAGCTGAAGAGGATGAAAAGGCCATTAAAATCCTTGCTTAAGGATAACTATAGCGACATTGAGAGGAGAGTTTCTGAAGCTTTATCTGCACTCTCATCTCTGCAGTTGGCCTCTCTAGCTGACCCTTCTGAATCTAATCTTCTCCTGGAATCACAGGCTAAGGACCTTTGGCTGAGTTTGCGTGCCGCAGAAGAGAGTTTTTTTAGGCAACGTTCTCGTATTAGGTGGCTGGGTGAAGGGGACCTTAATACTAAATTTTTCCACTCAGTCACTACTACTCGGAATGCTAAGAATGCAATAAGGCAGTTGATCAGAGCTGATGGTACGAAAACAACTACCTTGCAGCAAGTGCATGAGCTAGCAGTTGCCTATTATACGTCCTTTCTTACCACGATCAGAGGCGTCTTCCTACCAGACCTTCCTCGACTTCTGGAATCGTTGGTGGTTTCTACATGCTCTTCTCTCCAACAAGGTTTTCTTTCTCTACCATTTAATTCAGAAATGGTTAAGCAATGCTTGTTCAAAATGCCTCTGAACAAGACTCCAGGTCCAGATGGTTTCCCTGCTCCTCGTGGGATATATTGGGACATGAATTGGAACTTTCAGTTCTTCACTTCTTTGAAACAAGCTTCATCCCCACTTCTTTGAATTCTACATCCTTGGTTCTTATTCCCAAAAGACCAGGTGCAGAAGACCTCAAAGATTTCGGCCTATTGCGTGTCTTAACACAGTTTACAAGATCATCTCACAGTTGTTGACAGATAGGCTGAAGCTCATCTTGCCCTCTCTTATACTTCCGAACCAGACGGCTTTCGTTAAAGATCGTCTTCTAATGGAAAATGTTCTTTTAGCTTCCGAAATCATGCAGGGATATCATAGAGAAGGCTTTGGGAGCAAGATTACACTTAAGGTGGATATTTCTAAGGCTTTTGACTCCGTCAGATGGGATTTCCTTCTGGCTACTCTTCAAGCTTACATGATCCCTTCGACTTTCCTCAAATGGATCAAGTGTTGTGTATGTTCTCCTTCTTTCTCTGTGAGCATTAATGGAGTTACATCTGGATATTTTAAAGGGAAGTCAGGTTTGAGACAAGGGGATCCTTTATCTCCCACCCTCTTTGTCTTGTGTATGAACGTTCTTTCACTGATGCTTAATTCAGCGGCGAGGGATGGCTCTTTTGGTTATCACCCTGGTTGTGGTGATTCACAGCTTACTCATCTTTGTTTTGCGGATGATCTCCTGATTTTCTTGTAGGGTTCAGAAAATTCATTGAGCAGGGTTCTCTCCATCCTCTCTTATTTTGAAAAGATGTCGGGTCTAGGGGTTAATATCCAGAAAACTTCAATGTTTTGTCAAGGCATTGATTCTGCAACTCTTGATAGGATCCACGCTCTTTTTAACTTGAAGGCTTCGTCCCTTCCAATTCGTTATTTGGGATTGCCTCTGTCGTCTAAGAAGCTCTCTGTAGGGGATTGTGATCCTCTGATTGTTCAAATCAAACAGAAGCTTGATTCATGGAATAATAGACTTTTAAGTTTGGCTGGAAGATTATCCCTGCTCTCTTCTGTGATTTCGGGTATTATTGGTTTTTGGACGAGCGCTTTTATTCTGCCTCTGAAGGTTATTAAAAGGATTAACAGTCTCTCTAGCTCCTTCCTGTGGCATGGAAAAACGGGTAATAGTTCTGGTGCGAAGGTTGCTTGGAGGGATCTTTCTTATCCTAAGTCGGAGGGTGGCTTGGGACTTAGAGATATTGCGAGTTGGAATAATGCATGTGCTTTGAAACTGATTTGGATGCTTTTCTTCAGAGCCGATTCGATTTGGGTGGCTTGGATCCGTAACAGATATCTTTCTTCATCTTTCTGGGCACTTAATGATAAGAATTATGCTTACTCGTGGATGTTCAGAAAGATTTTGAAGCTGCGATCGAAAGCCATTCAGTTTCTAAGCATCAAAGTTAGAAATGGAGATTCAACTTTATTTTGGTGGGATCCTTGGACACCTTTTGGGTCTCTTTTTACCTATCTGGGGGAGGATGGACCCTCTCGTCTTGGTATCCCGCTGAATGCAACTGTAGTTTGGAGTGGAACAGGTTGGAATCTTCCTCCAGCTCGTACTGAGCGTCAGGTTGCTCTCCATTCTTTCCTGTTAACTATTGGTTGTTCCAATTCAAATGATGTTTCTCTTTGGTCTGTGAATGGAAGGGCCAGTAAATCTTTCTTATTGAAGGAGGTGTGGAATGAGACTCGATGCAAGAAACCAGAGATTCCTTGGGCTTCTTTGCTTTGGCACAAGGCGGGTTTGGCTCGTCATCAAATCACTACTTGGCTTTTCCTTCTTAACAGGAACCCAACTATGGATCGAATGTCTTCATGGGGTTTTGAAATGGAAGGGACTTGTTTATTATGTGGAGCGAATCGGGAGACTCGGGATCATCTTTTTTTCGAGTGTCCTTTTTCTGCTTTTGTTTGGGAAAGACTAATGATCCAGCTGGATTTGTGTATTGTGCCAATGAGTTGGATGAATCTTTTGTATTGGCTCCAAGTTGCTTCTCTTGATAATACTCTGAGGTTAGCTGTGCTTCAAGGATGGCAGGGAGCTGTCTACGAGATTTGGCGAGAGCATAACCGGCGACTGCATGATGGTGTTACCCTTTCACAAGGGAAAGTTTTCAGAATCATTATCAGCTTTGTCATGGATAAATGTCGTGCTTTGGCACTTAGATTCTTCAAGTGGAGATTTGATTCTTCAAAAGTGGTCTCTTTCTAATGGGATTGACTGATCTTGTGTATCTCTTTCTTTCTTCTTTTATCTTTTTGGTTGTATTATCTGCTACTTTGTAGCTTTTATGTTTTAATGCAAGAAAATCCTTTAACAAAAAAAAAAAATGTTTGGTTGTAATTATAAAACTTTGCTTATTACTTATTGCACTCACTAGCTTGATTAATAATTATATCAACAGTATATTAATATTAAACTCAGGTGATTGTAAGTATTGTAGCCTCTAGCACCTAGAGTTAGAGTCTATTAGAATATACGATGAAAAGGCTGGACAAAAAAAAAACAAAAGTAGCAACTCATGTATAAAGCGATGAAATTGAGAAGAGAATCTTCTTTTAAGAAAGACATGCAGCGTACAATGATTAGAATAATAGAACTCTTAAAAAGAAACTGCAAAGAAAATTACGAATTAAGGAAGAAAAAAAAGAAAAAAAGGCAAAAAAAAAGAAATATAATAAAATGGATAATACATCCAAAAGCACGACAGCTAAAGTTACAATATTGGCTCTCATTGCAACATCTAACAAAATTATCATCTTTAATTCTCTCTTGCTCCTCTTTCTCCTTTTCCACTGTTTGAAACGGTGCCTGGAAAATATCAAATTTGAAAATAAATGAAAAATAATTAAACATTTCAAGTATTGTGATCACAGACAAAATAGGTGCTTTGTGTTTGATAACATTAAAATAGTTCCTAGTCTTGGTCTTACTTACACTGTTACATAATCATTTTAAAAACATTTTTGTAAGTAATGAGGGAATATATAAAATTAAATTACCCAAGAAATTGGAAACAAGGCTACTTCAAAGGCATTTTTGTATATTTTAGAAAGATGTTCTGTTGCTGAAGTCCCTTGGTGCATTGCATCTGAAGCATTCCATTCTGCTTGCAAAGTTGTGCTCATTGCAACCAAGTCTGTTACCAAATAACAAATAACCTCTATCAACAAAACTCTTCAAAACAATTTCTTTTTAACAAAACATACATGTCTTAAACTCATGAATAAATAATATATTAATTTGGTTACCTAGTGCAAATCCAGTCGCCGGATTTCCAGCTAGAGCGGCCAGCGTTTCCCGAGACTCTAGACCGCATATCAGCGTCAAACATGGTGGGACCGCCGACGCCGCCGCCACCACCGGTGGATTCGTCCTTGAAAGTGCCGCATTTAAAGCAAGTGGATCGGCTGGCAAAGTTGTGGGTCCCGCAGTTAGCGACAATGCAGTACCAGTCACCTGGACGAACGTCGGAGCCGGTGGTGAATCCGAAAGCAGACATAGCTCTGCCGCCGAAAGCACCAAAGTCTAAGCCACCGACTCCACCGGCGCCCGAACGAGAGTCGCCGCATCGCTGGCAAGAGTCACGACGCTGGAAGTTGAGGTGGGTGCATGATCTACAGTTCCAATCTCCGGGTCTGCTCATCGTCGATCGGTTGTTGTATGCGTGCGCTTATATTAGTTTCTGTTACAGTCACATTAATATGAATACTTCTGTTAGATAATTCCACAAAATTTACCTCTTATATATTCCGACTAAAGAAACAAGACAAAAACACTGTGAGGTACCATGCAACTAATGAAAAAATGTATTGAACTCTTGCTTTCGTAAAAAGTTACGACAAAGTTAAGGTTATGACTTATGAAATCTCTATTTATGTATTAAATAAAAGTGGATACATTCTATTTTGAGTTTTATTATTCTCGTCATGTATACCCTGACCGTATTAATTGCCAATTGCTTGTGGCTAGCTAGCTATATATATCTGAATTATATAAATCAATATATGATTTATGAAATAATTACGAAATAGTAGAAAATTAAGAGACTGACCTTGATGAACTTGGAAGATATGTGATGAATATGGTGTGTCTAGTGAAAGAAAACAAGACACGACGAGGCTTTGAAAGAGTGATGTGAAGATGATGTGCTTAAATAGAACACAGAAGAATAACTGGTGGCTTGTTTTAAGAAAAACAAAAAAAAAACAAATTAAATTACAATTACTTTTTTCGTTTCAACTCAATTGTAAACTTTCGCAAAAGAAGAGAAAAAAAAACGAGAATATAAAAATATATTAACTAAAAAATTTCGGCTGAGATTCCGAAGCCATGAAACTTAAAATATGGATAATTACTTTGGCATACTTTATATGTTTGTTGTATATATGAAATATGAAATAATTAAATTTATGCATGCACATTTACACCCTTAATTTTCTTTTAAAGAATAGAATTCAGATGGCTTATATATTCACAATGATAAATTATAACTATAAGAACAATTCGTATTAAGAAATTAAAAAATTTAAGCCCTAAGAGGTATTGTTCTAATTAATTATCCTTTGTGCAAAACAATATATAGTCAAAGATAAACTAAACTGTAATGCCTCAAATTGATTTCGACATGTTTCTTTGTCACTTCTATACGTTCTTTGTCACTTGCTATTTTATATAAAGTTTTTTAAATTAAAAATTTAGATTTAATAATACTCAAATCATAAAATAAAAGTACTTTGGTAAGAATCTTGGGTCAAAGCATAATGTAATTTTAAGTAAATTAAGAGTGACAAGAAGCCAACAAGCAACTTAAGGAGCCCACACCCAACTAAAATAGTAAAAGAAAGAGATCTTGTTAACCTCTAGCTCTACACAAAAGTCCTTTGACTCAACCTTTTTGGACCCTCTATCTCTAGTGAAATTCATAACTACTAAGTAATAAATTTATGATTATATGCTTCAACACCAAGGAAGCTCATCATTTAGTTAGAAATGAACAATTAGTATTTAATTCAGGTAGCTCGTAGCTAGCTACACGAACTTGCTTAAAAGGAAAAAAGACTTACATTGATAACAGAAGTGATGTTTTTCCCTAAGATTTACAACTAAAGGTGTATATATCAATGTATATAAATAGAATAAGCTGTTAAGTTAATATGCAAGAGGAAGAAAAAAAAAGGAACATATTTCGTTAAATTTAATGGTTTTAACATGGTATTACTTATTAGAGTAACAAAATTGAACTTTTTCGATTATGAAACTTGTCAACATATTTTGGGGGATATTAACGGTGGTATATATATAGAAGGAATCAAAGATAGTTTCCGAAGACTCCCTTTTTGTGTGGTAGTTTTATTTTGCAAATTAATGAAACGGAGGAGCATTCGTTTTCATATCTTATTTTAAAATGTAGAAATACTATAACGAAGTACTTTACGTTGTAGTAGGTGACTATATATATATATATGTATATCTAATATCATTATAAGCCAGGTATTTCAAAATTCTCGTCTCAATACACACATACACACATACACACACACACACTCTAGGGGCTCGTTTAGCATAAAACAAAAGAAAAAACTGCTAAGTGATATTAGATATGTACATATATAACTATAAAGAGATGATATCTGTCGTAGAATAGAGAATCGATTCGGTATCTTGTACGTGGTATAAGCTTTTGGTTGATATAGAAAAAGGTGGCTTAATCTCTCAATTATATTATGGTAAGTCTCTTTCATTTATACTTTAAGGAGGCAAGTGAATCGACATGCGAGACACGAATAAAAATCTATATTGCTTTTGAATTTTGAATATTCACTAATTTTAGTTCTTTTTTCTTTTTTATAATTTTATAATACAAGTTCTCCTTTTTTTTTTTTTTTTTTTGGTATCTCTGGTATCCGGGTCCGAGGAGTCGACCGAACGGTCACCGACCAGTCCTGGGGCCCAAACCGATGGTCTGAGCTTTGTCCAGCTGTATCCAGTTATTCCGAGGATCTAACCCGAACGGAAAACCCGACTATCCCCTCGAAAGGGGTCCAAGGCCCCAACAGAAGGGATGTTAAATCCGTTGTGGCCAAGTGGTTTCGAACCCAGGTCCGTATTGGGACTTTACCTCCCTCAAGTACCACTGAGATACGACCACTTGGTTTACAAGTTCTCCTTTGCTTAGCGGCAACGTAACAAAATTTGTAAACTTCCAAAAAAGAATGCTCAGTGTGATGGATTCTGATAAGTTATACATTGACTGTTAATTAGGATTATACTGTACATTTTAATTATCTTTTTATGGCTTATAAGAACATCTTCAACCCTATGCTAAATATAACATATATACTATTTTGTAATAGAATTTGCTTCAGCCTTATTACATATGCTATTTTTACTTCTATATTTGGCATGAGATTATGCAATATGCTAATTTTCCATTGAATTTTTTTATTTATAAAATAGTCCTTCAATTTGTAAATACTTTTAATTTAACAATTTAATTATTTTGATTATGATTTATTTAAATAAATAAACAATAAAATAACTCTTTCAAAATATAAATAATATTTATTTCATAGAAAATATAATAATATAACCATAATAAACTTAAAATTATTGTTGAAAATACTGAAATTCAAAAAACATAAAAAAAAAAATATTTATAAATCTTCTTTTTCTATAAATTTTATGTAATGTGATGTATTTTGTTTTAGTATTATAATAATAAAATTATTAAATATTATAATTGTGGATGTTTTTGCAAAAAAATAAAAACAGATGATTCATTTTGTAAAACTTGAAGAAATCAAGTAGATTTAATAATTGATAATAAGTTGGAAAATAAATTATAGCATAAGCCATTGCAGAAAAACCCAATGCTATTGCTATTTTTTTTGTCATTTACAATAACATATGACATGAACCATTGGAGTTACTAAAAAAAATCTAAACTGAAACTATTAATTACGTCGATTTATATGTTACGAGTAACTATAGAGTGATAAATGTGTACCAATCTAATTTATAGACCATACTAAAAGAATATTGCTCATCAGCTGATGAGCATGGATAAAGAAAATAACATATTTGGTCATTTGTCAGCAAGTAATTTTCTTCATAAATGTATTGTATAATTTCGTTTTTTTATTCTATCAATATTTATTTTTGTGGATTAGAATTGCAGATTGGTTCATGTTGATAAATTAATATATATATATATATATTTGTTATTTAAAATAGATGTTTGTTATATAAATTATCAATTTAGTGTAATAACAGAGCTTTGATAATGTTAATACTATAAATAAAACAACAACTAAACTGTCGTATTGATCCTTAGAATAAATTTTAGATATATAGCATAATAATTCTATATACAGAAAATAGTTTTTGATTCCAAAGATTTGTAAAGAATAATTTCATACGATTAAGTTTTAAATGGCATAAACAACAAAATGTGTACAAATGCGTGATGGGATAGACATGAGAAAACTATTACAAATATAATAATGGAAAAAATTATGATATAATCATGGGTCAAAAAAACATAAAAAGAGGTTAAAGAAAAGATAAAGGGAAAATCAAAAGGGAGGAGCAAAATAGAGAGTTTCAATAAAGATAAATTTGGGTGATGGTGACGGAATAATTCTTCGATGTTTTCGTTTTGACCATCTTTTCCTTTATTTCTCACTTTAATTATCCTTTAATTCTCTCGCTGTTTTATCCCAGAGTTTTAAAATTAACTAAAACAAAGAAAAAATGACAATCTTCCAAATATATGTTATTTTGTATTACAATCAACAAAATAAAAGATAAGAAAATGCTAATATCTGGAGTCCATTCTCTTGGAGAAGGGTAAAGTGGGCAACAAACAAAAAAAGGAACTGAACTGATTCGATTCTCTTTGGGACTCCCATCCATGCATCACCTCTCCACCCTCTTTCGTTTCACTTTTAATATTATTTATTTACAAAATTACAAACCTTTACTCAAACACTACACAGTCTACACTATATATCTTAGCAGAATAAAAAGTTTCATTTAATAGAAATTTTGGAAAACTTATACAAAATATGGATACAACGGCTAGCATCTGAAAAAAAACTGTACTATATCCAACATCTACGAATTACCCTTCAACATGTAATTGGGATGGCTCATTATTCCGCCATTCCAGCACCGGAAGTTACTGTCGGCGTTTGTCTCGATAATGGTTGTAAGATAGAACATGTATAAGAATGAAAATCGACCAACAAAATAGAAGAAAGCCTAGTGGCGCAGGCATTTGGAGAACAATTGTGGGTTGAGAAATAACAGAGTTTGCAAATCATATGTGGATAAAATGTTTTGTAACATTATAGTCAAACCATAATAAACACAATATTTACAGTGGCAGACCTAGAAATATATATTATAGATGTCAAAATCAATTAAAAGTGTCAATGAGGGAGTTGGAATCCGGGTTAAGAGGTTCAATATGAAGCTTTTTACCAATCAAGTCGTTGAATTTATGTGTTTTATCCTTATAAATCAAATTTTTATCTTATTTTAAGGGTGTATCGACACAAGAATGGGCAAACGATGATGTTACAAGAAAAATTGAAGATTTAATAATCATCAACAGTGCTGATAAATGAAGTGTCATTGACATATGATTTGTTGGTGCTTACTACATGACAACGTATATTTCAATATTGACTGCGATTCTGATATCTTTGCATGCTTCATTTTTGTTTACTACATTATTCAAGCCAAGTCCTTATCCTTTGTCATCAGATCGTATGTTTGGCATTTGTTTTATGTGTCTATGTTTCCTTCAATTGTTTTTGAAAAAAATTAACGTGTAAAAACTTTAATGAAAATAGTAATCATATATATGAAAAAGAGGTCAATTTTTTTCCATATTTTTGACACGTGGATACATCAGATAATAATATGTAATAGTAGGTTTTTCATTTTTTAAAAAAGAATTGACCTTTCATTTTTCTCTCCAGCCTAAAAGTTTATAAATTAAAAATTTATTAAACGTGAAGTTAATATATAAGTCGTCTTTACAAATTCCCCTCTTTCTATCGTTTAATCCTTCGTGATTATAATATCAACCTCCAACCCTAAATCGTCTCTTTCATATATATTTTTTTAAATGGAAGCTTTTTTTAAGATGGATCATGAAAGAGTAATCATATTTATAAAAGGGTTCAACATTTTCCAGATTTTGAACACATTAGCACTCTGTTAACTAAATGTGAGGAATTAGAATCTATTTTATGTGGTCGTGAATAAACAAAGAGAGTTAGACATAAAATATGTGATATAATGCAAAAATATATATTTGAAAGTCAGCCACTAACCAAATAAGTTGGAATTCTATAACATGGATTTTATTGTGTTAGAATTTATAATATTATATATAATATCAAAATATTTATCACAAATATATATAATTATTTTATAGCATTTTAAAAATTATAACAATAGAAAAACTTACGCGTATGCACAAGTATTAATCTAATGTAGTTATAAATTCAGCAACACTGGCATTTGATTTAAATATGGTAAGTATTGATTGGCTAATTGTCACATACTCTCTCCGTTTTAAATTAATTGTCGCTTCAAAAAAATATATCTATAATTATCTGGATATATTAAACTCCGTATAATCATAACTGAAATATATTTTTTCAAAATGATAATTAATTGGAGATAATATTTTATACTAATCACTAACACAAATTGTGTGGAGGTGATCAGTAGGAAAAGGAATAACCTTGAAGTTGCTCGGACAGATCGGTAAATGTGAGAGTTTAACGGACCTCTTAACCTCTTTTGGGTGTTTTTTTTTTCTTTTCTTAACATAGTCTTCATTTTATCATGCTTTGCTAAAACCAAGTGATGTTTGACACGGTCACGGAACATGCAACGGCAACAAAATGAAATACGAATAGGAGTATAATATAAACATGCGATGACGACACTTATGGTGTTGCCACGTAACAACCAATCTTCACTTAACCATGATGTGTCGCAACCACAGAGGACAACACGTACAAGACCGAGAAACCGCATACTAACACTCTCAAAAGCACAATATCCCCAAAATCCTACATAATTTTAATCTGGTTTTAATCTCAGCACACCACGCAGCTATAAACGTGTCTCTGCACTTAACACGTGTCTTGTTCTCTCACCGACCAAGACACACTACAAATGTCCCGATGGTTTGGAGAAATAATACACTCAGTTTCTACACAGCAACAAACACTTTCACAAAAAGCTTTCAATTGTCGTTTCTTATTTTACACATTTGAAGAAAAGAAAAATGGCGTCTAACCAACAAAGCTACAAAGCTGGTGAAACCAGAGGCAAGACTCAGGTAATAAGAACAACAGATATATATATATATATATGTATTTAAAATCATCTTGTATTTTCAAGTGTTCTAAGATGATTTTGGTTGCGTAACAACAGGAAAAGACTGGACAAGCTATGGGAGCAATGAGGGACAGGGTTGAAGAAGGTAAGGACAAGACTCAAGCAACCGCTCAATCAGCAAAAGACAAGGCTTCTCAAACTGCCCAAACGGCCCAACAGAAGGCTCATGAGACGGCTCAGTCAGCAAAAGACAAGACATCTCAAACTGCCCAAACGGCCCAGCAAAAGGCACATGATACGACCCAATCAGCAAAAGACAAGACATCTCAAGCTGCCCAGACGGCCCAAGACAAAGCCCGTGAGTCTAAGGACAAGACCGGGAGCTACATGTCGGAGACAGGAGAAGCCATTAAGCACAAGGCTCAAGACGCTGCTCAGTACACGAAGGAGACGGCTCAAGACGCTGCTCAGTACACTAGAGAGACGGCTGAAGCCGGTAGAGACAAGACCGGTGGGTTCTTGAGCCAGACAGGTGAGCATGTGAAGCAGATGGCTATGGGTGCAGCTGATGCGGTGAAGCATACTTTTGGGATTGCTACGGAGGAAGAAGACACTGAACATTTTCCAGGAGCTACTACGACCAATACTCGTTCAGGAACCACTGATCCGACTCATCAGACTTATCAGAGGAAGTGAGAAGCAAGAGAACTATGAATGTGTTTTTTTTTCTATATGTTTGTTCGGTCTTTTGAATTATGTGTTTTGTTTTGTAATTTCCGTTGTGTGTTTGTGTTTTTAGTCGTGACGGTGGTCCTGGAGACTTCTAATTTCCAGCCAAATAAGTTTAGATCTGATACCGTTACAACTTTCGTATCGTCCAATTTGTAATTTTGTTTTAATAAACAGTTTTATTAATATTTATCATGTCCCATCTCCTATGACCAAGAATTTTAAGCATTGCTTGTAAACTTGTAATCAATGTAGCTGTTTAAACAGAATCAGTTCTATTAGCATCTTAGGGTGTGTTATTGGTTGTATAAGTTTAAATCAATCCAATACTGTTCAAATATATCAGATTTTAAAAGTTATGGTTTGTTTAAAACTAGTTAGTACTCATTTTACAGTCCAATGTAAAACTTTCAAAATCTATGGCAATGTATCTACTGATAATGTGATGAGAGGTTTGTGGTGAGTCATGATGGTAAACTTTGGACGAGCTTGAAGATGGTGCCATTGACGACGTGTCTTGAGGAGACTTTTTTTTTTTTTTTTTTTTTTTTTTTTTTTTTTTTTTTTTTAAAAGATAAAAATTCCGAAGAAGAAAGGGAGAATTTGCTGAATAACCATATTGGACCACAATATTAAGCATATAGCCATATCAAAACTAAAATAAGGTAAGTAACCAATGCTTTTTTTTTGGACAAAATTACCCCTGCCTGAAAAATAGTATAGTTCTCGTCGTAATAAAAAGAATAGTCTAAGATATCAATCAAAGGAATCAACGATTTCCATCAATCTCAAGCTTCCAAAATTAGTTGTAATAACAATTATGATGATTTTAAATTAGTAATGATCATCGTATACACACAATACGAACTGATTTAGTTTGGGAGAGAGAATTTAGTTATTGTTCTAAGATTGAATCATCACTTCCTTTGCTTCCGTTGAGGCTGTCAAGGTTGTTGTCTTCAAAATGAAGAATTTCAGATTTAAAAATCGAATTCATCTAATCATCAGTTATTGATCTAATATTGTTGAGATCCAAAAATTACAGAGACACTTGAAGTTGAAGAAAAATAAAAATATAGGTGATGGAGGTGGAGAATTCTGAGGCGGTGGTTAATTGTACTGATCCGATCTGAAGCCACATGACAGAGCAATTGTGGAGTTTTTTAACCTGGATTTTTGGTTCAAACGCATCGTCATTGAGGATGAAGAATAGAAAGAGAGGTCTAAACCAATAGGTGAACCAATGTCGATAACCACCAGAATCGTAAAGATCTCGGATTCTGCTTCGCTCTTCCTCTCTAATCTTTATAGAACCCTAGAACTCAATTTCTAAGACAACCCAGAAAATTAAAAAAAATGTAGAGCACCACGGATAGGACAACCCAGTTTGATTAGAGCTAGAAAAATCAATACAATAATTGAAATAAAGAAAATCAAAGGGGAGGAAGAGATGGAAGAAAATCAAAGCGGAGGAAGAGATGGTCGCCGTCGTGAAAAAAGTGGGATACTCAAGGAGAAAAAAAAAGAAAAAAAGAAAAAATAAAGTGTAAAAAAAAAATGGTTTCCTTTTGTTTTTCGAGGGCAATTTTGACATATTACATATTATACACAGAATATTATAGCCATTAGTTTGATATGATCATTTCCTTAATTATGCTTTTTTATGCTATTTTCCAAGAAGAAAAATGGAAGAAAAAAACGAAAATACAAGAATGTTTTTTTTTTTATTAGATAACTAGAGCTAAGCCCGCGCGATGCGCGGATTGTGACTGTTACAAACTTTTTTTAACTGTCAATATTATATCTTTTATATATCAACACATGTAAATATTCGGTGGAAATATTAATGTATAGTGCTCTTTATTTTGTCGAATATCAGTTATGTTCAATTTTAAATTAACAATTCAACACTATAAATTAACCAGAAAATAGAATTAATCCAAATTCAACTTTATACTTTTCTTAAAACTGGAAATTGTTACTTAAACTTTTGCACAAAACATAGGAAGCATGCATAAAAGTAATGTCATTTTTTCCAAGAATTAGAATACTCTTAGGGACTATGTATTAGTTTATATACACGATTTTTATCACCAGTTTCGTTATAATTGGAAAGACTATATATTTATCTCACAAATTTCATGCAATTCTATATACGACAACTACTTAGAATGTAATCTCTCCTTTGTAAATCTTAGAGAAACTAAAATAGGGCCAGAACAAATTTTATTTATTTATTGATATGTAATATAACTATATAAGCTATTACCCAATTCTCACCTAATAATAAATTACTCAATTTTCTTACTATTGATATTAATTGAGAAGTACAATATTTGTGTTTCCCCAAGAAAAAACAGATTTTTGTAAATGATTTAGAGGTATATATATATATATATATTTATAATTGTTGAACCAAAAAAAAAAAGGATTTTGTAAATATTACTTTGGTTTGAAATTTTCGAAGCTCAGTGTATTCATTTTAATTTGAAAAAAATCTCACCGAAAGTAACTGTGCCAAATTGGTTAAGTTCATTTGGTACGGCTCATGTGTAAAATGTTTGTGCCAAGAACCGAAAACAATGCCGGTTCGGTTTTATGTATCAGATTTTTAATTATCCAATTTTAGTTCATTTGGGTAAAGGCCGGTAAGTTTGGTTTGGTATAGACTTTACTTTACTTGTGCAGTTTAATTGCGTGCAAACACTCTGTGCGTCAAGTCAAACTCAAGTCAAAATCCCTAAATTTTTCTTTGATTTTTTTCTCTGCAAAGCGTAGGACTCTCTGCACTATCCGACTCTCTCCCTCGTCTCCAAGAGCTTATGTTCTCTGTTTGCTTCACCGGAGCTTTACCAGACTCGCTCCCATTTACGCCGTACTGCAACAATGGCGGCATCTAAGCCGTCGCCGCAACAACTTCGGATCCGCCAATCTTAGTCCCTGGGTCTCTTCGCCTTCGCCTCTGGTTCCTCCGTCTCATTCGTCGACTCTCGCTCTCTCCAGCTCGTCTCCACTATCCCTCTCCCTCCTCCTCCCGGTGCCCTCTCCCCTTCGTCACTTACGTCCGCTGGATCCCTTTCTCTCTCCCCCGCGATCTGCTCTCCACCAAGCCCTCCGCCTCCCACCTTCTCCTCGCCGTTTCCGACCGCAACGACCGCGTCGCCCTCTCACATCGCCGGAATCAGACTAGATGTCGCCACATACAACTCTCTAATCGCCGGAGTGGCGAGACAGCTGATGTTGGATCCTGTCTTCTACCTGTTCGACGAAATGCTTGACTGGCCAAGGAAGATGAAACGTTAAAATTATTTGTGATTTTTTTTTTTTTAAAGGAAGGCCACGTGGCAATTCAGCAGAAAATGTTCGAGGCGGAAGGCGGAGGAGACGATGTTCGAGGCGGAAGGCGGAGGATACGATGTTCAAGTCGTTTCTAGGGTTTCCAGAGGAGATTTGGGGCTTTTTTTATAAAAGCAAACATTGTAAATGGATTGGTAAACAATTTTTTGTTTGTTTTTTTAATAATTAAAGAAGCTGTCACGTGTCAATTTTTTTAAGTAGATGAATGACAGGTGTCACTTAACTTAACTGGAGAATGTTATTCTCTTTTTATATATATATATATATATACATTTTTTTTTTGTTGTTGCAAACCGTAAGGCTTTGAGAAGTATATAGCTTGAATTAAGATGAGCAGGTCATTTTCTGGGTAGAGCTTGTGCTCTGCTTAGTTGTGTGTGACACATTATTTTTGTGTGTAATACATACAGAAAATAAGTCAGAGGTTGATTTTTGAAAAGCACTTGGCTTAAAACATAAAATGAAAAATAATGAAGAAAGAAAGAGTTTGATTCATAAGTCTATATTATACTTGAATGAAAGAAGTACATGATTTAGAAAAGATGAAGAAAAAAAATAAAAAAGAGAGTTTGATCGGTAGATCGAAATTAGAAAGAAAAGAGCCTCATGACCAAAATAAGTTCATTTTAGGAAGAGATAAATTCTGTCTCACAACTATTTTGTATAACACATGTGATGTGCTCTGTTTTGGCATAATGACTTTTCTTCCTCATTGTAGTTGTTCTAGTTGTTTATTCTATGATATCTATCATCCTTAATCTCCTTTAAAATATAGAAAGAATTGTTGAATTCCATTATTCTGGATCCCAGTTTTTGGTTTTAACTTGCTCTTTTCATGGTTCTGATTCTTACGCATGATGTATTTGGTGTAATTTCGACAATTGCAGGTTATTTTGTTGCTTAATTAGATTAAGTCTCCTCATAGTTATGCCTGTATTGGATTAGCAGGGTTTCATTAGCTCTTTAATCGCTTTTTATTATTGTGTAATTCAGCTCTGGTTATTGTTTTGTTTCACAAAACAGAAGTAGAGCAAGGGAAAGCAAAAGGAGAAGGTGAACAACATGATGTTGTTTGATTAAGCTACTTATGACAAGCTTCTCACTGAACTCCAAAGTTCAAGCTTATCACCCCTTCCATTCTCTCCGACCGTATGAGGGTATATGTTTCTTCAATTTTACTATATCATTTCTCAGAATCATAATTGTATACTAGTATCAATAATCTGTTAGTTTGAGCTTTTCAGGATCAAGTAGTGAATATCTTTCTCTTCTCCGGCGAGCTGTTGATGGGTTGTAAGTACTTTTTAGGACTGAGTCGCTGCACATGTCCTTCACTCCGCTGAAGCTGCCAGATTGTGCACCGCTGCTCTCTCACCTCCAAGAGAAACTTCTTCCGGTTCAGAAAATTCTCCCCTTCCTCCGGAGCCACCGGATCCGCCGGGTGCAAGGGTACTGTCCCCTCCACCGTTCTCTGCTGAAATGAACCCCAATCACCACTTGCCGCCGTCTGCTACTGTATCTCTTATCCCTGAGATGAGATCTAGCTTCTCCTGCCTCACTCGCTCAAATCTGTTGTGCTTCCCATCCGATACAGCAAGGCTCACTGTTCTAAACATCTTCTCTGTTTGCTTAATTGTGTTGTGCCTTAGCTCCTGTTCAGCCTCTTTGATGCCTCTCACCAACATCGCTGCAAACCGGAACCATCTCATCGACCCGTTTGTCTCTGTTCGACATAGCATCACCACTGTCATACTTTTCCCACCACCATCTCTCTTCACTGTCGTGCTTCCATTAGCCAAACTCATCCATCTCTCCGATGTTTTTCCCGGAGGTGATTTGCAACAGTGCAATCTCGGAGCTCTGCTCAACCTATGGGCTTGGCCCATCATTTCCCGCTCAAGCTTCACCATTTTCATGCATTTGTGTAGCGGAGGATACGTTTTCATGCGATTCAATGTCACATTTACCGGATCATCATCTGCCAGGTTATCATCGGATTTTGCCGACCTGGTTTCAGGAGTACCGCCAACTTACCGTCGTATCTCTAAACCTACATCAACAGTTCTCGAGTACCGCCAACCTACCGGCGCATCTCTGAACTTGCATCTCTCCTTAATGGAGATTGATTCTAAACGCTCAATAGTCTTAACGACGTCACAAGCTATTCCTCTTGTTCGCTTGTTTTCAACAGAACAAGAACTCCGGATTGTTTTCAAAACGATCTTAGAAGCTCTTTTGAAGAAGCTTCCAGTTTTCATCTTTGATCTAAACTGTCTAACCTATCCTGGTATTGCTTTGTATTTCATTTCTGCATCAAGCTGCTTCTACTCCTTGGCAAAGAGGTCTCAGCTTTCTATTGTAATCGCCCTTTGAATTTGTTCTAATGAAAAGTTGTTCAAAAAAAAAATAGTGATATAATATTATTTTCAAGCAATTTTATGGAAAGATAAACTGTATGATGGTGTTGTAGTTCTTGCTAATGAGTTTTTTTCTTGCTAATAAACATAGTTTCAAATGTTGTAGCACTCCTAGTTGTCAATCTCTAGAATTTGAACTTCGTTGTTGTGAACCTTGACTCGAGATTGTTGGAAATGCTGATTAATGGGTCTCTAGCAAGGAAGGCGATTAAAGAATCATAGATAAAGACGAAGAGGAAGAGAGGCTAATGTTACAAAATCTCGACGAGTTTGATCAGCAAAACCATGGTGCATTGCCACAATACAGTGACAAGAGCCAACACCAGGACAAGAATAGTTTCATGGGGTGAACAGTGTGAAGACGACTTCCTTTGAAGCAGAAGCGCTTAGGACAATGAAAGCCTTCTGGATTCCATCAGCTACACCAGGAGCTTTAGTCATAGTGCAAGCTCCGGAAACTCGCACGGTTTGAGTGACAATTACAGAAAATTTCTTTGATCTATGGCATGTATCCTTTGCTTAGAACCAAGAGACACTGACTTCTCTGTTTGGCTCTTGCTTTTGTCCTTTTGATCGGAGAAGGAGCAATATTTGTTGAGACAGAGAGGGACATTGAGAGGAAAGACAAAGGATTCTCATGGGAAGAGTCGAAGCTCTGGTTTTCTTCGGAGCCAGCTATTCAGGCAAGACGATGGTGATATACACCATGGAAGATCTGCTTAAAGTTTTGGCAGAAACGCTGGGAAGAGGAACCTTGGGGAGCACGTACAAGGCTGTGATGGAGTCTATGTGGCTTGTTGAAGTGTTGATCTACGACACCTATGTGGCTTTTAAGTAGACAACCGGAAACACTAAAGTGAAAATCGTTAATCTATTGCATATGTCATTTGGACTATGTCATATAAGAGTATTAAAACACATAAGAGTATTAAAACGCTAAACCGTAAATCCTAAACTCAAAATAGTTTGCTTGAAATGTACCTCATTCGTTGCAAAAAATATGACACATAATTGTAATCAAACGCATAGAGTATTCAAACCCTAAATAGTAAACCTTAAACTGAAAATAGTTTGCTTGAAGTATACCTCATTCGTTGCAAAAAATATGACACATAATAATACTCAAACATATAGAGTACTCAAACCCTAAACCGTAAACCCTAAACCGTAAACCCTAAACTAAAATTAGTTAGAGAATCCCAAAGAGTTAGTCTTTTGTACGTGTTATTTGGACTTTGTCACATAATAGTATTTAGATCCCTAAGAGTATTCAAATCCTAAATCATATTGATTCGTCGCCAAAATATGCCACATAGGGTACTCTACCACATAAAGTATAGGAACCCTAAACCCTAGACACCAAAGTGAAATTTGTTTATGCGAAATTGATTAAACAAATAGATCCCTAATTCATAAACCGGTTTAAAATCTATACTTGAAATGAAATGGATTTACAAAAATCTACCACAAACACCCACACACGTTTACAATAAGTCTACCATTCGAACATTAATCTACCGTCATTAGTCATCGAAAACCCACATGAAATTCTGTTTTCCAATGTTTCGAGTGTTGCCAAATCTATCACCATTATCAAAAAATCTATCAGAAAATGATAATCTACCGTCAAAAAGAATAAATCTATTGCACCAACATTTATCTACCATCATTTAGAAAATAAAAATAACTCTATCGCCGTCTATATAGTTTAGTTTTTTCGAATAACTACGAAAAGTGAGAAACCAATGTGAGCATCAATTGTCAATATCTACTTACTCTGATAATGGTTAAATATTTCCTTGGTATATTTTTAAATAATCCAAAGCAAACTTTGTGAAATTATCTTTTAGTTTGCTGATCAACTATTCAACCGGCCATATAAGTTTAGAGGCAACCATATATTATACAATTCATAAGTATCAAGCTATGAGAATATATAATTTGTTAATTAACCAATGTAAATATTTGAATAAACAATTAGAATAACTTTTTGTTGTTGTAATGTTATTGAAAATTAAGCACTTTTAGATTGCACTGAGACTTTATTATGCCGCTTTAATTGTCACTTGTCGTCTTGAGAATACGTGTTCATTAACATACAAAGACTTTCTGTGGACTGCAATTAATAGGTTGCACTGTACATGGGAAATGGGTCGCGTGGGGTTATTTTAGACCAAATTGGTGGCAAAATAATATCGTTGTCTATGTATCGTAATGGCTTATGTCAATTACTTAAATACGGTGTTATAATATGTTAGTTACTACAATTTCTCCTAAAATAATTATATAACACAATTTGGGTTCCTAAAACAATACTAGGGTTCATAAGCAACAAACAAGGTTATGCTTGGTTTAAACCAAGTCTTAGCGTTAGCGTTAGATAATATAGAATAACACATATTAAGAAACGGTGAAGATTCATCCTCACCTTAGCCACAAAGAAGATAACGGAAGACGAAACGGATCAACGACGAGGCTGCTATAGATGGGAGATGAACCGTCATTGTTGACCTTAAGTCAACATGAAGAAGACGTGGACTTTAACACCAAGTTGACGTTGTCGTTGACACACATGCATGGATATGGAGTTCATGTCCCAAGGAGAGAGACGATGGTCACAGCTCGGCAAGGAACAACGGCAGCACCACGACGAGATCTCGGTAGGGGCAGCAACAATTGAGAAGCCGAAAGTGAGACGAACAGAAACGCAGAGATTCTCTTATGAGGAGATCGATTGCTTGCAACACAAGGCACTGGATTTTCCTTGGCTTTCTCTTTCGGTTGACTCAGACCACGGCTGCTATGGCTTCCGATAACAGCCAACGTATCTCCATCGGATCATGGCTTCACCCTAAGATCGAGCTGCAACAATGGTGGTGAATGATTTCGGCTCCGTCACAGATCTCCACGGACATCCCTCTCTTCTTCTCCACCTTCCTCTCACGATCTCTTCTTCTTCTCCTCTCTCTCTCTCTCTCTCTCTCTCTCTTCTTCTTTCATGGCTTCTTCTTCCTTTCTCCCAACTTCTGGTTTCCTTCTCTCTCTCCTCCACAACTCTCCATTCTTTTCTCTCCTCGGTTCTCTTCTCTCGACGGCGCAAGGGTGGAGGCGAGGGATTTTCTTCGTCACACATGCACACATTCACCAATAGAACAAAACAAAATGGGCTCAAATGGGCTTTAGCAACAGATTTTAAAATGGGCCCACTTTGGGAAAACCAGGATGTCACACTTTTCGTTATAAATAAAGAAACAGTTTGAGTGTTGATAAAAGAGTGTATTTATCGAAGAGTAAAAGAAACACTCGTACTCTGTTTTATTTGTTCTTTAAGAAAATTCTATTTTCTTCCAACACTTTGTTCTTCTCGAATCATCTCTTTCTTCCTCCTCATCATCTTCTTCTTCACCATCTCCATTCACAAGAATTATGAAAAGAACACAAACTAAAGCCAACACCAAACCACCTAACCATGGCCTACCACCAAAACTTTCTGACTTCGTAAAATTATATTCCTCGCTAATATTCTTAGACATATCAAAGGCAACAAAGCAACAAAATCACAAAGAGATAAGAAATACAAAAACCTACAATCGAATATGTTCTTGATGTTGGTGATGTTGAAAGCCATTCCTGCCATCCAAGAAGGATTACATGCTGATAGCGATTCAGAAAGATCACATGTCCAAATTGACCGTTCACGTGTGCCATTGAAAGTTAATCATGCGAAGGAGCTGAACAAAGCAAGCAAGGTAATTTCAGTGTTAGCCCCTTGACTTTACTAATGGGTTGTTAACATTGGCAAGCCCAGTTAATAGATCAAGTTTCGTTTACTAGTTAGGGACCCTAATAACTATGTTACAAACACAACATTTAACTTAGTTAGATATTCATAACGATGGATGTGGTATAGGAATAGTTACGAAAAATATACTTGCTAACTTTATTACATGTTAATGATGTACTTGCATTTTACATAGTTTTAGCATCCATTTGCATCATATCTTGTTCCTTTTCTCTTCTTATGCATTCATGTTAGTTTTAGGTTGCATTTGCATACATATGCATGTTTGGCCCTTTGAAATAGGTCTTTTGGAGCATTCTAGAGCATTTTAGCATATTATCCATAGAATTGGCCCCTTTTAATAGATTAGTCTTTGTACGTCTAATTCGTGGTCCTCCCTGCAGGGAATCTGGAGCTTTGTAAGAGCAGGCACGTCTATGGATCACCGGTCGACTTGGTCAATAAGGGAAGCAGCTCAATCCTGGTCATTATAGCATGCTACAATAAGAGAGCTATATAAGAAGCGATAGTTAGACCATTCTATGTATGGATCGACCATTCTCCTCGTTATAATATACACTCGTACAAACAATCGTGTACTCGACCAAGTTACCCCGCGGAGCTCTCTTGTGGCAAGCGCAAACAAGCAACATTTCCGGAACCTTTAACGGTCTTCCCCGTGTGCCCAACAAAGCTTTCAAGTCCAATCGTATTGATCTGTACCGCTGAGCCATATGTCAAGCAGTTCGGAAACCCCCGTATTCCAACATCGATTGTCTGTTCCCCCTTGACCCTAAACCTAAAACCTCTTGTATTTAAAGGCTCTAAGCCACGAAAAAACCACCAAGCTTTAGATTATTTTGTTTTAGTTTCTTTTAATTTATTGTCTTTTACTTTTTAGAGATCTAATCCCATCTTTGTGTTCTTGAAGCTCTTGCTTCTTGAATCCTAGATCCTGGATAATCTCTTTGTATTTGCACTTGCTTATTTCAATAAAAGTTGTTTAATTTCATCTCCTCTTTCTTATGATGTCTCTTTTATTGCATTTGCTTGTGTTTACATTCATGTGTAGTGAGTAGTTACCCATTAGGGTTTGAGATGGGATAGATTAGAGGTTTCATATGCTTAATCCTTCTAGCTTATGGTCTTAATCTAGATTCTCTCTCTTTTGGATAGATCTTAAGGCTACATGACCACTACCCCTGGCTTGTAAGTCCTTAGGCGACTCCCCACACGAAAGTGATGGCATTCGCTGGAAAAGATCCACTAAGAGCTCCAATATCTCTTGCTCTAGACAATAGAGGTCTAAGGGGTTGGATGGATTAGTTTGGGCAATGATCCTATAGCCTCCAAGGTTTGATTCTCACTGGCTAACCCCCTGTTTCTGAGATCATTCCTTGGTTGATAGCCTCCACCTTGGGAAAGGGTTGGCTAGGCATTGAGAAGCCCAATATCAAGAGAAGCCTTGATACAAGGAGTTTTAAGAGCTAGATTGATTAAGTGTAGATTCCTTTGATTGCAAAACCCTGTCTTGAACCCTAATTCTCTCTTTATCTTGTTAAAGTCGTCACCTTTAGCTTTGTTTGTCTCAACTCGTCCCTAAACTCGATCGAGCTGGTACTTTGCTCTACTCGACTCGAGCCTTGGTCGAGCTGACACTTCACTGCTTTGTTTACTTTTATTGCACTGCTTTTCATTTTTAGGTTGTTAGTGTTACTTCAAATCTTACTGCTTGCTTGACTTTCTGGTTGTTTCATATTCTCATAGAGTGACAAGTTTCCCATTTTGGATTGATAACCTCTTATACTTCAATGACTATGATGGTTAAGAGGAATTGATTGATTGTGATTGCACCATACCATTCATCTTTATTCACCCCTGTTTGCATTCCACCTCATTTCACATCATCACATCCACACAAAATCCTATCATCAGTTAACAAAATAGAATGCTAATTAGGACAATGCATATTATTTTGTGGATTTTTTATCTTTAAATGCTCTCTTTGTTTATCGCAATATAAGTTAGTTGGCGGAAAGTTTTACAATCTTGTTTCTTTCTATCCACGTTGTGAAAATTGTTTCTCGGATTTCTACTCTTGATTGCTCTGGTGTTTGATTCTCATCAAAAACAACACTTTGCTCTCTTACAAGATGTATTAGCAATTTCTGTACAGATGGTCTTTGTTGATGAATACTGAATCCAAAGATGTGTAAGGCGGTTTCGAAAGCTGAAAGATAGCGGCATTCTTGGAAAATCTGAAATTCATTCACAACTTTTTCTCCATTTGAGGTAACTGAAACAACTTGTGCACCACCTTTTCTCTCTAACGTCATTGTTGCTTTGTCTGCTCCTTTGATGATATACTTGAACATATATTTAATAGACTTTGAAGTGCAGCACCATTCGACGTTTATGTGAGACTTATACCTTTTAATTAACTCAACATTGTGGGAGATAACGTATTGATTGTTACTTGTTGTTCCAGCTTTGATGATGATGCAGCATAAGAAGAGTGGTTTGTGGGCTTTTGTCAAACACAGTTCGGGCTTTCATGTGTTTGACAGGTTTTTGGTTTTCTTTTATGTTTACGATAATGACTAGCTTCGTTTAAGATTAAGACTAGGAGATTCAAATATATATTCTCTTCTTCTTTATATTGAGTTCGATAACAAGCTTTGTAAAGAGCCTTTGCTATTGAATAAATTTATATAAGAGCTTTTACAAACACTAAGAGGAGTACTCTTGCATTCCCTTACTTGTTCGACTACGTTTACGTCAAAATCCTAGCATTGAAGTGAGTTTTCGTCGAACTCTTGCCTCAATCTCAAACCTAAGCTTCTGCCTCTCTATCAGTTGGTATCAGAATCAGACCGTTCATGTTGCCTCTCGAACACCACCAGCAACAACAACCCAGCTCCACGACCTGAGGGTCCAACGGCTGAGTGGACTGATCTCTGTACGACACTGCAGGCGATGCAAGAAAATATCCAAGCGACTATCCACAGCTCAAATAATGATATGGGCGAGATGTGTACGAAACAACCCATTCAGCGCTCTAGCTGATGAGTACAAAGAAGACGATGATCACCGTCGTTTTCGTCGGCGTAATCAGTTCGATGGGAAAACGGGTTCAATTGGTGGAGTCTCATGTGATGATTTGCTCGATTGGATCATATCGGTAGAGGAGTTCCTAGACTTCAAGAAGGTACTGGATGATCGTCGCGTCCCTCTTGTCGCGATACGTTTTCGTGGTCACGCAGTTTCGTGGTGGAGTAAACTTAAATCCACCAGAACTCATACTGGGAAAGAACCGATTCAATCATGGGAGCGGCTGAAGAAACATCTGCGCAAAACAATTTTTCCGCAAAACTTTGATCGTACGCAGTATAATCGCTTGCAGAATTTGAAGCAAGAAAACCGTAGTGTTGATGACTATGCTGAGGAATTCTCTCAATTGCACTTTATGATAGTCAGGTTCACCTCGTCTCTCGCTTCATTGGCGGGTTACGACCACAGTTCCAAAACACGATGGCTCAATTCGATCCGACCACTGTTTCCGAGGCACATCGTTGGACGTGCACCTTCAAAGTGCAGTTCCGTTCTTTGTGGAACAGCTGCGTCTCACGTACACACCTCACGGATCCGCCGGCTCCTCCTCCAACGGGCGCGTTGAAGGAGGTAGCATATCAAAGTAATTATGCACCAAAGAATTCTGCCCCCATTCATGAAGCTAACCTTCGTCGCTTGACTCGACCAAATGGGCTTCGTTGTTATGGTTGTGGTGAACTAGGTCATTGACAAACGGCTTGTCCAAATCAAACTAAACGAGGGCTTTTGTTGGATATTGATACAGAATATCACGGCCCTATCTTTGACAATGAGAACGATGCAGACGAGACACAAGACGATATTCTACGTACCGCTGGTGATGAAGGTACTCTGTTATTTACAGAGGCACTCAGCTCATCTTCTTCATCCCCGTGAATCAACTCCTTTGGTGTCCACATTGATCACATGGGCTCTGTTAATGATCCAGCAGACATCCCATCTCTTGTTTTAATGATGTGTCGCCCAGACACTACACCGATCAACCGCGACAATCAATGGCTTCGCATAAACATATTCCGTTCTTCCTGTTTGATCAATGATAAAATCTGCAGTATCGTAACTGACTCGGGGAGTTCTAGGAACGTAGTTGTGGCAGACGCTATCCACAAACTCGAGATTCCAGCTGAAGCTCATCCCGTGCCATACTCACTCTCATGGGTTTAGAACGGCTGCTCTCTACGCATCACACATAGAGCCATGATCTCTTTCTCGATTGGGGCACACTATCACGATCGCTTATATTTCAACATCGTTCCTATGGACGTCAGCTACCTGATTTTCGGACGATCATGGGAGTTTGACCAGCGACAAGGGCCATTTGCCGCTTTTGAATTGCCGACTGCAATTCATCCCCGAGCCACCTCGCACAGTAACATCGACACACACCTCGGTACTCTGTTATTTGGCAAAATTCGTAGAAGAACTTCGCGATGAAGGCGTCCTGTTTGCTCTCATCTCATCGTTGATCGCGGGATCAGGTCTTCCCTTTTTCTATCCCTGATTCTGCAAGTGCACAGGTATCAGAGTAGTAAACGGGTATCAAACACAAGGACCAGATTGCACACTACAAACTATAAGATTGAGATCGAGCTAGGGCAAACAAGTATAAGGTTGATTGGTTGCAGTAAGTAAATAATGAAAACATGAAAGCAAGTAAAAGAGGTTGAAATCAATAGGAGAGAGAGGCTAAGCAATAGGATAGTCTCTAAGATAAGCAATTCAAGAAGCAAGATTCGATTGATTAGGGTTATTGAATTAGGTACCATCTAGAACTCAAACACTATGGTATGATTTTCCACTGTCGTGGCTCCGACCCCTTTGTTAATCTATAGTCGCTAAACTTTTGGTATGTCCCTAGATGATTAAATCAAGCATTAGTTCGAATAAGTCTCAATTGTTCACAACCTACAAGTAAATCAACTTTCGCAGTCTAAAAGAGGTTGCCCACCAAATACTAGTTCAGGCGAATGATTCAACACTTTCGAGGCTCAAGTCAACCTTAGATCATATGCTAATTGGCCAGATAACAACAAGCAACGTTAAGCAAAGGTGAAGATTATATGTAAAACTCTAATTCATGTGATCGATCATCAAGCAATCATGAATGCTATCCTTTGACTTCCTATCACTTAACAAGTAAACTACTCAGACATAGAGAAGGAAAACGAATTCATATTCATAAGAACAGAGATCCGAATCCTCTCTTGAAAGAGAACAAGCAAGAACAAAGTAAAAGCAAGTAAAACTTTATTAAAGATGTAAAAAATCGTGGTCTCTCTCCTTCTTTCAGTTACAAGGCTAAAAAGATGTATTTATATTGCTCTAAGTTGAAGAGCGGCTAGACCTAGGTCTAATAAGTCGGCCATGTAATTGGGCTTGAAACGTGTGAAACGGGCTTCAAAAACGGCTTCGGGTCGACCGGACCGTTCGGAGGTCGGTCGGGACGTTCGGCCGGCTATCGGGTGTGATCGGCTATCGGCACGGTCGGGTCGATCGTGGCCGAGAGATTTTCGTTCGTTCGTCGGGTTCGGCCGGACGGATGATTTGGTCGAAGGTTCGGCCGGACGTGAGACGAGCCTTCCTGATCGGACGGATGGGTCGTGCGTGTGGCACGGTTGTGCGCACGGTCGTGAGGCGATGCCTCCCTGTTCGCGCGGTGCGGTCGTGCGCGGCCTAAGTCGAGACTTCGGATGGTCGACCGCGGGTTGATGCTTCCCGGGTCGGTACGTGAGCTCGGCCGTGCGTTCAGGGCGGATGACGGTGTGTCCGGACGCCGCTCGTGGTACGATGTTCCTCGGTCGGCCGTTCCGCGGTCTGGACGCGTTCTCGGTTTGAAGCCGTCTGGACCAGTCTTTGCTAATTTGATCATAACTCCTTTTCTACTCATCCAAATGATATGCGAATCCAATTGCATTGGAAAGCTAACTCACTCACACGCGAAGTGGTCTTGATGAAATCCATTGAGTAGATTTTTTAAGCTCTTCCCAAAGTAGATGTTGTGGCTATGGACTGGTTTGAAGTCCAAATCCTCTGTTTTGCTCCATAATGCACTTTTGACCTAAAATGACTTTTGCACTATAAATCCATAAAAACTACCTTTTAAGACAAGAATCCACTAGAAAACCATTAGAAAACCATAGTAAAATATAAAAAGCATGTAAAATAGAGGTATATCAACTCCCCCAGACTTAGATCTTTGCTTGTCCCAAGCAAATCGAATCTAAACTAGTGAAGAGGTTTTGAAAACACGAAAACTCACTTATCTTTTGGAACTTGTATCTCCCATTGCTCTGCTCTCTTTGGGACAAACCAACTTTGAAACTAGCTATCACGTACTGACCTTGAGCTTAGCGAACCATACCGGACCCAACAAATCTCATAAGTATTCCAAACTCTCTATTGCTAACTCCTTGCAGTATTTAAAGCGTGCGGTCTTTATCAAGGGAGTATTGATCACAGAGCATTGATTCTTACCCATCCAAGTCTTTGCCAAGATAGTCTTTCTTGCTCATTCAGTACCAAACCTCTCTCCTTCTCTCTTATCTTTGAAGAATCGATTTTTCCCTACTTTTCTAGGGTATCATTTTTTTTTTCTATCGATCCTCCTTCCCTTAAGATTTCTCTTTGTGGGATACATGGATTGGCATTGAGCTTCCTCCTTGTGTATAAGGTATTCCATAAGACATGAAGGTGCAGAAGTATGCATTCCTCATGCTTACTTGTTTTCCTTGTGCTCTTAGAGCTTTTGATCTTTCTTTTGCAGATAAGAGAGAGGATGGACTGTTTCTTTTCTAGACATATCTCAACTAAACTCAGATGAGGAGTCGACTCACATGAATCTCAAGCCCCTTGACAAGAAAAATTAAAGGTTCATTAAGTTGTGGAGCTAGCTTTAGATTGTGTGGGTACCTTAGAAATCTTGCCAAATCAGTAGGTCGATCCACCCTTAGAGGTTCCGTTAGGCATTGTTCGGTGTCGGATTCGCCTTAATGATCACAAGAGCTTTGGTGTGATATGGTAAGCTTCCTAGGATAGATCATAGTTTCCTACTTATTTTGACTCAATAAAACAGAAGTTTTGAAAAAGTGGGTAAGGAAAAACCAATTTTAAGATAAAACAATCATGAACAAACACATTAGTACCGACAATCCCCCCAGACTTAACTTGCACCGTCCCGGTGAAAGAAAATCCAATTAAGGGAGTTAAAGAAAGAGGTAATAGGCGATTGTGAATGAAAAAGAAAGATGTAACCTGATTTGGTTTTGAAGAATGGTTATGCAGTGGATGGTGGAGTATGGAATGCAAGTGTGGTGAGGTGGGATGGTGAGATGCAGATGGAATGAGATGGGATGGTGTGTTGGGCGACTCGAGAGGACATGGTCGAGCGTGGAGAGGTTTTGCTCGGCCATCAGGGTCGTGCCAACTATGAGCATTCTTCTTGTGTATATCTTCTTTCACATTGTGTGGTTCTTAGATTCTGTATCCAAACTCAAAACAAAACTAGACATTAACTAAAACTAATTGAAAAGAAAAGATAAAAAAACACCTTTCATGGGTTGCCTCCCATGCAGCTTGTTTAGGTCATTAGCTTGACCGATAGGGTCTCTTAGTTAGAGAGGAGAAGGGCATCTGAGACAAAGTCTTTTGGTGCTTGTCTCATCGTCCTTGGGCGTGGTCAGGTGGTTCTCTTGGGCGGCCTCGAGCAGTGATGAAGTAGGACAGCTTTGTTGGTGAGATGAAAGGTATGGTGGGATAGAAAACTGTCTTGTCAACATTGGCTAAAGAGATTCGCCTGTTTGGAAGTCCATGATAGCTCCAGCAGTGGCCAAGAAAGGTCGGCCTAGTATCCTACGAAGCATGGAAGCGTGACCCAAGCTCCGATTCCCTCTCCGGAAGCGGAAGCGGAAGCGGAATCGCTGTGGAATCGCTGTGAAATCGTTCCTGAAAAAAGGGATATGGAAGCGCACAAGAAGCGATGGTTCCGATTTGGAAGCGCTAAAACTAAATGAATCAGAAATGTCCAGGCCAAAACACTTGGACTGAATTTGTGTATGTTGTGGTTCAATTCTAAATTTGCTCCATTAAAATATGTGAAATTAGAGTTCAGTTTGACTCGAAGTCGTGTATCTGGTGGTTAAATCTGAGCAAACACTTGAATCGAATTATTTTATTGGAAAGAAAGGTATGTAATATGTATGGCGGCGGGCTGAAAAGTGAAAACAAATCAACGAAGAAGACGGAGCCATTAGGGTTGTATCCCGTGACTCTTTAATCTTTATTCCATTTTCTTGAAAAAAATATTAAACTTATTTGTAATATTAAAGAAAACAAGAGAGATACACAAAAAAATAAATAAAAATCAGAGGCATTTATGATTTGTGCACGTATCACACGTATGCTCGTTTGGTGATGTTTGCATATACATATATTAATATTTAAACTTTAGTTATTTCGAATAATAACAATAATTTAATTTATATATATATAGTAAGCAATATATATAAACGCTTCTAACGCGTACCCGCTTCCTACTTTTTTTTTAAAACTCGCTTCGGCGCTTCCAAACGCTTCCGCTTCCACGTATCCGCTTCCGATTCCATGCAGCTTAGCTAGTATCAAGGGCGTATCACATCCTCCTTTGATGTTCATGACATGAAAATCCACCGGGATCTTGTATCTCCAATCTCTAGAAGAACATCAACTAACAACTCCTCTTGGCTTGGCTATAGTGGTTAGCAAGTCCAATACTAATCTGAGCAGGTTGTAAGCGTGTGATGCCAAGGAGTTTGGCGGTTTGGGTTGGCATGAGGTTGATGCAAGATCCAGAATCGCAAAGTGTTCTATCAAAGTAATGACCATTTACTTGACAGGGTATAGAGAATTGACCTGGGTCTTCAATCTTGTAGAGGGTCTTGAAGGTAGGCTGAACTTTAGCTTTCTCAAAAAGCTCTTTGATGTCCTGTGGTGTCTCTCTGCAGTTGTGGAAGAAGGTGGTGAATGGGTAGTCGCCAAGCTTGTTGGAATGACATGCTGGCTGGAAGAGTTTGGACAAACTGATTGAACTCAGCAAGCTTCTCTCTTGATATGGAATTGACATACCATTCATGGGTGGTGGTTGATGGTGGTTGATTGACTGCATGAGGGGCAAGGGGAAATCGTGCCTTCTGAAAAAGTTTGTGTACTTCTTCTTTGGTTTCGCCAGTTGTGAAAAAGAAACTCCAAATCATGCTTGTCCCAAGCTTCTTCAAAAGTGACATAGAATGGTAGTGACTTCACCTTAGCATTGAACTCCTTAAGCTTCATGGGGCTTATCTTGTTGGGATCAATGGGATCATAGCACCAAGTATCTTCTTCTTCAGTAGGTGGTGGTGGTCTTTGTATCACTTCCAATCTTGGAAGCTCTGAAGCTTGACTTCGTGGTGGTGGTGAGAAACGAGGGTCAGTTGAGCTAGGTGTATCCTTGCTCTGTTTTGGAGAAGCATTGATGTCGATGCTCTGCTCTTCATCTTCATCATCAAGTTGTTCCTCATACTCTCTTTCTTCTTCTTCATTGTCCTCATGGACTTGGCGATTTGCTCTTCTATGATGGCATTGCAAGGAAAGGGAGGGAGGTTGGGTGTTGGACTCCTCTCTCTCTTGTACTTGGATGGATGATCCTTCAAGGGCTTGTAGGCGGTTGTAGATCGATCCAAGTGCTTGCTATTGTCATAGCTAGTATCTTCAATCTCATGCTCTTGTTGAGTAACTCTTGATATTTGGCAGCAACATCAAGTCTTATAGGTTTAGAGATCGATCATGGTCTTCTCTAAGCTTCTTTAATGTCTTCATCAAGCTTGATCACTTGCTTGAATAGGACTTCAGATTTGTTTCCAAGACTCTCATGGATGAAATCGATTCTCCTTCTCCATCTTCTTTGTACTCTCATCTTGATCCTTCAAGTATTGTTGAAGCATCACTTCAATCTTGGTTGGGCGTGGGGTTTGAACTCTCCTCAGCAAATAAAGGTGCTTGATCTATGTCTGGTGATGATGGATGGTGTTGTGAATAGCTGGGGCGGGGGTGGAACATAGATCGGACCTCTTGCAAATCTGTAAAGGAAAGCTTCCTTGTACCTATTCCAAGTCTTGAAGGCGTGTTGGGCATTGAACTTCACCCATTCTTGAGCTCGTCCAGCTAGTGATAGTTGGAAAAGTTGTATCTTCTTGGGGTTGTCTCCAAGACCATAGTAGTTGCAAAGTTGCTCAAAGTTGTATAGATGCTCCTTTGCACACTCTGAAGTAAATCATGGAAAGGGTCTCTCTCCACATGCTTGATTAGTTCTTCATTCATGATCTCAGGATGGGGTTGTATGCCTCCCCATTCTTCTTCATCACGCTCCACTTCATGTGATAAGAGTAGTGGTTGTACTTAGACTTGAAAGGTGGTCTCCTTGCAAATCTCTCAAGAAAGCTTCTCTGAAATCGATCCATGACTCGATTGAGAGGTGGTTCATGTTGCGCCCAATCTAGAGCTGGTCCAGCTAAAGACATGCTGAATAGCATCATCTTCTTCTCAAAGTCAAAAACTCCATAAGAATCACAAAGATTCTCAAAGTGATCTATGTGCTCCAGTGCATACTATAGATCATGGAATTGATCTCTCTTCACGAACTCGATCAGTTCAGGGTCAATCTCCTCTTCTGGTGTGGCTAGAAGGTGTTCTTCTCTGTAGATGCGGCTTGGCTAGACGTCTCCAGGTCGGCTGCTTCAAGGTAGGGAAGAAGGTTCTTCTTGGACTTCAAGGGAGATAGTCTTGGAGGACTATCCCAAGAAGGTGGTGGTGCTTGAGGGCTTGACATCTCTTGTTCGAAGAGGACTTCTTTGAGGTGGTATGTGGCGAAGTGGGATCGCCTTTATAGGGTCAAGGACTTGTGAATCCTTTTCCATATCTAACTAGGAAAACCTGAAAAGTTCAAAAACAAAAAGGAAAAACGAAAATCAAAAGAAAAAGGAAAAATAACAAAAACTAAAAAGGAAAAAAAGAAACCCTAGACTAGCTCTCTTGCAAGAGCTTGTAGGTGCGAATTGGTCCCCGGCAACGGCGCCAAAAACTTGATCGCGGGATCAGGTCTTCCCTTTTCCTATCCCTGATTCTGCAAGTGCACAGGTCAGAAGTAGTAAACGGGTATCGAACACAAGGACCAGATTGCACACTACAAACTATAAGATTGAGATCGAGCTAGGGCAAACAGTATAAGTTGGTTGAGTGCAGTAAAAGTAAAGGCATGCAAGTAAGTAAGTAAGAAGTAAAGATTGAATCAATAGGAGAGAAAGGGCTAAGCAATAGGATAGTCTTAAGATAAGCAATTCAAGAAGCAAGGATCAATCGATTAGGGTTATTGTTAATTGGTGCCATCTAGAACTCGAAACACTATGGTATGATCTTTCCATTGTCGTGGCTAGGGGTGTTCAATCCGGATATCGGTTCGGTTTAGGTTCCGGTTTTTCGGTATTCGGTTTTTCAGTTAATAAAAAATAGCTACCATACTAGATCCATACTTACTTTGATTTGATTCGGTTTGGATAGTCTCGGTTATCAGTTTTCTCGGTTTGGATATTTCCGGGTCGAATAATCTCGGTTATTTGTACTTTTTGTTTGATTATTATTTTATTATATAGATATTTTTAAATTTTCTGGTAATCGAAAATGCAAATTCATGTCTTATTTTAAAGTATAAAACTCTAAAGATCTATATTTTAGTATTTAGGGTTTGTTAATTGTTAAATTTTGGTAAATTAAAGATATATAATTCTATATGAAATTACTCTAAACTTATATTATTATATATCATATTTGTATACTAATACTATTATATTAATATATAGAACTATTCGTTTTTTTCGGTTTTTGCGGTTCGGTCGGTTAATATCCAAACCATATCAATATCCACGGTTTATATAAAATTGCATCCATACGATTTATACGGTGTATCCAAATCTAAACCACATTACCTATTTCGGTTCAGTTCGGTTCGGTTTTACCAAATTAAACAGCCCTAGTCGTGGCTCCGACCCCTTTGTTAATCTACCTAGTCGCTAAACTTTTGGTATGTCCCTATGTGATTAAATCAAGCATTAATTCGATTAAGTTCAGTTTGTTCACAACCTACAAGTAAATCAACTTTCGCAGTCTAAAAGAGGTTGCCCACCAAATACTAGTTCAGGCGAATGATTCAACACTTTCGTGGCTCAAGTCAACCTTTGATCATATGCTAATTGGCAGATCAACAACAAGCTTTACGCACAAGCAGAGGTGAAGAGTATATGTAAAACCCTAATTCATGTGATGATCATCAAGCAATCATGAATGCTATCTTTGACTTCCTATCACTTAACAGTAAACTACTCAGACATAGAGAAGGAATCCGAATTCATATTCATAAGAACAGAGATCCGAAATCCTCTCTTGAAAGAGAACAAGCAAAAGCAAAGTAAAAGCAAGTAAAACTTTATTAAAGATGTAAAGTAAATCGTGGTCTCTCTCCTTCTTGAGTTACAAGGCTAAAAAGATGTATTTATATTGTTCTAAGTGTTGAAGAGTGGCTAAACCTAGGTCTAATAAGTCGGCCATGTAGTTGGGCTTGAATTGTGTAAAATGGGCTTCAAAAACGGCTTCGGGTCGACCGGACCGTTCGGACAGTCGGTCAGGACGTTCGGCCGGCTATCGGGTTGTGATCGGCCATCGGTACGATCGGGTCGATCGTGGCCGAGAGATTTGTCGTTCGTTCGTTGAGTTCGGCCGGACGGGTGATTTTGGTCGAGGGTTTCGTCCGGACGTGGGACGATGCCTTCCTGGTCGGACGATGTGATTGTGTGTGTGACACAGGTCGTGTTGCGCGGTCGTGAGGTGATGCCTCCCTGTTTGCGCGGTGCGGTTGTGCGCGGCTTGTGGTCATGAGACTTCGGATGGATCGACTGCGGGTTGTTGCTTCCCGGGTCGGTATGTGCACTTAGGCGGGACGGATGAAGTGACCAGACGCGGGTCGATCATGGGACGATAGTTCCTCGGTCGACCGGTGCACGCGGTTCGGACGATTGTTCTCGGTTTAAGCCGTCTGGAGCACTCTTTGCTATTTTGATCATAACTCCTTTTCTAATCATCCAAATGATGCGAATCCAATTGTGTTGGATAGTTAACTCACTCATGACACGCAGGGAACCAGTCTTGATGAAATCCACTGAGTAGATTATTTTTTACCTCTTCCCAAAGTAGATGTTGTGGCTATGGAACTGGTTTGAAGTACAAATCCACTGTTTTGCTCCATAATGCATCTTTTGACCTAAAATGACTCTTTGCACTATAAATCCATAAAAACTATTTTTTTAAGAAAAGAATCCACTAGAAAACCATTAGAAAACCATAGTAAAACCGTATAAAAAACATGTAAAATAGAGGTATATCAAACGGCTAGACCTAGGTCTTGAAAATCGGCCAAATATTTGGGCTTCCAATTGTAAAACGGTATTCAAAACTGACTTCGGGTCGACCGGACCGTTCGGACGGTCGGTCGGGAAGCTCGGCCTAGAGTCGGGTCGTGTTCTGTCTTTGGTACGGTCAGAACGATCATGGCCGGTTGATCGTGTATTCGGTCGACGGGATCGGTCGGGCGGATGAGTTTGATTGCCTGGTCGGGTCGATCGTGGGACGATGATTTCCTAGTCAGACGGTGCGGTCGTGCGGATATGCGGATCGTAGGACGCGGGATGGCGAACGAGGGATGATGCTTCCCGGATCGGCCGGTACGGTCGTGTCGTGCGGGCAAGCTGGACGGTGGATGGAACGGGACGACCGCGGGATGATGCTTCGTGGTTCTGGCTGTCTGGACCATTCTTCACTAAAAACATCATAACTCTATTTCTACTCATCTAAATTGTGCGAATCCAATTGCATTCGAAAACTAAATCACTTAGGCATCGCGGCGAAATGGTCTTCATGAAATCCATAGAGTATAATTTTTTTAAGCTCTTTCCAAAGTTGATGCTGTGGTATGAAACTGGTTTGGAGTTCTTTTCTTGTGTTTTGCTCCATAATGCACCTTTTTACCTAAAATAACTCTTTGCACTATAATTCTATAAAAACTACCTTTTAAGTCAAGAATACAATGGAAAACCATATATAAAGTATATAAAAACCATACAAAAGCATGTAAAATATAGGTATATCAGTCGTCACCAACGATCGTTGTGTCACCACATCACATCGAGTTTTCCAATCTTTCTAGACTTTTAGTGACGTCTTTTCCATGGATCTTCCGGCCGATCCCCACCACTAAGGGATATTCATCACAACATTGACCTAGTTCTTGATGCTACTCTTCCCAATCGGCCTTATTACAGGATGAGTCATAGTGAGCATGAAGAACTCCAACGGCATGTTGAAGATCTTCTTCGCAAAGGCCATATTCGGGAAAACTTGAGTCCTTGTGCTGTACCGGTATTGCTGATTCCCAAGATAGATGGAACATGTCGTATGTGCATCAATAGCAGACCCATCAACAAAATAACGGTTCGCTACTGATTCACAATCCCACACCTAGACGACCTCCTTGACCAGATTGGTAAAGCGTCTATCTTCTCCAAAATCGACCTCAAAAGCGGCTATCACCAGATTCAAATTCGACATGGCGATGAATGGAAGACTCCTTTCAAGATGAGGGAAGGCTTGTACGAGTGGCTTGTCATGCCGTTTTGTTTGTCCAATGCGCCGAGTACGTTTATGAGAGTTTTGAATCAGGCTTGCGACCTTTCATTGGAAAATTTGTAGTCGTATAATTTGACGACATAATGATTTTTAGCTCCTCTGCCAAAGAACAAGCCGAACACATTGCTGCTGTTCTTACTGTACTCTGCAACAAAAAGTTGTGCGCTGCGAAACACAAGTGAGAATTTGGCGTTTTTCAGGTTTTGTTCCTCGGCTATGTTATCTTGAAGGATGGATTGTCAGTACACCTGTCCAAGGTTAAGGCAATCAAATCTTGGCGTGTTCCTATGACCGTCAGCGAGGTACAAAGTTTTCATGGACTTGTATCTTTTTACCATTGGTTCGTACCTCACGTCAGCAGTATTATGGTGCCTATCACAAGTAAAATGAAAGAGGGCGCATTTGCGTGGACTCATGAGACAGAATCTGCGTTTGAACTCATCAAAGACAAGCTTGACTTCCGCGCCTGTCCTAGCTCTTTCCTATTTCTCTCAAACCTTTTGGCTTCATTGCGATGCCTTCAAGCTAGGTATTGGTGCTGTTCTTAATCAACAAGAGCGCCCCATTGCACATTATAGTGAAAAACTTGCTGGAGCGCGAGGGAGATATAACACTTATGACGTCGAATTATATACGATCGTTCAGGCTATTAAACACTGGTGCCATTATCTCATTCATCGCGACTTCGACCTCTTTACGGATCATGATGCACTGCGATATTTAGACAGCCAGGCCAAGGTTTCTTCCCGCCACGCAACGTGGATCACCTTTCTCCAGCAGTTCATGTTTTTTATCCGTCATCTCTCCGGCAAGACGAACCGAGTTGGTGATGCCTTGAGCCGCATACATTATCTCCTCACAACCATGAGCACTTAGATCGCGGGTTTTGACACCTTCACCGACTTGTACAAGACTGATTCTTTTTCAGTTTGGTACTCGACGATGCCCGAAACGGTTTAAGCAACAAGTTTACCTTGCAAGGGTGTTTTCTTTTCAAGGGTTTGCGTCTGTGCATACAGAGTGCATCTTACAGCTCCAAATCGTCCAATAACTACATAACGAGGGACATGTGGGCCGCGACAGAACACTCCGCCTTGCCACAACGAGCTATTTCTGGCCAACCTTAAGACGGGACATCGAGTGTTTTGTGGCTCGTTATCACACTTGCCATCTCGCTAAAGGTCGAGCATCAAATGCTAGCTTATACTTGCCTCTCCCTATTCCTGATCAGCCATGGACTGACGTGAGTATGGACTTTGTCCTCGGTCTTCCTTGAACCCAACGAGGAATGATTCTATTTTTGTGGTTGTGGATCGCTTCTCCAAGATGGTCCATTTTATTCCTTTAAGAGGACGGATGATGCTTTCAATGTCGCCATCTTGTTCTTTCGTGAGGTATATCGCCTGCATGGTTTGCCGTCCTCAAGTGTCTCTGATCGTGACACACGGTTTTTTAGCCATTTTTTATGTTCGCTCCGGAAACTGCTACGCACAAGCTTAGATATAAGTTCTACTTATCACTCTCAGTCGGATGGCGAGACTGAGGTCGTCAATCGATCTCTTGAGAATCTTTTGTTTTGTTTAGTTGATGTCAATGTTAAGAGTTGGGATTCGAAGCTTTGTCACGCGAAGTTTGCACAAAATCACACCGTGTACCGCAATTCATGTTTTAGCCTATTTCAGGTCGTTTATGGTCTGGTCCCTCACAGTTCTCTGGATTTTTCTCCTCTCCCCGACAAGACTCGTTTACACGGGCAGACTGTTGATTTTGTACTTGTTTACATACATCGTCAAGCCAAGATGAACTTGGAGTTGTCTACAGCCAAGTATAAGGCCGCCGCTGATGTCAAACGCCGTGAAGTTATATTTGAGCCGGACGATTTGGTTAGGGTGTCTCTTACAAGGGAGTGCATGCCCGCTCATGAATACAACAAACTCTGTTTCAAGAAGATTGGGCCAGTGAATATCCTCGAATGTATTAACAACAATGCTTACCATGTTTTGCTTCGTGCTCATTTAACGTGAAGCATTTGTCTCCATTTCTTGCGACAATCCAGACACCGGATTCGTGGACGAATTCTTCTCACCTTGGGAAACCTAATGCAGCATAAGAAGATTGGTTTGTGGGCTTTTGTCAAACACACTTTGGGCTTTCATGTGTTTGACAAGTTTTTGGTTTTGTTTTAGTTTTCTTTTATATTTACGATAATGACTAGTTTCGTTTAGTATTAGGACTAGGAGATTCGAATAGATACTCTCGTTTTCTTTATATAGAGTTCAATAATAAGTTTTGTAAAGTGTGTTTGCTATTGAATAAATTTATATAAGAGCTTTTACAAGCACTAAGAGGAGTACTCTTGCCTTACCTTACTCGTTCGACTCTGTTTAAGTCAAGATCCGAGCATTGAAGTGAGTTTTCGTCAAACTCTTGCCTCTTTCACAAACCTAAGCTTCCGCCTCTCTATCAGATGACCGACCACTCTTGCAATTTTCTCTTCTGCTGTAAATAATATATCCATTTTTTTCTGATGTTGTACTTGATGTATAGGGCCGTGGGTATTTTTTGTGCATATTCCTTTTTCCATGTAAGGTAATTGTGGTTTTTGTATACCGCATGATCCATGTGCATTATGTGTTTCTTCACTAGTTCTTTAACTAATTTAACTAAAATTAAGTGAATTTACATATAAAAAGTATTATTAAAAACAAAAAAGACAAGAATAATTTTCAAATTTAAAGGAGTATTTCTTTGAGCAAAAAAAATTAAGAGTATTTCAAATTAAAAACTTCAAAGAGTATTTTAGCAATTTTTTTAAAAAAAAGACCAAAATAGTACTAAAAAACAAGGACGAGTTTCTTTCACTTTCCCGAGAAGCAAAAACGACACCGTACAATAGCTTTAGGGTTATGAGTTATAACACGACATCGTTCTTGTTCGGTCACTGAGAGAAGCGGTCGCGACATCGTAAAGATCTCTTGAGAGACGGTGTAGCATATTGTCGTGATCCCACCACAGCCCTAAAAACTGTCTTACGATTCCCAAATTTTTCAGCAGGTAGACGAGTTTCTTCCTTGACGAAATTTTAGCATTTCTGAAATTTTGTGGTTAGAATCACAAAATCAGCAGTGCCTCCTCCTCTCTGACTTGTTCACTTTCCATATTTTCTAGGCAAGTAGATCAAAATCGCGTCAACTTTTTTTTGAGTCGGTCGAAACAAATCTGCGTGATTTAGAGATGGCAGCTGCTTTGTCGAGCAGATTTCTCAAGGGAATTGGTAGCCTCCAGGCTGTTCGTTCTAGCAGATTGGTAAGCTTCTCTCAAAAACTCTTTCTTCGATTCTCAATCAGTCTTCTCTTTTCCAATTAAAAACAGTTTCTTTTGGGCTCTGAATCTGCGCTGTTAATCGAACCAAGTTAGATAATACGATGGTGAGCTTAGTAATTTCATGTTCGGTGAGAAGATGGTTATGTGATTTGTTTTGTGTTGTTTGCAGGCATCTGCATCAGTCAATCAAAATGGGATGATGAGATTCTCCTCTACAGTGCCCAGTGATTCAGACACACATGATGATTTCAAGCCTGCACAGAAAGTCCCTTCCGGTTCTACGGACTCACTCAAGGATATCGTTGAGAATGTAAATTCAAGCTTTCTTGATTTGAAGTTGATGTGTTTTGTTTAGTTGACTTCTCTGCTTCTTGCTTAAGTTGTTTTAGCTTTGGATTTGTGTAGGATGTGAAGGAAAATCCTGTTATGATCTACATGAAAGGTGTCCCTGAATCTCCTCAGTGTGGGTTTAGCTCACTTGCCGTAAGAGTTTTGCAACAATATAGTAAGTTTTCATCTACTTTTTAGATAGCAAATTGAAGCCATCCTATCTTTAAAGCTCATCAGAATCTACTGCTTGGTGAATGCTCTCTCTTCTTCAGATGTTCCTATCGGTGCTAGAAACATTCTAGAAGATCAAGAATTGAAAAATGCTGTCAAATCCTTCAGGTGAGATTATGCAGAGCTGTATAGAGTCTCATTCTCAATGTTTTGTTTTTTTTGGGTCATATTTATTCGTAAAGTTGATGGTCACCTTCTTGGTCATATTTGCCCCTTCCTTGAAATTGAGATGATCTAGGTCCTTGTTAGACTAATGTGTGTCTTCATTAGAGTCTTGATTTGATATATGAAACTTTCTTCTGTGCAGCCATTGGCCTACATTTCCACAGATCTTCATTAAGGGAGAGTTTATTGGTGGCTCAGACATCATTCTTAACATGCACAAGGTTAGTTGTACTTCTACCAACCAAGATTAGACTTTTTTCGTTTTTTTTTTGTCTTGCTGTTTTTCCATTGTGTTGGCTTATGATCCCAAGTCCGTTTGACATTTACAGGAAGGTGAATTGGAGGAGAAACTTAAAGATGTCTCCGGAAACCAAAAGTCTCAATAAACTTAGAGAGTTTGATGATCCAAAGGCTCAAGTTATGCTGACTGCTGCTGAATGAAGTTAAGTTATTATGTTTTTGTTTCTTTTTATAAAGAATGTCTTTTGAATTTGATGTACGCCAATAATGTCTCTGAGAGATGAACAAAACTTGGTTATATGAAGAAAAACAGCACAACAGGCCCTTTTATTTATTTATTTATTATTCATGATCAAGAATCGAAGAGCAGAAAAGCAATAAAAACAAAAATCACAGAAAAGTCAAAACATAAAAAAATAAAACCGTATACCCCAAGAAACCCACCCACCCATTATATAATATTTTTCTACACCCTGTATTATACCATATATATAGCTATTGGTTGCTTTAGATGCTTCTTTTTGGAGTTTAACGAGAACCCTCAAGACCAAGCCTTGAAGCGAGCCAGTGAACGACCTCATCCATTTCTCTGGGAACCGTATAGTGACCAAGCCTATACAAAATCACATAAAACCCTCACAATCTCAGAAAGTAAAGGGTCCTTTTTCTTCAGACCAAACAGTCAATGACAAAAAAAACTAGACTTCATTTACCCTTCATGCGGTTTAAACATAACTTGTCGGAATCCAGCCATGGCAAGTGAATGAGCGGATGTTTCTCCAAATCTATAAGGAACTACATCATCCGCTGCAGCCACAAGAACAAATCAAAAACAAAACAAAATCAGATTCTATCTTGAACAGTAAATCAACTTTATAACACGGAATGATCTGTACACATACAAGTTCCATGTGCAAGTATGACTGGTATTGATGCAGCACGCCTTGCAGCTTCATTCGAACTTTCTATTTTGCTCCTTAAGCTCCTGCATTGTTATGTTTAAGCTTCCAATATTTAGTCTCTGCATCGTCTATCAACTAGTAGTTGGGAGATGAATGAATTGAAGAATAAATATATACCTCCAACCGGGAAGCCAACCACTGAGTCCAACAGTAGCTCGTAGGTTGATAGTATAAGGATGTCCAGTTCCATAACGGCCGAGAGCGTAGCAAGTCGTGGAGTAGAGAGCTATTGCTGCACCCATACTGAAACCTCCTATCCCAACTTTGACTGTCCACACAAAACCCCAAAGCACATTTTCAAGCTAAGCTAGAGATTTTTTATGGAGAGAGGAATGAAGTTAAAGATAATAACTCTTGGCTTACCATCTGTTGGTTCAGTTGATAAGAGATTAGCAATATGTGCAGCAGAAGCATCTAAGCCTTCTATATCATCATGAAGATCCTCTGAAATTTCTCCCACGTCGAACCCTGAGGAGCAAACAGGTTGGTTTCTAACGTTTAGCATACGCTTTAAAAGAATGTTTTCTTCAAGTTTAGTGAAGCTGAATACATCTTACAAGCAGTGCAGGGAAATCCACCCAAAAGTGAAACAGGACGTGAAGGAGCAGTTGGGCAAATCCATTTTATCTGTGCACAAAGCATATATCTTTTCTATCAGAAACCTTCAATGAGAGTTTAGTAATACTGTAAAATGACTTCCAAGTGTGTTTGTTTTCATGGATCCTTACGTTTGGAAGAGGCAGGCTCTCCAAGAGCTGAGATGAGCTGCAGAGAGAACAGAGACGAAGTGAGAAAATTTTAGCAGAGAAACATCCTAAAATTCTACTTTGAAAAGCTCATTTTTATTTGTTTTAATCAAAATTAAACTCAAGGTTTTAGCTTTTCATTTAACAGAGGAGGATGTGAGCTATTGTCCTAAAGAATAGTATGTTTTGATATCTTTTAAGTCATCTGGGCAATGTCTTACTTTTAACAATCATGGGTTTAAGTTTTTGAAGCAACATACACAACTTCCTTTATGACTTGTCTCAAGGATAGGATCATAAAAACAAGGTAAGTGAACGAGTGTTATTACCTAGAGCCATTGTCTCCAAGACCGTGCAACCAAACAATAGTAGCTTGGTGCTTTCCTTTAGGCCTCACAACATAAGTCCTTCCAAACTCATATCCCCTCGCACTTCTACTACCTACAAAGATTTCGCCAGAAACATGTTCAAACCGAGTAGCAATCACACAGTAACACAGTTCCAAACTCACACCAAACCATTTAAGATGACATATCAAAGAGCAAACAAGAGGGAAAGAAACAAACCAGAACCCATGCTTTGATGAGAGTAGCTCATTCTTGTTCAATGGACTTTCTTCTTCAATACAAATTTGAAGACTTTGGTGGAGAGTTTTCAAATGTCAAAACACACGGTGATGGAAAATATAAGAGAATGTAAGGGAGGGGAAATGTGTATTTATAGACCAAATTTGAGGTGTGATGTTGAGAGGTGAGGGAATAAAAGAAAAGAAATGAATCTGAATCATTCACTATGGGATGTTAAATGTGTACACCAGCTACACAAAAACTACTACTTAGAGAATGCCAGAGAAGGCATCCATGGAAATGCAAATGCAAAAAGAAAATCAATTTCTTTTTTCTTTTCTTTACATAAATAAAACAAAAAAAAAAATCTTTTTGGGAACACAAGGAATCAAAATCAAAACAGAGCAGAGCTAGCGGCGAAAATACACAGAGGAGAGAGACAGAGAGAAAGAGAGAATCAATGCTTTGTGGGCAGTGGAAGAAAAAAAACTCTTCCGCGTTAGAGAATATTAATTCAATATATAAATATATATAATACAATTTTATTACTAGAAACACGATAATCCAAATTTGAAAAAGATGAAGGAAATAAAAAAAAAAAATCTTCTTGTTCAATCATTTATTTAATAAAAAAAAAGTGAGATGATTGATAGATATCCATTAACGAGAAAGCTTAAAAAGTCTGTAACTTTCTCAAGAAAAAGGATTAAACTTTGGGGATTTTGATGGGGGCATTACACAATGGACAAAGAGATTACATTTAAGGTTTTCTTTTAGGGTTCTTGGATTTATGAAATCTTTAGAGCACTGAGTGTAATGATGATGCGTAGGAAACATCAGTGACCAACCTGGATTTCATGTGGGGAAGCAATAAACCAAAAAAGCCATTGATCTTTTCTCATCTCATTCAACGCTTCTTTCATTACTCTCTTTTGGTTTCCACTGTTGCATTTTGCCAATCAAATTGGGTGACGTGATCATGCCCAAAAAATCACCTAAAGTTATTTTTCTTACTATGTAGTTTATATATATATAGAGACATTATTCCCATGTTCTAAAGAATTTGATAAACATGTAAATCTACATAAAATTTGGCTGGATCTTCTAATTTAGTGATCACTGTAAAAATATCATTTGTTCTATCTGTTTCCTTTTTTTACCTGTTAATCGATTTAATGTGTTCTTTCAGTATCATGTATACCATTTCGATTATAATCATAGTAATCCGGAGTGAAAACTGACTAAAATTCTAAATTAACTATATATGTCAAGTAATCAGTTCACCAAATAAATTAATAGACAAAGCATAACATCATTTTAACTAGCCAAACAGAAATAGAAAAATTCTGAGCAGGACTTCAATCCAAGAAAACACAAATTTACTTTGTCCACTTGTCCTTGCGTTTTTATCACCATGATACCACCGCTTGGTTACACGCATAATACATCTTTCATGCAGTTTGAATATGAGTGACATATCAACGACAACAACAGTATAAACTGTTCAATTCGCTACCTGTTTTGGTTTGTGATGATACTTTCTTCTACCCAATTTTTTAGTTATGCATCAATGCAGTTTTTTTTTTTTTTTTTTTTTTTTTTTTTTTTTTTTTGTAAAATTAATACAGTTTAATTGGGTGAATTAGGCCAATATACATATTGGGGTTCAAAATGAAGCTTATAGCCATAAGGGTTCTGTATTTAAGTGAGCTAACTCACGCGCTTACAAATTACATAAAGCCCCTCGTTAAGTGGCGGGAAAATAGTTGGTATAAGCTGATGACATCACCTTTTTAGCCGACCAAAATGAATACGGCGCCAAGTAAAGCTCTCACATCTATACTATTTGAAATATTGTGGTCTATACTACTAAAAGGTGAAAAAGTCGTTGTTGTTAAAGCTAATACGGTGCATGGGCTGCTAAATGTTCCCAGAATGCACCATAATGTTCAAGTTCATGGCTTCTCAAACTTCAATGAACACTAGTAATTACGTAAATGGGATTTCGCTTTTTAAAAAATTGTAAGGTATGACGTGTGATGGTTATAAAGAAGTTGCTAATCCGGCATTAAGAAAATACTTCAGCATTATCTTTATTCTATACCATTACATAAACGTGAGAATGGTCTCACATATTTCCAGCATTTTACATAGTATAACATGTTCAAGTTCATGGCTTTTATTAGTCCACATACTCGTATCCATCGGATCCTTCTGCCAATTCCACGTTGAGTATCAGTCTTCCTAGGTACACCTCTGACATAACTCGGTAGGCTGTAACTGTCTTCGAGCAAGTCGAACAAGCTCGAGTAGTAGTGAAGCGCTTCGTTTAACCTATCCAGGAAGACGATTCCGTTTTGGTTCGCTTCTTACTCCACCACCGCCACTATGCTCGGCTTCACAGCCTTGATGGTTGTGAGGAGCTTCTCGATTGAACCGGATCAAGCCAGAAGCCGGTGGAGCTCAAATACCGAATTGACCACTAAGGTTTCTGATTCGTGTCGGGTCTCAAACATTTCGGGTTCTAGATCCGATAAAGTCTCTGTGGCTAATCCCTTGAATTCGAATTCCACGCAACAGCCTGAGCGAATTGAGCTAATTTCCAACCTAAACACAAAGAACTCTCACGAAAAATTCCCCTTTTTTACCAATTTTTAATTTTTATGCCAATGTAGTGCTCTTTGTCGGCTTATCCCAAGCTACCCTAAAGCCACCAGCTCAAACTTTAGCTATCACAAGAGGAGGAGAATTGTGGTAATATTGTATAAAATATGCACTGTATCATAGCCAGTCACTTGATATAGCTATATCTTTAATTTCATATTTTTTTATAGTTATTGAGTGCAATTTCCCTTAATTTTTTCTACACGTTTACATTTTGTATGTTTAGTACGTTTGGTCCACCTTATAGACCCTAATATGCTTGACTTTAAAAGAGTGTTTAGTAACTTTAGTTTTCCGATCATTATCAAGAATTGAGAAATCTATTAGAAATACAGTAGAACCTCTATAAAGTAATACTCGATAAAGTAATACCTCGATAAATGAATAGAATTTTCAAGTTCCGAATTCAGTTTTTGGTTTAATTATCCCTCGATAAATTAATAATCTTGCTAAAGTAATAAAATATTGTGGTCCCAACGTTATTACTTTATAGAGGTTTTACTGTATGTATGGTTGAAAGTCTATTAATATTTACATTTTACACACGTGTAATTCTATTTTGGGTGAGGTTAGCTATTACAAATTTATAAAAGAAAAAAACTTTGTCGGGTCTACATGATGTTCATTGTTAAATCAGAATGAGTCTGAGTAATGCAACTTTCATGATTCAAATTTCAAAGCTCCCATCACTTTAATTTTAGTTGTCATGATACCCAAAAAACTATAAATTTTTATGACGGATGCTGTATAGTTACAGCTTGATGTAATGAAATGAAAGTGTCCATTAACAATATTGTTGAGTTTTATCTTTGAGATTATCAATTTTACTAATGCGATTGTTTGTTAATTGCAGGAAAGTAAATTGCACAAGAGATTTTTACCTACTGTTCGTTTCCTACTCACTGGGGGAATGATTCGCGCCTTCCTACGCAATCCACTATCACAACGGAAAGAGTTCCGGCGATTACAGAGATTCTGATGTACCGGAAACCTCGAGATCAAGCTTACAAGTAGAATAAGGTATAAGGAAGTCTCGATAAGCCTATCTTACTTCTCTCTCTCTTCAAGCTCTCTTTCTCCTCTCTGTTACTCACTCTCTCTCCTCTGCGTCAATTCTTGTTGCAGGTTGTTGGAACGGAGAAGATGACGACTTATGTAGTCGTTGACTGTCACAGCTGGACTCGCACGTGACTTCGAGCTGGTTCGTGTGACGTCTAAGTGTTGGAGTGATATTAGGCCAAGCCCATTTGGTGATTTGGTGCTGAGCCCATTTACAATCTCCACCTGTTCAGACCGAACTCCGAGAACTCCGTCACTTGACCTAACACTCTCGACTTTTCCGTTTCTCTCTCTCCGCGATAGTGGACTGATGCGGCGACTTTGAATCAGCTCGCATCCGCCGGTAAACCATGCACTCCGGCACTGGAATCATCACATGTATCTTCTCGAGGCCTATCGATCTCCGCACTACCAAAACTGACTTTCCTCTGATCTTCTCTTCACAGATACTCCACCTGGAACTGAAGAATCCCTCAGCTCCTTCACGCTTCACAGGTAACTCTAACTCTCATCAAAAACCTTGAGTTTACATTGTCTAGGTTAAGAAAATGAAACAGCTGCTAACACAAGTTTCTTTTCTTGTTTGCGAGGTACCTTTGACAATGGAGTTACCTGGAGCCTTCAAGCTTCTCAGGCGACTTTTGCAAGCTCACGGCAGAGCTCAAACTTTGGCCCAGGTAAGGCCTTAGTTAGGAAATCCGCCGGATTCTTGCTTGTGTGTATCTTGTACAACTTGACTGTGCCTTCTGCTACTATATCTCTGATGAAATGATACTTTGTAGCAATGTGCTTAGTCCTTTCGTGATAAACTGAGTTCTTAGCTAGAGCTAGTGCACTCTGTGAATCACAATGAATTTTAACTGCACCTGCATCAAAACCCAACTCACTGCATAAACCCTTTAACCATATAGCCTCTCTACTGCTGAAGATAGGGCCATGTACTCAGCTTCAGTAGTTGATAGGGCTACCATACTGTGCCTTCTGCTACTATATCTCTGATGAAATGATACTTTGTAGCAATGTGCTTAGTCCTTTCGTGATAAACTGAGTTCTTAGCTAGAGCTAGTGCACTCTGTGAATCACAATGAATTTTAACTGCACCTGCATCAAAACCCAACTCACTGCATAAACCCTTTAACCATATAGCCTCTCTTACTGCTGAAGATAGGGCCATGTACTCAGCTTCAGTAGTTGATAGGGCTACCACAGACTGTAGATTAGAACGCCATGAAACTGTATTACCCCAGACTTGAAAGATATACCCAGTCACTGACCTTCTTCTGTCAATATCCGTTGCATAGTCTGAATCGCAGAACCCCATCAATACTGAAACCTTTTCTTCTTGGTAAATGTTAGACTTGCTTTTGATGCACCCTCTTAGGTAGCGTAAAACCCATTTCACTGCTGTCCAATGACCTCTCCCTGGATTTGACATGAACCTGCTTATAACCCCAACTGCATATGCTAAGTCTGGCCTTGAACCAATCATTGCATACATCAAACTTCCCACTGCACTAGCATAGGGTGTATTCTCCATATGAACTGCTTCCTCTAATTTCTCTGCTTTAGTTAAACTTTTTAGCTTGAAATGAGTAGCAAGTGGAGTTGTTGTTGTTGTAGCATCTGTCATTCCAAAGTCTTTAACACTTTTTCGATGTAGCTTTCCTGAGATAGCTTTAGAATTCCCTTCTCTCTGTCTCTGATGATATCCATTCCCAGTATGCGTGAGGCCTTACCCATGTCTTTCATTTCGAACTTAGAGCTCAAACTGTCTTTTACCAATCTGATCTCTGACAAACTGCCTGATGCAATTAGCATATCATCCACATAGAGAAGTAAGTAGACTGCATTTTCATTCTGAATGTTGCGCATGTAGACACACTGATCATACTCGCTCTGATGAAGTTTGCTTCCTTCATAAAACTGTCAAACTTGATATTCCACTGCCTTGGTGACTGTTTTAGACCATATAGAGATTTCCTGAGTAGGCATACTTTGTTTTCATCTCCTTTCTTAATGAAACCTTCTGGTTGCTTCATTAGTATCCTTTCTTCTAAGTCACCGTGTAGAAATGCAGTCTTGACATCCATCTGTTCTAGCTCATAGTCTCTGTTAACAACCGCTGATAGCATTAGTCGAATAGAGACATGCTTAACCACAGGTGAGAAGATCTCATTGTAGTCAACACCCTCTGTCTGAGAAAACCCCTGAGCACCAACCTTGCCTTGTGCCTCTTTGCCTCAACCCCTGGAATCCCTGATTTCACTGTAAAGATCCATTTACTGCCTACAACCCTGGCATCTTCGGTTTCTCAATCAAATCCCAGGTATGATTCTTTATCAATGAAGTCATCTCATCATCTGCTGCATTATGCCATAATTTCCAATTAGGACTTTTCTTGCTTCTGTCATTGACTTAGGATTTTCCGTTTCAATGTCTTCAGCTGCAGATAGAGCATAACCCACGAAGTCGGCATCCTCATATCGTGAAGGTGGCCTGACGTTTTGACGTCTCTCACGGTCTCTTGCTAACAGGTAATCATCAATCTTGTTTAGTGTTTCAGTCTCATTTTCTTCTTCTTCCTCATTGAATATTAATCCTTCTTCTTCATCATCCGAGGTAACATCAATGGGATCAACTGAGGAAGGAGTGGTAGCTCCACCTTGAGAAGAATCCGCATCAGAAGATGAAATTTCATGACCGTCGATATCAGATGAACCCTCAGAACCAACATCAGACAAATTTTGTGCACCCAATGGAGTCGGTCCTTGTATCAGCTGAGTATCAAAGGTAACATTTTTCCTCCCAGATTTCTTCTTCTGTGTAGCCGTAGACTGATCACTAGACGTAGTCTGCTAGAACTGTTTAGATCCTTGTAAACTTCATCCTCCTTAAAAACAACATTCCTGCTAGTCGTACACTTTCCATCTTCTGGAATCCAGACCCTGTAACCCTTAACACCAAACGGATAGCCTAGGAAAGTGCCTTTTACAGCTCTAGGACTTATCTTTTCCTGAATAGTGTGAACGTAAGCTGTACACCCGAACCTTCTTAGGTGTGTGAGATCAGGCTTTTGACCAGACCACCTCTCCTCTGGTAATTGAAACTCAATTGTAGAATTAGGTGTCCTGTTTATCAGATACACAGCCGTAGATGTAGCTTCAGCCCAAAACTCTTGTCCCAATCCTGTCTCAACTAGCATACTTCTCACTTTATCCATAATGGTTCTGTTCATCCTTTCTGATACTCCGTTTTGTTGTGGGGTGTAGGTACAGGTTCGATGGCGCTTAATTCCAGACTTTCTGCACAAGTCGTCAAACAAGGTATTGCAGAATTCCAAACCATTATCTGTTCTCAAACACTTTATCTTCTTCTCAGTGTGACTTTCAACAGCTTCTTTCCATTCTTTGAACTTACTGAATGCCTCATCCTTTGTTCGCAGGAAATAAACCCAAAGCTTCTTTGAGTAATCATCGATGAAGCTGATGAAGTACTTTGCACCACCGAGACTCTCTGGAGTTGACGGTGAACCCCATAGATCCGAGTGAACGTACTCAAGGATCCCTTTAGTAGTGTGTTTGGCTTTCGGGAAGCTCTGCTTGTGAGACTTCCCCAGGACGCAGCTCTCACAGAAGCCTAGTTCTCCAATCTCCATTCGAGGTATGTAACCTTCCTTAGATAGGACTTCCATATTCTTAGAACTCATGTGACCTAGCCTTGAATGCCATAGACTAGTCAGTTGTTCTTAGGATCTATCACATTTACATCCCCTTTAGAAACTGTTCCTTGGAGAAAATAGAGGCCATCTTGTATTTTCCAGTAATCACCTTCTGACCATCTTTGAAGAACGTAACTTTGTAGTTTCTCCTGTGTAGGTACATCCTGACTTCTCCAACATACCATACGAGATGAGATTCCGACTCATATCCGGCATGTACCTGACATCCGTGAGGATCACCACAGACCCATCTGGGTTAGTAATTCGAATTTTCCAATTCCTTTTACTTCACTGTATGTGCTATTTGCCATATGCACTTTTCCTCCCTCAAATTCTGTCAAGTCAAACATTAACTCCTTGTTTGGTGTAATGTGAAAGGTACATCCGGAGTCCATAACCCACTCATCCTTGGTGTATTGAGAACTCACAGTGAGGACCAAAGGCTGCTTTATCTCTGCTACTGTGTTAACAGAGGAGCTTTCATTCTGCTTTTGTCCACGCATTGGGCATTCCCTCTTCCAATGACCCTCCTTGCCACAAATGAAACAGGTACCTTTCTTGCCATTTTTGTTTCTAGACTTAGACCTTCCTCCCTGATCCTTAGTCTTTCCCTTGTCTTTACCATCATTCCGCTTCTTAGACCTTCCTCGGTTTTCAACATAGAGTCCCTCAGCACTAGACTTTCCCTTTTTTAGCATTCCATTGTGTCTAAGCTCTGCTTCTTTTGCGTATGCAGATGATTTTAACCTCTCTAACGTGAGAGTTTCTTCCCAGTTCCATACTTAAGAGTATGAACTAGCTGCTCATACGCTGGAGGCAGACTCGTGAGGAGTTGAATGGCCTGGTCTTCATCACTGATGGTAATCTTCAAACTGGCAAGATCGGCTATAAGCTTCAGAAACGTATCCAGGTTATCTTCCAAATTCTTATTCTCATCCATGCGGAAGCTAGCAAACTGTTGCTTGAGATAAATCCGATTTGGTAATGATTTTGCCTGATACTCTTCTTCCAGGGCAAGCCACATATCTCGAGATGTTGGCGAATCCATCACTTTCCTCAAAATCACATCACTGAGGCAAGTACCAAGTAAGTTTCTCACCTTAGATCCTGTGCTGCTTTCTTTGATCTTTCCTTGGTGATGCACCTTCTTCCTGTTTCTCAGATTTAACGTAGATCGAGAAATCTTCATCAAGGACAGATGCAAGACCTTGGATCTCCAGCTGACCAAGCAGCTTGTATTTCCACATCCCGAAATCCTCTTTCCCGGTAAATTTCTCCATCTCAAATCTTCCCAGTGTAGGTTCCATAGTAGATTCACTAATAGAACACAACTACACTGATTTTGCAGATAACACAGAGAAAACCAAGAGAAAATCCAGAGAAAATCCAGAATACCAGAAAACCCGACGAGAAAATCCGATGAACACAAGAAATCCAGAAAACCTTGACCGCGAAGACTTAGATCTAACAATCAACCTTAAGAGATCAGATCTAATCAGATCCCTTCTCGGTAACAACTCCGCGATCAAATCCAGGTGAGAAAATCCTTTACCTCCTCCGCGTAATCCGCCATTAGTAATCTCATCTCCAACCTTGGAGCTCTGATACCACTTGTTGAGTTTTAATCTTTGAGATTATCAATTTTACTAATGCGATGTTTGTTAAATTGCAGGAAAGTAAATTGCACAAGAGATTTTTACCCAGTGTTCGTTTCCTACTCACTGGGGGAAGGATTCGCGCCTTCCTACGCAATCCACTATACAACAGAAAGAGTTCCGGCGATTACAGAGATTCCGATGTACCGGAAACCTCGAGATCAAGCTTACAAGTAGAATAAGGTATAAGGAAGTCTCGATAAGCCTATCTTACTTCTCTCTCTCTTATTCTCTCTCTTCAAGCTCTCTTTCTCCTCTCTGTTACTCACTCTCTCTCCTTTGCGTCAATTCTTGTTGCAGGTTGTTGGATCGGAGAAGATGACGACTTATGTAGTCGTTGACTGTCACAGCTGGATTCACACGTGACTTCGAGCTGATTCATGTGACGTCTAAGTGTTGGAGTGATATTGGGCCAAACCCATTTGGTGATTTGGTGCTGAGCCCATTTACAAATATCTTACAGTGTAATCATATAGCAAAGAAAAAAAGATAATATTAAAATGAAAAAAATTGCTCAAGTGAACGCTGAACAATAGATATATCATATACGGATACGTCACGTATCACACAAGTAATAATTGCCTTTTGTTGTCTCCTTCTCTATGTATACCACAAAGATCTGTCTAGATTTTATGGAATGATTACTATTAATCTTTCGTGGAGAAAGATATCAACTTTTTATCACATAATTAATTATTTATATTTTAAACTAGTAATGAGATAATTATTTATGTACTATCATATATGAGAACTATCATATTTGTTATACTATAGACTATATGTGAGATTTCTTTTAAAGTTTTTCTTTCTTTTTTTTTCTTTTTTCTTTTTTTTTTTCTTTTTTTTGTTTTTTATTTCAAATTTATTGAACAACTTTATGACGTACATTACAGATGGGGATGACATGCTAAAGTGTTTCTTTTATTAGATGAACTAATTAAAAATAGTAAATTATGTGACAAACATGAAACATAAATTGGTAAAGGACTTCGAATCCTCGACAAAATACCCAAAAAAAAGAGTGCGAGAAAACAAAATTGATTGTTGACATAACTTGACATATATCTTAGTAATGACGGCATCACATTACATAACTTTTAATAAAGGTCAACAACTTTTTGCAAGTTAAATTTCTATTTTGCGATTTTTTTTTTTTTAACTTGAATTTAGCTTTTGGTTAGTCAACTCTTCTAGTGACCCACCATTTTCATTAACAAAAAGCTCCGATTGGTGGTGAATAGTCAACCCAAATTAGAGAAAGTTTGATTATAAAAATATTTACATTCAGATTTTTCTTTTTATCAGTTGACATAAAACATGACAATAGATGCTTCCAGCACTACTATGTTAGTTTGGTCATTTTTGAATTAAGAATAAAAAGCATATATAGCATACGTTCCTATTTATTGATAAATAGATACTTAAAAGTTAAAAAAATCATTCCAAGTTTTGCATTTTAAATGCTATAATTAAGTCCCACCGATTATTGAATACGTCGATCTAAAACTAAAAATTCCAACTCTTTTTTTCCGCCGACCAGAAAACAAAACTTGTGTCCTTTATCCATATGAAAATGAAAATGTTTGTACTATACTTTCTCTGTTTCATAATATAGGGGTTTAAAGTTTTTATACATAGATTAAGAAACTATTTAATTTATACTTTTTGAAATAAAATATATTTTATTATAAATTTCAAAACATTTCAACCAATAACAAAATGATCTGAAGAATATAAATAATCCAAAGTAAAAAAACAAATTTAAATTTTGCCTAAAAATTCTAAAACCCGTTATATTGTGAAACAAAAAAAACTCTAAAACTCCTTATATTATAAAACAGAGGGAGTATAATATTAACTTCTTGTTTATCAATAATATTGTCCTTTCTCCTTTACCCATAGCTATTCATGCGATTCTTTATATTTGAGTAAAGTTATATGCGATCACTGATAGGATCGGCTGATGTCTACGTTTGCTGTCTACATAGATCTACATATTAATTACATCTTATATTTAAATTATATAAAACAAAAAAAAAATATTATGTTGAAACCATTTACATCAATAAATAAAACACTTACATTTGCACATAAGATAAATAGAATTATAAGATAAATAGAATTGCATAGAAATGAATCAATGTAGATAACCTTAAGCAATTTAAGTTAGAAAGCTATAAAAATATATGAGGTCTAAGGAAAAGGTCTACCACTTAATTAAATCTAAACTTTAATTTATAAAAAATATAGAAAATATTTTAATTGAGATATTGTATTCAGAAACAAGGTATAAACATTCATAATCTTTATAAAATATAATTTCATACTAATAAGTCTTTTTAAATGTGCAAAAGTTAATTAGGTTAGAAATTTATAAAATTGTCTAACAGCTGAGGTCTACCAGAAAACAGAAATCTTAAAATTTAATTATAAAATTAAAAAAAAAATTCATAAACAACTTGTATGCATAATTATTTATTAGACATTGACTTGTATTAAAAATAAAATTAAGAAAAACGAACCAAATAAAAAACTAATGAGTAAATGGTTGAAAAGAAGAAGAGTTTGAGTAGATAGTTTAGGGTTGAGATGTGTAGTTCTTAGGGTTTGGAGGATTTTATTTTGAATTATTATTTTTGCTTCATTTCTTGATATATGATTAATATACTTATTATCCAAACCCTAAATATGGTAAATCCGAATGGAAATCAATATTTTGTTAAATAATTTTTTTCAAAATTTGAGGTTTAGGGTATCGTAGACCTCAAAACGTTGCTAAAATGTTTGGCGGGATTTTGAAAATTGAAAAATCGTCTTGGCAAGAACGAAAATTTGCAACTCAATCAGACCGCGCGTGTAGACCTCCAATTAAGTCCGAGGTATAAATATAAATCTAAGCCCTAGCTTTTTTAATCCTAAGACTTCTTACTTCTGAAAATCTCTGCCGGTAATCTCTCCGCCCGCGTTCTCTGTAAACAAATACTCATAAATGGGGCGCTTTGTTGGTGTACGGAAGGTTCCAATAGCTCTGTTAGACTATGGAGTGATGACGAAGCAGAAGTGAGCTCTCATACCACTCGACCTATAAGCTTTGAAATTCCTAGTAGATGCTACTGCGGTTTGTTGACTGCGCTCAAAATGATGAACCATGCGGATGAATATCCTGGTCGGATGTTCTTCGGGTGCAAGGATTACAAGGTAATGCCGACTGTTGAGTTGTGTTTATGGTTTTTATTCCTGAGATCTAATTCACAAATACTAATTCCTTATATTCCTCATGAAGCTCGGCCCCCCTCATCTGGTGAAGTGGTGGGACGAGGCTATGATGGAGGAGTTCGAAGAAGTAAGATGTACCATGGAGAACCAGGGAGCACGCCTCACTGAAGCTCAAAATGCAGATCGTGAAGACCTTACGCGGAATGAGGCATAAATAGTTCAACTAAAGGCCCAACTTCTGGGGACTAGACGCAAGAGAAGAGTCGAGGTTAGGACGTTGGGTATGGTGGTTGGTGTACTCGTCTGTCTGATAAGTTATTCGCTATTGTGAGAAATCTTGACACCATCTTCATGTAACATTAATTGTCGAGATTGTTAATCGGAACACTATTGTAGACCTCTTTTCGGACTCTTGTAGACCTCTTTTCGGACTTTTATCGTAGACCTAAACTATGTACTATGCGCGTAGATCGCGTTTGTAGACCACATATTAATTAGCAATCAAATCTTTTAAATGGTTAATCGTAAACCATATTGTAACCACTAAACTCTAACATTGTCAACGTCAAAACCATAAATAATCAACCGTAACCGTTGAACCGGCTTTGTAACCTAAAGATAATCAAACCGGTTGAAACGGCTTTGTTTAAATCGAACCGGAAATTAACAAAATAAATCTCGTTAACCGACATAAATATTCGCATCTTCACTTCCTAAATCACATTCGTAACCCTAATTCGTGCCTCTCGCTTTGCTCCATCCCACAGGCGATTTCGTGGGCTCCGCCATCTTGAACCGCTACTAACGCTGATAAGATCTTGTTTCTCTCCCGAATCTCAGTTTTCTCTGGATATCTCGCTGAGTGTTGTGTGACCTTGTCTGACTTCTGACTTTTGCATGTGGTCATCCAATCGTCGTCTTCGATATTTCTGCCCCTTCGCCGTCGCCAACTTTGTTGTCGTAGGTTTGACAGAGTCAGTTTCCCTGGTGGTATCGTTCCGGTACGTATTGTGACCCTCCCTCCTCTGCACAATTTGTTAATTCCTTGTTATGCTACCGTAATAACCGCACAATGACTTTGATAATCTGACTCAGGTCTCGTGGAGATACAATAGTTCGACGATGTCAGAGAACAGCAGGTAATAACGCTCTACACACCCTATACTGTATAGATCTGTAAATTAGTTTAGACATCTTGTGTAGACCTCAATAGGAGACCTCAAATATAAACTTCACATTTGACCTCTATTCAATTCTCATCTATTGATCTGCATGTGGTGTGCAGGGCCTCGAAGCCAACATTCCCTAGGAGATTCTACACTAAGGGAGGAGACCCCGAACAACTGAAGAGCATTCATTACTATAGCAACAACACGAAGTTGTTCAGTACACTCAAACAACTTCTCACCGATGACGAATGGGAAGAAATCTGTGATTCTCGGGTTGGTGTCTTCCTAAGGTCTCGTGACCTTGATTTTCTCGCGGGTAGTACATGCGATGCTGTCGTTCCAGGTTGTTTGCAGGAAGAAATATGAAATATGGAGTGTGATTGGCGCAAATCCTATAATATTTTCTCTACATGAGTTCGCAGCCATTACCATACTCAATTGTGATTACGTCGAGAATCTAGAGACACCGGAAGCTGATGATACAACAAATGTGGTTGACTTTTGGGAGACACTTGGAGTTAGCGTTGAGGCAGGGGCAAGTGTGCACCAGCTGATTGAAGCATGTCAATGGGTAGGTGAGTGGCCAAGGGAGGACCGGATTAGATTGGGCTACCTAGCCATATACGCCGGATTCATTCAGGCCCGAAAATCTTCGCAAGAAACTCGTGTTAAACTAGCCAGGTTTGTCATGGACCTGGACAGGTTCCACGATTACCCGTGGGGGCGAGTTGCCTTCAAGAACCTCATCACAACTGTCAAAGGAGGCCAATACCCAACCTGAAGAACCTGCTGGACCGGTTAGTACGTCTCCTTCTCCCAAATCTCCCAAATATACTAGAAACCAAGATAAGGGTGTCTTTGATAGATTCCTCCGAGATAGGACTAAAAAGAAGAAGAAGTAAACAAGTAGACTTTTGGAGGCATGATGCATCGTTTTTAGCTATCGGAAAATTTGAACAATGTTTTTCCAACCTTTGTGTTTTTATTTTCTGTGCTTGTAAATGTAGACCTATTTTAAAGATCTAATAAAGTTTCCAAGTTTGCAATCTGATCTTAGTAATTGTACCATTTTTTCGAATAGTGTTTTCCCCAATTGCAGAAACCGCACATGTATAGTGTTATTATTTAGGTAAATGAAGACCTCCTTTTTAGTCTGTCTATAGTGTTATTATTCAGGTAAAAGCTCAAGTGTAGACCTTCTGTTTAGGTCTATCTATAGTGGTACGTGCATAGTTAATTTACGCACCGAGCTCCTCTTTATTTCTTTTCAGCACGTGGATGAGGCTATCAACGTCCTACGTCTTCGGATGCAAGAACACCCGGAATGGTTCAGAAGTGAACGCATATGCCTGGTTGACAGTGGTCTCAACTTGTTATGGCCTCCAAAGTATGAAATGTTCGTGAAGTTAGAGCCTAATGCATGGGGCTTGGGTAAGTTTTTACCACCAGACTCAATGGATTACTACTACGGGAAGAAGCCAAAGTACTGCTAATCATTCAAGAGATGGGGCCACGACGTTGACGACATATACATCCCTCTTAACGTAGATCAGACACACTGGATTGCTCTAATGGTGTCAATTCCAAGTAGGCACAACAAGGTCTGGGATAGTTTACCTTCTTGCATCGGAGATCCCCAGCTAGAGACTATGTTAGAGCCTATTGTTGTCGTGATGTCCTGCGTGATCTGGCTGATATTGAGGACCGAGAGAACTATCCGTTCGACAAATTCACTTTTGAACGGGTTAAAAGGGTCCCTCTACAAGATACTTCCGGGGACTGCGGAATATTCTGCCTCAAGTACATTGAGTGCCACACACTCGGAATACCGTTCACAAGTTTGGCTCTTTGCGGGAAGAAGATCAAGGCTATAAGGGCGAAAATGGCATGCGACATATTCCACGAGACGAAGTGTAAAGGCCCTGCCACCCGTAGTTGGGCACATTTGGATGCGTTCGATGAGCCTACATGATTTGTAAAATGTAGGGCTTTACTACTTACCTATTGCAAGGCTGATGGTGAATTTTTGGTGCCCCTCAGCCAAACGCTTTAATTGTCAACAAGCTCTTGACAAGTTTTTGGTGTATAATTCTTTTGAGATGACATTGATGTAGTTTTTTGTGTAGTCTGAAATGAGATGACATTTGATGTTGTTTTTGGTGTAGTCTGAAATGAGATGACATTTGATGTTGTTTTTGGTGTCCAACACCTTTGAAGTTACATATAGTGTACTTCACTTAATTGTTAAACATGTAGATCTCTCATGGAATCTCACATGAAACTTACGAAGACCTCTCAAGAAACCGGAAGTGTAGCACTACAAGAAATATCTACATTGTTAGCAGGAAAAATTTGCTATCATATGGATTAGATAGCGTTTTCACATATGCTATGACATCGGCAGCTATGTTAGGTGGTACCCATACAATAGCATGTTTTTAGAGTGCTACATGAGATTCAGATATAATAGCAATATTTTAAAGCTGCAAATCATCCGTTGACAACTCATATTACGTGCTATGGTAGAGCATCATACAATAGCAATCTTATTTTTGGCTATGGTGGAGCCTCATACAATAGCAATCATATTCGCTGCTATAAAACATGCCGTATAATATAGCTTTTCAGCAATGCTATGCGTAGTTTCGAGATCTACTATAATACACTAATTAGTGGCTCCTTTTTTTGCTATGAAATACGATTTGCATTTTTTTTTTGCTGTTATATGCATTTCGTAATAGAGTTTGGGTAGACATAGTCAAAGTTGATGATGCAGCAGTGTGGAAGCCATCAGATGAAATCGAGACTGTGAAAGATGCACACGGTTCATCAATTGCATGGCCCATGGATAAATTGGTCATCTATTGAGAAGGAGAAACAAAAGGTATGTTAAGTAATTACTGCATTGTTTCTGCGTTTGATTTGAAATGAGCAAGGCTTTATGGTAAACTGATGAAAGACATAACCGTTTATTGCAGGGGATGAAGCAAGTTTGGTCCAGATTAGCTAGTGTTAACTTGTTTAAGACTAGACTAATCTAAAAATTTACTTGTCTTATGTTATCTTTTCTGAATGGAATCTTCACATTTGGACTTATGTTATCTTGTTTGAATGAATCTTACATTTGATGACTTGTGTTATGTATTTGGATTCACATTTCTGTTATGAATGGTGGATTTGTATTATGCAATACATTTTATTGATGGAATACATTTTATTATGCAAGAGTTTTTATAGCTTTTAGAAAATACATATAACAGCAAAAACAAAAAGAGCAAAACTTATTTCATAGCATAAAAAAAAAGCCACGAATTAGTATATTATAGCAGATCTCTAAATTGAACAGAGCTGAAGAGCTATAGTATATGCCATTGTTTTATAGCAAGGAATATGATTGCTATTGTATGAGACTCTACCATAGCAACTAATATACTTGCTATTGTATAAGGGTCTACCACAGCACGAAATCAGAGTTGTCATCCAACGGTATGCAGCTTTCAAATAATGCTATGATATCTGAATCTATCATAGCTTTCTAAAAAAATGCTATCGTATGGGTACCACCTAACATAGCTGCCGATGTCATAGCACTTGAGAAAACGCTATCTAATACATATGATAGCAAATTTTTCGTGCTAACAATGTATATATTTCTTGTAGTGTTGACAGATAGTATGAGCAACAGTTTGCTCATATTCGTGGTTATGCTGAAGAGATACGCAAGGAGCACATGAGATCAACAGCCATTGTTGAAACCTATCAAAATTCCGATAAAGTGGATGTTTTCGATAGGTTTTATGTGTGTTTTGACAAGCTGAGGAGTAGATGGAAATCTAGTTGTAGGCCAATGCTTGGCCTAGATGGGACGTTCTTAAAGACTGGTGTGGAAGGATGCTTGTTTACTGCGCTTGATCATGGTCCTAATAATCAGATCTATCCGGTTATTTGGGCTGTGGTACAATCTGAGACTGGAGAGAATTGGACATGGTTTATGAAGTTAATCAAAACTGACTTGGGTCTTGAAGATGGCAGCGGTTGTAATACCCCTCTCGATGGCTAAGCACGTGATGGGACGGATAGTTAAAACAACCATCCCACGGAGGATCTATCCCACAAGATATAAAAATGTCCGGGATGGAGGTATCCCGCACATTTCCAAGCAGCTATGTGAAAGCTCAGAAACATGGAAATGACAGAAGAATTAAAATGAGAGATTTTAATTCTCAAGCACGACGGGAACGAAACCCTCCGATCAAGAAACGTACGAAACCCTTTGGAAAGGGAAACGTACAAAACCCTCTGCAAGAGGAAACATGGGAAGGAGCACATCATCCCAAGACCAACGGGATGTTGACACCAGCTGCTTAAAGGATAAGAGTGGTCTGGACCAATGAGAAGGCTACATTCAGCTACTGAGTAAGGACGAAGGAGTTCTAGGCCAATCACGTGGTGGCACTCAACAGCTGAGGGAAGGAGCCAATGGAAGGAGCCACTTGATCCAGGAAGATAGGATCAAGGAGGAGATGTTCATCCTCAACGGACCAATCACGTTCAGCCACCCAGCAGCTTGGGGAATGGACCAATGGGAAGGTGCCATTCGACCCAAGTGGATGGGGATGGGAGAAGCAGCTCCAGGCGTGCTTCCATGCCATTGGTTGCATGCAGAAGCAAGGTGTCGCGTTCTGAAGCTGTCAGACGCCACCTCGAGCTTCCGAGAAAACCTATATAAAGGCCCCCTTGGTCTTCACTTCCAAACCACACCAGAAACTGAAAACTAGAGAGAAACTAGAAAGAGAAAGAGAAGGGCGTGGAGAAGAAGAGGAAGAAGAAGAAAGAGGAGAAGAGAAGAAGATCCAGAGGCGGATCAGCATCGGGCTAGAGCGGGGAGGCTAGGGTCGGGGTCAGCCGGGTCGTCTAAAATCTGTGAGTTCCGGTAGCTAGGTTATAGTTTATTTCTGCTATTGGTTTTGGTTCTGTAGTATAACTCTCTAAACAATATGGTTTAGTAAAAATTGTGGAGAGTTATGTTGCAAAATTTCTGTGAATTGTTGTGAGGTTGTGGCGGGTAATCTTCTAGGAGAGAAGTTATGCCGTCAAACCTCTTGAGTGTTTGAATGCAGGTTATGCATTCGTGGTGAGGATCTGGATGGCTATGCCATCAGATCTATTTTGTGGAGGTTCTGGTTGGTAATCTTTCACGCGGGGAAAGCTCTGCTTGAGAGTAATCTTTCACGTAAGGGAGAGCTCTGCCACAGAACCGGGGGTACAGTATATTAGGGCGTAGCCCATATGCTAGTACCGGCACTTATGGTGTAACCATAAGCGGGGCCAGGTCCATATGAATGTAGTGAGACATTCATATGGAAATGCACATGAATGTAGTGAGACATTCATGTGTGGTTAGGGTGGTGTACTCAAGACATTCACGCACAACTCCTTTCATGTGCGATTGTTAGGAGGTGCCCCAGCCTATTACAACGGTGTGGGAAGAACTCGGAGAGACGGGATTGCAGCCTAGGCCGAGTTAATATCATACGACGGTATGATCCGACTAACAGTGAGGTTAGGTCGATGAGTGAGGGCCGGTCAGGTTACTGTGTGTTTCCTGGCGCGGTGCTTCGCGTGTGCGTGTAATGAGTTCCCTTGGTACACCAGTTAGAGGTTTTCACCGGTGAAGCAGTGGAGTGTAGAGTAAGGGTCAAGTACATGAGTACTTGCCTTAGTGATGTTTGCATTTTAATTGCATGTGTGATTGCTTTTAAATTGCATGTTGTGGAATATGCTATGCATATTGGATGTGCTAACTTTGATGCAGGTGGTGGCGGGGTTCTTATCCCGCGGCGTTTCTGTTTCTTTTGGGTTGGGTTTGGGGAATAACCTTTGTATAGAGGGTCCTGAACTCACTGAGTAACATTAGGTTACTCATGATGATTATTTGTGTTTCAGGAAGCTTGGAGTAGATAGCCCGTGGGCGGGAGGCAGAACACTCGAAGACCGGAGTAGTTTGCTTGGCTTTTGTTAAAAACTCGATTTCGGGTAATGTATTGTAATGTCTTTCTTTTGGGCGTTAGGCCATGCCGGCAATGTAGGATAAGGTTTTGTAAGAACATGTTTTCAATGTTTGAAATATAAAGTTATGTTTTTGCAAAACCCGGCTTACTGGAATGATATTAGCTAGTCCAAGCTAACACAACTCAAGACTAGAGGTAAAGGTTGCAAAGCCTTAACCAATGGTCGAGAGGGTCGTATTCATCAGGTTAACTGGCCTGGGCTCTGATGTGTTCTTAGACCTGGGACAGATTACTTGATGGACCTCGACAATTGTGACATATGCGGTTTAGTCTATTTATAGACCGAATCGGGGGTGTTACAGTGGTTATGTCATGATTTCTGACAGATCAAAAGTAAGAAGTATCTTGCTTTATTTTGGATTAGTATTTCGTATTTTCACTTGATATTTTCATATGTCACTTATGTGATTATTATTTTGTATGTTGTTATTACAGGGACTATTTACTGCTGTGAAAGATGTGTTGCCAAATGCAGAGCACAGAATATGTGTGAAACATATTGTGGAGAATTTGAAAGGCTTGTTAAAGATGTTGGTTTGGAAAATTTCTCGGAGCTGTAACCTAATAGATTATCGTGATAATCTCAAGAAGCTGAGAAAGTATGATCTTGATCTATATGAATCTGTGATGAACGAAGAACCACGAATTTGGTCATTGGCGTTTTACAAGCTTGGGAGCTACTGTGATAATGTTGAAAACAATTCAACTGAATCTTTCAACTCCAACATTTCAAAGGCAATAGGTAAAGCTCTCATACTTGAGACCATTAAGAGACTAGCAATGGCTAGGAATGCAAAGAGGAACAAGAAATCTGAAAGGTGGAATGGAAGATACTCTAAGTATGTGAAGCTGGTTCTTGCTGAGTTGAAGAAGAATGCAGAAAAATGTTCAGTTACTCCAGCCACACATGGACGCTACGAGGTGGATCTGTTTGGTCAGAGGCATTATGTCAACCTTAAAAACAAGACGTGCACATGTGTCAAGTGGCAAATCTCACGAATCTTGTGTGAGCATGCATATGGAGTTATCATAGATCAATGTTTTGATACAGATGACTATGGCAATGAGTGCTTCTCAACAACTAAGTGGAGAGATTGTTACAGTGATAACCTCGAACCAATGAGACGACCAAGCTTTTGGATAAACCGCAGTTCTTATAGATTGGTAACAGCTCCTCCTGAACCTGAAACTCCTGGTAGAAAGAAAAGCAAAAAGATTAGAAAGCGAGTCAAAGGGAAATTCGAGTCACCAAAGAAGAAAAAGAAAGTGGTTCAAAAACCTGGCAAGCGAGGTCGAGTTATGCATTGCTCAAAGTGTGGTGAAACTGGACACAATGCAGCAGGATGTAAGATACATCCAAAGAAGAAGATGAAGATGAAAGAAGTAGCAAGTGACCAGATAGCAATATTGTTTTTCATCTTTGTTGTTGGATTGTGTATTTAGATTGCTCATGAATTTTCTCTTGCTCTGTTTCTTATACCTTTCAGGGAACAAATTCATCTCAAGGAAGTGAAAGTGGAGCTGTAGTCTCATTCTAGGGACATGATACAATGTCACTTACGCAACCATCTCAAGTTTCTGACTGAATATGGTTTTTGTCTTGCATGAATAACTACTTCTTTTCTTCTTTTTTTTTTTAATTTTTTTTTTTTTAATTTTTTTTTTTTCTGATGACTTCTTTGTTTAGCATAAATGCTACTTGTTTTTTTTTTTTTTTTCTGATGACTTGTTTTTGGATGATTACTTGGTTTATGAATGCTATTAACGCTTATGACTGCTATCCAAGGTTGAATTTTAGTTATATGAGTGATCCAATACCAACTAATGTGCACAAATCTTTTAAATATGGAATCAAACAAAGTACATAACACAACTTCAAAGAAACGCAAAAACAAAGAACAAAACACTGATTAAAAAAAACATAAACACAAAGATTCAACCCCATAAACCAGACACTCTAACACACATTTAGCTCATGAAAAGCTTGCCACAAATTCATCTTATGATTCCTACAACCAACACTGTGACCACAGCTTTATGCATACACGTTTTAGCCATCTCTCGAGCCATCTCTTGCGCCATCTTCTTCATCGCTTCATACATCGTTTCATTAGCAATCACAACCTCTTCCTTCACTTGTTCTTCCAACTTGCGGGTCATGGTTTTCTATTGCTCCAAATTCTCCACCAATTCGTTTTTCAATTCTTGCACCTCCTGAGCAAGCTTCATATGCTTCGCATCTACTATTCTAGTCTCATCTAGCAAAGCTTCATCAATCCATTTGAAGAGATGTTCTTCCATTTGCCTCTATTAACAATCAAACAAGACCAAATTCTTCCAATTTATATAACAGTATGCTATGTGTATACTCATATACCTACTATCGTTATGAATTTACCTGCATTGTGATCTCACATCGGTAAAATCTAGGGAAAGGATTCTCTTTCGTTTGAGCAGTATATGTAACAAGCTTCCTCCCACACCAACATTTTATTGGAACGCCTTTGATTGACCTTCGGTTTGTCAGACGAGAAGAGGCAGAAGATGAAGTGCTTATTCTTGCTTGATGTCTGAAACGAGTGTCTGATGTGTGAAAGGTATGTGTAAGATATTTTTCGAGCATAACAAAATGAAGCAATGTTTGATGTCTGAAAGATTATGGCCGAAAGGTTACCTTGCTTGATGTCTGAAATGAATTAGCCCTTCACAAAATCAAAGCCAAGCAGCTTTCTCCTTTCGTTTTCCCCAAATCGATTTGGGTTGTAAGAACCCTAAATACTATTTTCCCCCAAATCGATTTCGATTTGTATTCTGAAGTTTGAGGTTTCTCGATTCGGGTTTAGGAGAAGAGAGATGGGTCGGATTTAGGTTTTAAAACGCGATGCAATTCGGGTTTAAGTGTTTAAGCCGGGCAATCACTGTTTCTAAATCGTGCTTTTCGTGTTTTACTCTCGAATTTTACGAGATGGGGGAAGCGACAGAAATCGGAAACGCAAGGTGGTGTTAGTTGGCGAAAAAAAGAATGGGTGGTTCCCGACAGAAGCGATGTAGTTTAGGGGGCTGGGAGCCGGCAGCCCTAATAGCTATCATATGATCTTGTTTTCCATAAATGTATTCCATTTAAAAAAGCAATGCAACAATCTGAATACAATCCAACACACACACATAAGTGTGAATATTCATTCAAACAAGTAAACACATAAGTCTAACTGCCAAACACATAACACAAGTCAAACTTTTAGATTAGTCTAGTCTTAAACAAGTTAAAACTAGCCAATCTGGACCAAACTTGCTTCATCCCCCTACAACAAACAGTAATGCATGTCTTTGATCAGTTTACCATATACACTTGCTCAAGAGAAAAGAGACGCATAAACAATAAACACAGACCACATAACATACCTGGTGCTGCTCAATCTCAAAAGATGACCAATTTATCCATCGGCCATGCGATTGATGAACCGTGCGCATCTTTCAGAGTTTCTATTTCATCTGATGGCTTCCAAACCGCTGCATCATCGACATTGACTATGTCCACCCAAACTCTTGCTGCATCAGACCCCAATCTAACAAAGTGTACCATTTGATCTGGGTTGATCGAATGCACACGACCTTCAGCAACAACCAGCTTCCTTCCACCAATATCCATCAGCTTGCACTTCTGATTTTCTTTGATAACCTCTGCTCCCTGTTGAAGTTGCCATGTTCTTAGTATCAACCATTTTATACACATAAAATGGTATAGACAAGCAATATTTAAACAACTCTAAAAGGCATTTACCGGATTTGTTTCTGGAGACTTTCTGACTAGCTGTTTTTGAAACTCTGGCCGCTGACTTTGAACCAGTTGCATCAGATCTAAATGACTTCTCCACAGAACGTGAATCAGTGCCCACTGATTTACCTCCCAAAGCTTGATCAGTTGAAACAGAGTTGTCAAACGGAAATTTATGCCCTGTTCCAACCTCTCCTCTGTTCTCGAAGACAACTTTGCAGGCAGGCCATGCTACAAAAGACAGTAGACAGTCCTCAAGGTATGTTCGTTTCTATCGTAGGCCTCCATATAAATGTCTCAGGCTGATGCACTTGATCAATGAACACTTTAACAGCTTTTGGCCCAAGAGGTAAACCATTAACCAATGCTTTTGAAAATTTTAGGTATAAGAAAATCAGAATTGATTTTGCGAAAAAAACACAAGGAGAAGTGGAGAAATCATTTTCTATGGCTTCCAATAAACACATGAGTCGTGATTGGATGTACAAGCATGTAGATGAAGCTACCGGAGAGTTAACGAAAGATTATAAGCAAGGGCTTACTGAATATATGTGTTTTGCTACAAATCAAGAGATTCCATTGGAGCAAGGTAAGATGTATTGTCCTTATTCTTCATGTGGTAATGAAAACATTATCATGGTGGACACTATTTGGAAGCACTTGTACACCCGGGGATTTATGCCTGGTTATTATATATGGTTTTCCCATGGAGAAGATTTTGAAAATTTAGCAAGCACTAGTAATCAAGTTGGTGAAGATGGATATCATCAATTTGATCATGATATTGATAATAGTGTTGAAAAGCAAGGAAATTTGCATGATGATCCAACTGGTACTGTGCAGATGGTGACAGATGCTTTTCGTGAAACGATAGAAACCCAAACCGACGTTGAAGAACCTAATTCAGAAGCGAAAAAGTTTTTCGATGTGCTTGATGCAGCAAAACATCCAATTTATGATGGTTGTGGAGAAGGTTAGGCCTGGGCACAGGTACTTGGTACCCACAAATTTTCAGTAGATGGAATCTGTTCAATCTGAGAAAGGAAATTCGAGACCTGATGGAGAAGAAATGGAGACAGATTGTGGTGATGAAACCAGAGCAGTTCCAACTCCAACAACCGACTGTCGAATCTAAGGTATGTGGTAGAAAAAAATCAGTTGCGTGGGATAACTTTAGGAAGATCAATACGTTTAGAGCAGAGTGTATACACTGCAATCAGGAAGTCACTTATAGATCACAGAAAAGTACAAACACTAGAACTATGTTGCATCATATGGCTAGGTGTAAGAAGTTGCATCCAGAAGCTGAAGTTGAGGTTGTTGGTAGTAAGAGATTTAGGCAAGCTACTTTGATGCATAAAGGGAAAAAGAATCAGAATCAGGAAGCTGTGCCATCGTACCTGCAGTTTAATGAAGAAGATTGCAAAATTGGTTTAGTCAGAATGATTATAAAGGATGAGATGCCTTTTAGGATTGTGAAAAGGAAGGATTTCGAGAATTTGTTTTCATTCTCCAGTCTCGCTTTAAAATTCTTCAAGAAGAACAGTCACTAGAGATGTCTTGAGTATGTTTTTTGAAGAGAAGAGAAAGCTCAAGATGGTATTTGAGAAACACAGAGGGAGTGTTTGTCTCACAACAGATACTTGGACTTCAATTCAGAACATCAACTATATGTGCTTAACAGCGCATTACGTGGATGAGAGCTGGAATCTGAAGAAGAAGATTATAAATTTCTGCCAGATTTTTAGTCACAAAGGCGAGTTAATTGGAAAAATGGTTGAGAGGTGCTTGTTGTCTTGGGGAATCACCAACGTTTTCACAATTACAGTAGACAATGCAAGTGCAAATGATGTAGGAATCAGATTCTTGAAAAGAAGACTTAGGACATGGGGTATTAGTCTTCTTGATGGTGAACATCTTCACATGAGATGTGGTGCACACATTCTGAATCTCGTTGTCAGAGATGGATTGGATGAGAATAAAGCCACCATTAGCCGAATCAGAGCTGCTGTTTGATATGTTAAATCCTCTCCAGCAAGAGAAAACAAGTTTAAAGAATGTCTTACTCACGTGAAGTTGTCTTCTACTGCTGGTGTAAGTCTCAATGTTGAGACAAGATGGAACTCAACATACTTGATGTTGGAGTCAGCTTTGATGTTGAAGAGGGGTTTTGATATGCTTGCCTTAGATGATGATAAGTATGTTATAGAACTTGGGAAGTTATAAGGTGTTCCTACTGAAGCAGATTGAGAATATGCCAAGGCGTACACACCTATTCTCAAATTCTTCTATGATGCCACACTGAAAGTTTTTGCAACTCGCTTTGTGACTGGAAATTCGTATCTGAAAGAGATCTTTGGAGTTGGTTTAATGATTAGAAAGATGGGGCTCAACAAAACTGACATTAATCAAAAAGTCATAGCTTCTAGAATGAAGGCAAAATTTGATAAATATTGGGGAGGTATGGAGAGCATGAACGTGATGATCTTTCTTGCTTGTGTTATTGATCCAAGGTACAAGCTGAAGCATGTGAGTTTCATTATCCGTGAGAGCTACGGTGGTGGTGAAAATAGCATAGCTGGCGAGTTGTTTGCTAGAGTGAAATCGGTTTTGGAGCAGATGTTTAAGCATTATGAAGCTAAGGCTTCTTATTCTCCAATGCATAACCAAGCTAAAGGAGTAAACCCAGCTTCAGAACAGGCCGAGGATGCTTATGACCTTGATTCTCTCATCGACATACATGAAGAAAGTGAAGAAAATTATAATGATCAGTCAGAACTAGAGAGCTATTTGAGTGAGCCATGTGCTTCTAGATCAGATCCCAACTTTGATATATTACTTTGGTGGAAAAGGGCAGCTTCAAGGTTTAAGATTCTTTCTCTAATGACCAGAGATCTGTTGGCTATACCTGTCTCAACTATTGCTTCTGAGTCGGCTTTTAGTACAAGTGGCCGTGTTATTGATCCTTTCCGTAGCTCTCTTACGCCAAGAACAGTTGAAGCTTTAATTTGCACCCAAGATTGGATTCGCAATGACTATGATCAGACTTCTTTGGAAGAACAACTTGAAAGTCTTGAAAGTGTAGAAGATGGTACACACTTGTTGTCTTTATCTTATTTATGATTGTTCTTTTACAAGTTTTATTTATGAACTTACATATTTTTTGTTTGTTTAACAGAGATTGTGGCTTCAAATACTTATGGAAATTTGGCTCAAGGAGTTAGCTTAACTTTGGAGGAAGAATAAAAGGTAAGAATACTTTCTGTTTCATTAGTTCTTTTAAGTTTAGAGCTTGCAATAGCTTTTTAATAGTTTTATGGTTGTTTGCTTCGAATGATTATCAATTAAGAATATAATGTAGTCACGTTCTTTATCACTTTGTTTTAGATGAATAAAAGGAGAAGAAGAACACAAGCTTCATGAGAGGAAAGAAATGATGGGTTACGGTCTTACGGATGAGAACATCAAGGAAGTTCCATGTTTCAGTTTGTTTTGTTTGTTTTTCTTTGCTACATTAAAGTATTTATGTATTATGTTTCTTTGGATGTTTGAAAACTTGGATAATTGAGTTTTTAAGAAAACTTGGATCGTTGGCTTGTTTTATTTTGAGCGGGGCAAGTCTTTTTTTTGCGGGGCAAGTCTTTTTTAGAGTATTTGCGGGTCCCAAGCCAAGGCAGGTTACTTGCGAGTCTTCGAATTTTGAGCAAGTACTTGTATAAACGGGTACTTGTATTTCACGAGGCAGGTACAAGTCGGTTTTCGGAAAAACTGAACGGGGCAAGGCAGGTCACAAATATGGCAAAAACACCAAGTACCTGCCCCGTGCCCAGCCCTAGAGATGGGGCTGAACGAGACGGGAAGAAACAAGACGGAATGGAACGAAATAAAAATTATACCCAACCCTAGTTTTATTTAATGAAACGAGACAAGAATTATGCATATCCTTTCTATTTAATTACTATATTTACACTTTGGAACACAAAAATTTAATATCTTCAAATTTTATTCTTAAGATATCAATAATAATGTATCATTTATAGCCCATTTTGTGGAGTTTTGGAGGTTGCGTCGAGCGATGCAAGGTTGTGCGTCGGTCGACGCAGCAATTGCAAATTGATTTCCGGTTCAATTTAAGTGAATTAGTTTGGGCCGGTTTAGGTGAATTAGTTTGATGTTCTTCTGATGAATGCGTTTACAATTTCTCTTGTAGAGTGGTAGCACTAGCACTGGTAATAGCAAAGGTGCAAAACAGAAGTGCATTCTACTAGATTGTAATGGCTCTAGTGAGAGAGTTGCAGTAGGGCGTGTTTCTTCCACTGATCCAGCGGAGAAGGTACATTTCGTCCCTTTAGGTTTGAATGCAACCAAGGTTTGGGTAGAAGTTTCGAAGGTTGATAACGCAAAAGTTTGGAAACCAAATTCAGATGTTACATTTGTAAGTGATGTAGTGGGAACCACAGTGGCCAAATGACAAACTTGTATTGTTGTAAGACATGTATTTCTTGTAAGACAAACTTGTGTTGAGACATATGTGTTGAACCCATGTATCCTTGTGACCTTTTATATATAACTAGGGGATATCCCGGGTTACGCCCGGGATTATTTCTGATTTATTTGTAACTATAAATTTTTTTATTTGAACATGTAAGTTGTTTATATGTTTTGGCATCCGGGTTTTTTTAAAATATTTTGTGATATAATCTTTAATTATATGAAGAATATATCTTGATGAATATTAATTCTTGAAATTTATATTCCTTTTCTTTTGTTAGAAAAAAATGAAATGTTTTAAAAAAATATTTCAGAATTATTGAAAACTACAACAATATATGTTGAAACAAACCACACTATATTAGTTTAAGATGTTGATATTATGGAAACAAACCACATTTAATTTTCAAAGCATCATACTTGTATATGTTTTTCTGTTTTCATTTGTGGAATTTGTTTGTGGAATTTGTTTGTGGAATGATGATGCAAGAGAATGTGCCTCTTCAATGTCATGGAACCAAACATGTCATATGGTTATAAATTGTCTTCATCTGTTTATTGGTTTGCTTTTTATCTAATTACTTTGGAACAAAATATAACAACCTTGTCTATTAAGTTTGATACTTGCTACTTTGATACTTATCAACCTTGTCTTCATCTTCCTAAACCCTCTTCAACAGCTGCTTTCGTGGCATTCAAAGCATATGTCACCCTGTCTTTCTTATCACCAACTTCAGCGTCACTTGCTCCTCCAATCTATACCCAAAAAGCACCAAAAGTTTACAACAAAACCAAGCTGCTGCTGTTTTTACACTACAAAAAATCTTTAACATCGACTAACCTTCAAAACTGCAACAACTCCAGAGAGCTTCGCCAACCTTTCTTGCAATTTCTCCTTGTCATAACCTGTGGTGCTCAGTTCCATTGCTGACCTTATCTGTTAATTGCAATTAGAAAAAAATAGCAACTTTACATTTTCCACTCATAACAGTACCCTTTAACAATAGAAGGATTTTCATAATCTATTGCATACAAATTCTACCAACTGATTTAATCAGGGGTAAGGAACAAAACAAACCTGCTCACATCTTTCCTCGATGGCTTTCTTGTCGCCAGCTCCATCAAGAATAATAGTGTCGTCCTTGGAGACTGTAGTTTACATACTGAGCCACCTTCGCTAAATTCATGCAAAGGTCATCTGCGATAACCTTTATCAACCTTGAATACAGGATTTTCAAGGGAACATGAATCCGAATTTACTAATGGAAGCTAAAGCATACATACTTTGAGAGCCAACTCCAACACTTTGACTTTAGAGTTAATTGTGGTGATCTTCTTCTCATGGATAACGAATAAGAGGATCATCTAGTTCCTGCAAATATCAAAACTGAACTGACTCATCAAGGATTGAAACTTATCCATCAAATGTCATGATTTTCCTTTTGACATCGAAACTAATGTCAGATTTCCCAAAAACAAAGTCGGAGAATTTTTTTTGACATGAAGTTAAAGAATCAAATCGTTATACATAATCTGCTAACGATGCCGCTTGCGTGATGCTTCCTAAATTAAGAAGAAGGCATATTTAACAAAAGGTCAAAGAAGCAAAACATCAAACTTACAGTTGGGATCAAGTTAAGCATTTTAGAAGCCAGACGCTCATCTTCTAACAATGATTTGCTATCTTCTGATACTCCTGAAGCAATAAGATCTGCGAAGGTCCAAAGAAGGAACCAAAGCTGCACAGAAAAAGAAAAATTAAGAAAAACAGAGTTGAATTTAATTTTATGCTAAATCTATCAACACAATTGTACAATAAAACCAAGAAAATAGCACCTACTCGTTATACATAAGTTTTCTTTTCCTCTGCTCCGAGGTTGGAGTTGGATCAATATTGTTTCCCTTTTGGCATATTCTTTCTGATTGATTCCATAATTCATTGACACAATTCAAAAAACTCTGATTCATAATTCTGCATATTTCCTGGAAGATAGTTTGTCATAGTAAGTTCCTGCAAGTTAAAAAACTCCAATTCAATATGTGTGTTTCACATAAACCAGCGTAAGAAAATCTAAGCAAGCGATGTCAAAAGTAATTACTACAATACGAAGATGAACAAAGGGAAAAACAAAACAGAGACATATCTATTGATAGCAACTATGCACAGTTTAGAGCCTTAGATCATGTAAACATATAAATAGCAAATAAGCACAACAATGACCACCTGGTGACCATTCTCTATTATAAATAGATCTCTGTTATGACTACATTGTACGGATGGGAAAGATATAAAATGTATTGAGACTTGAGAAAAGCAAGTTACCTCTCTGCAGCTAGTTTCGAAAGATGTTCAAAAATAGCTCCAACAGACACCTGAAAATTGGACAGCACATACGCTTTATAAAAACCAGGACGTTGTGTGTCAAAGTCTCTCTCCAGATCAAGCATCGCCTCGTGATGCCTCTATTCATATATGCCATCTTCTTCTCTTGCTCTTTGATGAGCTTCTCCCTCTCCTCCACAAACTCCTCCATGTCTTTCTCCTGAAAGACTATGAAGCTTGAAAGCTCCTCAGCTCTGCAGGACAGTCAAACCAGAATAATTTAGTTACTATTGTGTTGAAAAAAAAAAAATCGGAATATGAAAGTATGTATACCTCTTTCGGCAATCATCGTTGCTAGAGGGATTAGTGTTCTTCTTCTGCTGCTCAGCAACCTTGGCACGTTCCTGCTACTGCAACATCTCGAAATTCTCCTCCTTCGCGTCTCTCTTCTCATGTATCTGCTTGATCGAGTCCTTGAAAAACTTGTCTTGCGAATCCATCTTCAAACCACCGGTTAATCAAAAAAAGTGTATCAGTATAGGTAACACAAAATGTCAAGTTTGTGTGTTTCGAGTAAATAAAAAAACATACCTCTTCTCTGTTCTGTTCATGCTGCATCTTAGTTGTCTGTCTCACAATACGATTATCCTCTGCAGTTTTGCGCAGCATCTCGCTCAAGATCCCCAGAGATTCCTCAAGCACCTTGGCGTGCTTGTTCTGCTTCGTGACCTTGTTCTTAAACCAGTTAAGCTGCTGGTTTTCCTCTCGAACTTCAGCCTCGTTTTGACCACTTTACCATATTTTCAGCAGATAACAAATATTTTGCAGAATCTGATTCATTTTGAGCAAATTCCTTTGTTCCATCATGCAACAACTGTTCAACAACATAGAGTTTTCACTAACAATATAAATTTTCAATCTAAAGAAATCGAAAGGGCCACAGCGTTTGTAAGTATTGCATACTTTTATAGTCTGATAGACATTGGCATGTATGACTGGAACATAGCTCTTTAGTTCCCCTTCATCAAATCCCGTTTGAAACAGAAGCTTTATCTGAAAGTTACAAGATTTTGTCTCATTAAACTAACACATTCATAAACATACATATCAGTAAAGACTACAAACAATTTTTCTTTTAGACTTGCCTGCTTAAAAATTGTAGATTTTCCAGATTCTCCAGCACCTTTACAAAGATCAGTCATAAAAATTAGAGGAAATTTCAAAAGCAAAATGAATATGCGACCAGAAAAAAAGTTACACAGCAAGGAAGTGATCACTCTCCAAGTAGTTAACAAAAAAAAGTTACTCTATCAAAGATACATCAAGGCATGCCATTTGCATTTATATCATAACTCATTAACATAAGACTAATGAATCAAGTGTCCACATACCAAGTAACAGAAGCTTCCGGATATGCTTTTCAGCTTTTGCCTCTTGCTCTATCCGTCTTTCGATTTCAACAGCCTGCAGATTTATACAAAACCATCTTAACTCTATATGCCTTGAGTACCAGAACTAATGCTCAAATCGATTCAGTAGTATCAAACCTGTGCATTCTCATCAGTATCTTCTGTATGATGTCGACTTCTGCTGCAGAGTAAGCCCATGATTTTATATCTTTTATAGTCCCACAGGTCGCATGGAAGTCGAAAAACCAAGACACTTCAGTTTCTTGCTACAGTTTCGTCTCATGAGGACAATGCCTACCTACTTAATCAAACAAACATGTTCAAAGAATGCAAGTAAAAAGCACAAAACACAACATTTCTTTGATTATATAAGCTCTTAAATAAGTTCAGTATCATACTATTGATCATATCCTTTCGGAAAATGAGCTCTCAAATTCAATTAGCTAACTATAAGAAAAAATTCCAACAGAGTCAAAATGTGATAACTAATCGAGTCACACACTTCCAACTATAATCAGATGAAGAAATTTAACATTTCCAGATCCAATATAAACGACAGAATTATCATAATTCCAACTTGTGACCAACAAAACTCTAAATCCCGATATCAAGAGTTAGTAAACATAAATCGAACTTGTGAGAGAGAGAACCTTGACAGTGTTGATTTAACACGGCCAGATCTTGCCTGGTTGCCAGGAAGCCAAATAGTTGGCGAACACCTCCAGAAATTCAGCTCCGCTTACGGTCTCAGGCGTCTCTTCCTAAACCTTTGTCTCGCGCCATGTCTTTCTGGTACAATACGATTCCTTTCTAGATCTACTCACGGCGAATCGTGATGTTGCATTTGATTCTCTCTGCGTACTCATCGATTTGCCTCGATTTCTTTCTTTCTCAACAGAGATGAAATACAAAGAAGCGAATAACGAAAGTAGGGAGAAGATGCAACGCAATATGCCAATATATATGATGAATTGAATCGCTGATTAAATGTGTAACAGAGGAGACCAAGAATTTAGAAGAAGAAGAGCGATCATCAGGAAAAAGTAAGTTTTCTTTTCTTTTTTCTTAAAAAATACCATGTGGCATTCAAAGGAAGAATCTCTGAGGTGCTCTGAGAGGCCCCAATTAGTTGCTATCATTTAGTAAAGATTCACTACTTTTTAATATTGTTACTACGTTTTAGATCTTCTGCATTAGCAATTTAGGTGCAAAAAGTTCGTATACAAATCAGGTGAAAAAGCTTCCATATATGCTTTACAATTACGTTTCTACAAATGCTGTAGTTATAGTTAGGCAAACAATTACAATTTTGAAATGCTATCATAAATCTAATACTAACAGTTCGAAAACGCTTTAAAAAATATTATTAATTACACTTTACAAACGTTATTATAGACTATTTAATAGCGGTTAAAAAGCTGCTATTATTAACAACAATATGATAGCAGTGCCAAAAAGCGCTATCTAAAGTCTCATACCTACAATGACGGGCGATGATAAAGCGCTTATCAAAACGCTATCGTATTATTATATAGCGTTTTTCGGATGCTAATTATATCACAATTTCCTGTAGTGAGAAAGCCCTAGTTCGTGAAATAAAAGTTAGGAGCTGCCTCATTTTTGTGATTTTCGTGGGTGAACAGTAACAGAGAAGAAGGAGAGGCAATTTGGAGAGATTTTGGAGTTTTTGGGTCAGATCCGAGTGCCGTTCATCGTTGTTCATCACCATTGCTCTTTTCCCTTTTCAATCCCTTTTCAAGGTGAGTGCATGACTGTAGGTCCGCAAAATCACTAGATCCATATTGATTGAATGTTGATTTTGAGGTGTTCTTATGATATGAAGTTTATGTGATGATGTTTGGGTGATTTTTGTGTTAATTATGTGTTTCTGCGTGATTTGTTGATATCTCTTTCGACCTGACAGACGTGCGTCGGGCGATGCAAAGTGGTCTGCGTCGGGCAACGCAAAACGTGCATGGGTCGACGCAAGCCGGTACGGTCTGGTCCAATTGAAATCAATTTTGGTTTAAATCAATTTAATTTATGGTTTAATCTGGTTATATGGTTATTTCGGAATTAATTAATTAAATGGTTTAAAATAATGATTTAAATTATTTTAAATATGAAAAATTATTATTTAATTATGAGAATTATTTAATAATTGAAAAATGAAACTTAAAAATTATTGAGAATTATTAATAATATTATTTAATTGCTAGTAATTGCCTAAATGACATGTAGGCAGGGTGATTGTCTCACTAAATATTTATTAAATACTTACGCAACTCCATTCCAATGTGTTGCAGGTGAAAGAGTATTGTCAATTTACTTATAAATTATGTGACAAACAAAAAACTCTCGTTCTCTTTAACAAAAAAAAAAAACAAATTATGTGACAAAATTAGGGACATTCTATAATTGACAACTAGATAACCAATAACGGCGTTGGACCATGGCCTATGAATCGAACACGTCCTGAATGTTCATGACCAAAATTTTTTTGCAATAGCTTCATCACTTGTTGTTTGACCTGTAATTTCTTTAAGTGTCTCCTATATGTAGACAAACAAAGCAGCAAAAAAACCAAAGGTACTTCAGATCACAAAGAATCCGAGAAAAAAAAGCAGAGTCACTTCAGATCATAGAATCTAAGATGACTAAACCTTTCCATAAGAACCAGAGGACACATCAACTTTCCAAACACAAGACACATCAACTTTCCAAACACAGAACTTTGAAAGTAAAGAACTAACCGCACAGATATTTTCTTCCTCGCAAATCATAGTTCCATCTGATCTCGTACGTGATGCAATAAAGATTTCACTTCGACTTGGTTCAACACCGCTCTGTTCTTCCTGAAACAGATATATAAAGATCGATTTTTCTATCAATACATTACGATTTTCTATCATTACATTACTCACATTACTTATAACAAAACTTACCAACTCTTGAGCTTTCCTTGCTATACTCTTTTTTCCTAGAGCATGTGGTATCTTTAAGTTCCTTCGATTCTTAATATTACGCTCTCGTACTTTATGTAGTAAAACAAAACAAGATTTAACAATCATAAAACATGGAATCTTTTAACAAAACTATCTGTGTATATGAAATGAAATGAAATCTATTAATTTTGTTGGACAATATTTACCTTGGCTCTATTTGTAAACTAAGCGTGAACAAAATCTATCCACTGGTCTTCTGGAATCAATGCTGGTCGTTTTTCAAGTGTTCTCTTATCGTATTTCTTCTATCTTTTTTCCACCGCTTCAAGTCTTTACATCTCGCTCCTAAAGTTGATATCACATATTTTCTCCTTTTAATAGGATTATCAAACCAAAACTTTTTCTGTATTCAAATAAAACCATTATTAGTTAAAATACAGACTGAATGAAAACCTCATAAAGAAAATTGTTAACTTGAATACCTGAATCACTTTCCAGGCCATATCCTTCCTGTATGCAGCAATTTTCCTCCAATCAGTGTAGTTAACTGGTAAGATGTTTAGATCGTAGCTCAAGGAACCTAACCAGGAACCTAATAATCCTCCTGAATCCTTTATAGGTTGTCCTCTCCTATTATAATCAACCATAACTCGACGATTTTTCATACTCCAAACTTGCTTTCCAGAAATATTTTCTTCTGTAATCTTTCCATCATCATCTACAACCATAACCATGTCAATTTTAAGAACATCTCATATCCATAGATAAATGAAGCATAATTCAATCATTTTTACCTATAACATGAACCTTCCATTTTTCACACGCTAATTCTTGTCCGAGAAGAGGTGGAGAAGAGACATCTTCATTCTGTTGAGACATGATTACACCTAAAATGAAAATGAAACATTCATGAGAGTAAATAAAATATTCACGGATGATACTCACTAATTACCAACATACAAAGAAACATTCAAGACACACAAACACACAATCAAGTATCATACAAAACACTCGGATCTAATAAAATACCTCCATATTAGAATCTAAAACACTCGGATCATCAAGATTCTCAACCTGTCTCACTAGTGTAATATTAGGAATATTATCACTAATCAACAATGTATTTCGAGCAGGAGAATATTCAATATTTTGAGATACATCACTTGAAGCCTCAGGATCACCCATATCATAAAAGTCTCTTGGTTGGACCTATACTACAACACTCCATCCTTCTTCTTGTGGATCATCAACATAATATACCAATCTTGTCTGAGCTGCTAGAAAGACGTTTTACAGCAATTTCTTTCCCATCTTGTAGCTTTCCCTGAAACATATTACATAAGGTCATCTCGAGAGCATAAACAACAAAGTGTAGATAAGATCAAAAAGGGTTTTATTAATCTGACCTTAAAAACAGAACCAAATCCACCTTGTCCGAGTTTATTTGAGTGACTGAAATAATTTGTGGCAGTTTCAATAGTATTCATCTCAAAGAAACATAAACTTGAGAAATCTTGCGGTGTAAGATCATTTCTCCATGCATCTTGTGAAGCATCCTTTGATATATTGGCTGAAACAATGCCATCAGTGTATTACCGTTAGCAAGAGACCGATTGATAGACATTAAGATCATGCATATTACCATTATGTTTGACTCTGTATCTCCAGAAACAAAACCCAGCAGACCCCAAAATCACAAAAAGGGAAAGGCTGACAATACTAGCAGTAATAGTCTTCTTGCGCTTGTTTCCACCTGAGACATATCAGACCATAAACAAATTAGACAACAAGCCATGCTTTGAAGATATGAAGTTGTAAATGACGAAGATGCTCTTTGATGTAAAGGCAAACCCATTTCAGAGCGTGCAAGACGGATGGAAATAAGTTCTCCTCTTGCAGAAAACTGCACAGCATCCATCAGCTCCTGGTTCCACACTAAACACCCTATTCCATGAATATAAGCAAAGGCCAAGCAAGAACAATTGTGAACGCAACTTTGGTAGCAATCTTCAGCAGTCTCAGAAGTTGCTGCAAACTCGTAAAAGTCTGGAGGCTTTACGTTGGCAACAGCATGGAAGACGTTTGCATCTTCGCTAGTAGAGTTTCCCTGACATAGTAGTTCCGTGCGTCTCACACAACCACCAGTCCAGTTTCCTCTTCTCCACTCTTCACTGTATTTTGGTATAAACCCTTTGAAGCATTTACATTTTGACATCACACACAACCCAAAAGGTCCACATACACCGTAATGATCACATAAGTTCACTGGAGCCTCAAAGTATAACTCCCATTCAGTCCCATTATACAGAGGAATCTTCAGTGAGCCCTCTGATGTTATCACTATACGAGGAAGTTTGAAGTTTCTGTGAAGAAAAGTGAAGGATCCTGACCCGTTTGCATCCTGCTGAAGGCTGAACGGACTTGTGTATGTTTCATCCATTTCCGGTATCCCAGTGAACCTTGTTTTAGCCCAAGGACCGCTTCTCCAGTAAGGCGTCGAGTCTCTCATAGTAAACGCCTGTGATGGCACTTGCGGTGAAATCTGAACCACAAAGTCTCCAGGCGATGGATCAGTGTCACTTTTCCAAGAAGTCAACACACGCTTCTCACCGGTGGCGAGATTGTAAATCAGAGTTGACAAAGGCAGCATAGTGTCACCAAGATGCTCAAAGCTTTGCCATAGAGTTCTTCCTGAAACTTTGTCTATGACAACAAGATTTCCGATGTCTGAAAGCTCTGCACGAGACCCATTAGATGCAAAAGTCTCTCCGATAGACCAGAGGGGGTCATGTTGGCCATTGAATAAGATAAGAGTTCCATTGCTGGTGATAGCTAGATTTGCCGTGGAGTCTGTAACAGGGTTTTCTCTATTTGCCACCCACAAAACCACCCGGGGAGTGATACCCTTGAACCAGATTCCGACATAGAGATTCTGAGAGTTATTAGGACTGAAGAACCCCAATTCATAAATCTCATTAGGGGAGCTGAGAGTTTGTCCTACTGACAAAGAACTTGTTGGTGTTATTGCTGCATAGCTTAAGCTTAAGAGCATGGCAAACAAGAACAAGTAAGCAAACCTTGTCATCACCATGTGCCTTCTTGTGTCTCCAAGAACGATCTCCTTCGGATTAGTCAATAAGAGCCAGGAAAAGAAACTCAGGGAACTTGTGAGACTGTTCTGAATCACCTATAAACAATGTTGACCAATGACCACATCGTACTTATGTTCCAAAATTCTGCCTTACTTTATTCAGGATCAACTTAAGCCCTGATTAAATAATACACAAAGTCATTGTCAAGAAGAAGTCTCACCTGTTACCCAATCAGCAACGTTTGACCTCATTATATTGCAACATTGTCGTTTTCATGTTTTTTTTTTCAGCCTCGCTAAGTCCAGAACAAGTGAAAGACATACTCTGCATCAAATGAAAGATGAAAACTGCAAAAGATGATTGTAAATGAAAGATATATCTGCATCAATGGAAAGATGATTACATTAATGTATCAGAACACATGCACAGAGACCAATACTACACATGCAAGTATGAGTTTAACTGCTTCTGTGCAAAATAGCCGATTTCAACATTTGTTTGTCCGTTAAGCTTTTTAACAGAAACAAAACACTACTTCAAGAACCTTTATTGAAGAAATGAATAAATGTCTGAAGACTTGAAGTTATCAACATTGCAAAGTTGACCACCTTCAACTTACAGGACTACAAATGACCAATCAATACACTTCAATTCTGTGGTTGCTCTCTCAAGCATCGTTTCTTAACGCCCTTGGATCACAGACTGTGTCATGTCATTGACGGTGATCAAACCCAGGGATTCTTCATCTCTCGTGTGCACTACGAATGTGGGTTGTTTTGGCGAAGGAAGATCTGATTTTGTGGTGAGCATAGATAGCAACTCAAGTGTGTTGGGTCTGTCTGCAGGTTGGTGTTGAACACAGAGCAAGCCGATCTGAACACACCTTCCAACTTCAGACTGGTGACATGAATCAGCAAGATCTTGATGCAAAAGACCAACTCCTCCATCTTCAGACCAAGATTCCCACGCCTGATGTTTAGTTTCAAAGTTTAAGAGCATATGAGCAAGAAACGTTTTGAAATATATGCATATGCAAGAAGAGTATGAAACCCTAAAGTCTTACTCACATATGCAAGAAGGGTTTTCTCTTCATTGCCATAGCTGAATCTTGAGATCTTCTCCCCGCTGATGATTTCTAAGAGAAGAACTCCGAAGCTGTAGATGTCAGATTTCTCAGAGAACATCCCTGTCCATGCATACTCAGGAAACATATATCCTCTGTCCAAACATCAAAAAGTTTCATCCAAGCTTAATATATGATTATGAAAATAAATCTTGTTGTTGAGCAATAAGCATGTTTTTGATAGTAGATTCTTACAGCGTTCCTACAACCCTGCGAGTGTTGTCCTGATATTCAGTTCCTTGATACATCCGAGCCAGTCCAAAATCTGATATTTTTGGGTTCATTTTCTCATCCAGAAGAATATTGCTAACCTTCAGATCTCGGTGAATGACCTTAAGGCATGAGTCACGGTGGAGATAGTGAAGTCCACGCGCAATGCCTTGAATGATATCAAATCTCTTAGTCCAATCAAGCTCAAGCCTTTTCGTTGAATCTAAGCAATAAAACTCTATCAGGCAAACAGTTTGACGTACATAAAAAGCTAATGATAGTTAAAGAAGGAATGCAAGAAGGGACCAACCAAAGAGAAAAGTGTCAAGGCTTTTGTTAACCATAAACTCATAAACTAATAGCCTCTCTTCTCCTTCAATGCAACATCCCAAAATCCGAACTAAGTTTTTGTGTTGTAGTTTTGAGATGAGTACCATTTCATTCATGAACTCTTCTTTGCCCTGCCCCGAGCTGCTAGAAAGACGTTTTACAGCAATCTCTTTCCCATCTTCCAGTTTTCCCTGAAACAGATTGCAAAAGGTCACACTAGAACGTAAACGTAGAATACATAAGAGCAGAGAGGATTGAAAATTCTCCGACCTTGTAAACTGAGCCAAATCCACCTTGTCCTAGTTTATTTGAGAGGCTGAAATCATTGGTGGCAGTTTGAATGGTATGCATCTCAAAGACATCTTGTGGTCCCAAATCATTTCTCCATTCATCTTTTGAAGCAGTCTTTGATATAGCTGAATAGATAATAAGGTAATAAGTGTGTTACCATTAGCAAGCAAATGAATACACAAACAACCAAAGAAATAGACTGAGAGATTGTGAGATCATCAGTGTGTACCATTATGTTTCACTCTGTATCTCCAGAAACCAAACGCAGCAGATCCCAATATCACAAAAAGAGAAAGGCTCACAACACTAGCAGCAATGGTCTTGTTGCGCTCATTTCCACCTGAGATACATAACCCGGAAACAAACTAAACAACAAGCAAAAAGAACAGTATCAATGGAGTTGAATATAAACAATAACCTATACCTAGTTCAGAGCGAGCAAGACGAATGGAAAGAAGCTCTCCTCCCTTAGAGAATTGCGCTACATCCAATAGCTCACGGCTCCAGATTAAGCACCCTATTCCACGTATATAAGCAAAGGCCAAGCAAGAACAATTTTGGAGGCAACTTCGGTAGCAGTCTTCAGCATCCACAGAAGCTGCAAATTGATAAAAGTCTGGAGGCTTTACGTTGGCAACTGCATGGAAGATGTTTACATCTTTGCCAGTAGAGTTTCCTTGACAATGTAGTTCGGTGCGTCTCACACAACCATCAGTCCAGTTTCCTCTTTCCCACTTCTCAGCGTGTTTTGGCACAAACCCTTTGAAGCATTTACACTTTGGTGATGATGCTGACCTAACACACAAACCAAAAGGTCCACATACACCGTAAGAATCGCATGAATTGGCTGGAGACCCATAGGTTTCTTCCCAGTCAGTCCCACTATGCTGAAACCTCTTCAATATGCCCTCTGAGGTTAAAACTAAGCATGAAAGTTTTGAGTTTCTGTTTATATAAGAGAAAGACCCTGACCCGTTTGCATCCTGCTGAAAGCTAAATGGACTTGTTAATGTTTCATCCATTCCCGGTATCCCTGTGAACCTTGTTTTAGCCCATGGACCGGTTCTAAAATAAGGCGTCGAGCCTCTCATAGTAAACGCCTGTGATGGCACTTGCGGTGTAATCTGAACCACAAGGTCGCCAGGCGATGGATCAGTGTCACTTTTCCAAGAGGTCAACACACGCTTCTCACCGGCGGCAAGATTGTAAGTCAGGCTTGACAAAGGGAGCATAGTATCACCAAGATGCTCAAAGCTTTGCCATAGAGATCTTCCTGAGACGTTGTCTATGACAACAAGATTTCCGAGTTCTGAAAGCTCTGCATGAGACCCGTTAAATGCAGAAGTTTCTCCGGCGGACCACACAATGCCACGTTTTCCATCCAATAAGAGAAGACTTCCATTGCTGCTGATAGTTAGATTTGCCTTGGGGTCTGTAACAGGGGTTTCTCTATTGGCCACCCACACAACCGTCCGGGGAGTGATACCCTTGAACCAGATTCCAACATACAGATTCCGCGAGTTATTAGGACTGAAGAAGCCCAATTCATAAACTCCATTAGAGGAGCTGAGAGTTTGTTCTATTGACAAAGGACTCTCTGTTGTTATCCCTGCAAAGATACAATTAAAAAAGATGGTAATTAAGAGCAATGAAGCAAAGAAAACGATCCTCTTCTTCCCCATGTGTTGTTCTCTCTCCAATAACTATCTTTCTTCAGGTTTATTTGAAGAAGCAAGCATATAACAATAGCAAGTAAGCCAAGAAAACAAAACACAGGGACTTTTGAGAAGTATATTCAAACTTCTAACCAAGACCACACCACACTAGTGTTCCAAAACTATGCATTACTATATTCATGATCAGCCTAACCCTTATTTAGTAACACAAAAACATATCAATACTTAGGTAATTGCCACGAAACAGTCAAGATTTTACCCGAATTAATTATGCAACATTGTCATCTTCATGTCTTTATCAGCTTGTTGAGCCAAGAGCCGATGAAAGATAGGTGCATGCATCAATCGAAAGATGAGAAAACTCACAGTTTGACCTCAAGAATCCAACATTTGACCTCGTCAACTACGCATCGATTGACCTCAGACTAACATATCGTATTATTTCCTTGTCATCTACAATTAAAAAAATGACTAAGTGAATAGTATTAACCATTAAGATCGTTCTTAGTGGGTTTTGAAATTCTTCTTTCACCCTTATAACTTTCTAGAACTAAGACTAGAGCCGTGAGAGAAATTAATGATCTACATACCATTTTCTGATTTGCAAGGTGGTCTCCTTCTTCTCTCCAGGTGAATAAGAGCGCAGCTTTTGAAACCTTCAATTTCATTCAGGCATTTCACCGAACACTTACAGCGCGTAATCCAAACGTCCGAGGACATACCGTTAAAGCTTGGCAGAGGTCGCTGGACAGATACTATCTGGGCTTTAGTGATTATGCCAAATATAGCGCACTTGAACAATCATCATTGTTGTGACACTATGTTAGACTTCAGACAACTCAAAACTGAATTAACTATAAACAATGTTGACCATTGCACTTATGTTCCAAAATTCTGCATTACTTTATTCAGGATCAACTTAAGCCTGACTAAATAATACACAAAGTCATTGTCAAGAAGAAGTCTCACCTGTTACCCGACCTCATTATATAGCAACATTGTCGTCTTCTTGTCCTTTTTAGCCTCGCTAAGTCCAGAACAAGTGAGAGACATACTCTGCATCAATTAAAAGATATCATGTCGTTTCTATTTCTTTGTCAGCTTTTCTCAGAACTTGTGAAAGAAAGATCATATGCATCAACGGAAAGATAATTATATTAATCAATCAGAACACATGCACATACCGTTCAGAGACCGATACTACACATGTAAGTGCTTCAGTACAAAATAGCTGATTTCAACAGTTGGTAAAACGGTACTCAACAACTTTTAGTCTTTTAAGCTTTTAACAGAAACAAAACACTACTTCACGAACCTCTCTTATCAAATGTATTAAGAAATATGAATAAATGTTGGAAGACTTGAAGTTATCAACAATGCAAATTTGTTCACTTTAACTTACAGGACTACAAATGAACAATCCACACGCTTGAATTCTACAAGTACTCCATCGAGCATCGTTTCTTAGCGCCCTTCGATCACAGATTGTGTAATCTCATTGACGGTGATCAAACCCTGGGATTCTTCAACTCTCGTGTGCACTACAAATGTGGGTTGTTTTGGCGAAGGAAGATCTGATTTTGTGGTGAGCATAGACAGCAACTCAAGTGTGTTGGGTCTGTCTGCAGGTTGGTGTTGAACACAAAGCAAGCCAATCTGAACACACCTTCCAACTTCAGATTGGTGACATGAATCAGCAAGATCTTGATGCAAAAGACCAACTCCTCCATTTTCAGACCAAGATTCCCACGCCTGATGTTTAGTTTTCAAAGTTTAAGAACATATGAGCAAGAAACGTTGTGAAATATATGCATATGCAAACCCCTAAAGTCTTACTCACATATGCAAGAAGTGTTTTCTCTTCTTTCCCATAGCTGAATCTTGAGATCTTCTCCCCGCTGATGATTTCTAAAAGTAGAACTCCGAAGCTGTAAGTGTCACATTTCTCAGAGAACATCCCAGTCCATGCATACTCAGGAGACATATATCCTCTGTGCAAACATGGAAAAGTTCCACCCAAACTTAATATGAATCTTGTTTGTAAGCAGGTTATTAGAGATAGATCCTTACAGAGTTCCTACAACCCTGCGAGTCTTGTCCTGATATTCAGTTCCTTGATACATCCGAGCCAATCCGAAATCTGATATTTTTGGGTTCATTTTCTCATCTAGAAGAATATTGCTAACCTTCAGATCTCGGTGAATGACCTTGAGGTGTGAGTCACGGTGGAGATAGAGAAGCCCACGCGCAATGCCTTGAATGATATTCAATCTCTTTGGCCAATCAAGCTCAAGTCTTTTTGTTGTATCTAAACAATAATACCGTGTAAAATGTCAGGAAACTGTGGTACACAGAGAGAAAAACTGTTTAATGAGATTTCAACGAGGCAGAAGGGACCAACCAAAGAGAAAGGTATCAAGGCTTTTGTTTAACATGAACTCATAAACTAATAGCCTCTCTTCTCCTTCAATGCAACATCCCAAAATCCGAACTAAGTTTTTGTGTTGTAGTTTTGAGATGAGTACTATTTCATTGGTGAACTCCTCTTTGCCCTGCCCCGAGCTGCTAGAAAGCCGTTTTACAGCAATTTCTTTCCCATCTTGCAGCTTTCCCTGAAACAGATTGCAAAAGGTCATCCCGAGTACATAAAAAGAGAATACACATGAGCAACGAGGATTGAAATTCTCAAACCTTGTAAACTGAGCCAAATCCACCTTGTCCGAGTTTATTTGAGAGGCTGAAATTATTGGTGGCAGTTTGAATTGTATGCATATCAAAGAAGTATAAACCTGAGACATCTTGTGGTTCCATATCATTTCTCCATGCAAGTTTTGAAGCATTCTTTGATATATTAGCTGAAAACAATGTGTTGCCATTATCAGTTTCAAGAATAGATAATAAGGTAATCATTGTGTTACCATTAACAACAAGAAATAGTAATATCATCAATGTGTACCGTTATGTTTCACTCTGTATCTCCAGACACCAAACGCAGCCGAAACCAATATCACAAGAAGAGAAAGGCTCGCAACGCTAGCAGCAATGGTCTTGTTGCGCTCATTACCATCTGAGACACATAAGACGGAGAAAATTTAAACATTAAGCAATGCTACTACCAGAAAAAAAGTATCAAATGGACCTGAAGATAAAGTTATATAATGTTATTTTATGCACCCATACCTAGTTCAGAGCGTGCAAGACGAATGGAAAGAATCTCTCCTCCTTTAGTAAACTGCATTACATCCATTAGCTCCTGATTCCAGATTAAGCACCCTATTCCGCGGATATAAGCAAAGGCCAAGCAAGAACAATTTTGGAGGCAGCCTCGGTAGCAATCTTCAGCGTTTCCAGAACTTGCCACAAATTCATAAAAGTCTGGAGGCTTTATGTTGGCAACTGCATGGAAGACGTTTGCATCTTCACTAGTAGAGTCTCCCTGACATAGCAATTCCGTATGCCTCACACAACCATCAGTCCAGTTTCCTCTTTTCCACTTTTCAAAGTCTCTTGGCACAAACCCTTTGAAGCATTTACATTTTGGAGATGCTGACACAACACACAGTCCAAAAGGTCCACATACACCGTAGAAATCGCATGAATTGGCTGGAGCCTTAGTGATTACTTCCCAATCTGTCCCACTATGATGATAGCTGTTCGCTGATCCCTCTGATGTTATCATTATCCGTGCACGTTTGAAGTTTTCGCGTAAGTAATTGAAGGACACTGACCCGTTTGCGTCCTGCTCAAGGCTGAATGGACTTGTATACGTTTCATCCATCTGCGGTATCCCAGTGAACCTTGTTTTAGCCCATGGACCGCTTCTCCAGTAAGGCGTCGAGCCTCTCATAGTAACCGCCTGTGATGGCACTTGAGGTGTAATCTGAAGCACAAAGTCGCCAGGCGATGGATCAGTGTAACTTCTCCAACAAGTCAACACACGCTTCTTACTAGCGTCGAGGTTATACGTCATGCTTGAGTACGGTAGCATAGTGTCACCAGGATGCTCAAAGCTTTCCCACACAATCCTTCCCGAGACATTGTCTTTGACGATAAGATTTCCAGTGTCTAAAAGCTCTGCACGAGACCCGTTGGATGCGAAAGTCTCTCCAATGGACCACACAGCGCCATGTTTCCCATTAAGTAAGAGAAGGCTTCCATTTCTGCTGATGGTGAGTCTTGCCGTGGGGTCTGTGACAGGGCTTTCTCTGTTGGCCACCCACACAACCGTCCGGGGAGTGATATCCTTGAACCAGATTCCCACGTACTGATTCTGAGAGTTATTAGGACTGAAGAAGCCCAGTTCATAAACTCCATTAGAGGAGCTGAGAGTTTGTCCTATTGACAAAGGACTCTCTGTCGATATCTCTGCAAAGCAAGAATTTAAGAAGATTGTTAATAAGAGCAGTGAAGCAAAGTAAACAATCCTCTTCTTCCCCATGTGCCAATAACTATCTTTCTTGAGATGAGTTTAAGAAAGAAAAAAAGCAAAGAAAGCCAAGAAAACAAAACAACTATAAAGAATTCAACCTTAAATTAATAATACAAAAAAAAATTCAGAATTTCACCAAATCAACTACGCAAAATTGTCATTTACATGTCTCTGTTTAGCTTGATGGGCCTAGAACCAATGAGAGATAGACACCTATACTGTACAGTCTCTACATCAATCGAAAGATGAGAAATTTCACAGTTTGACATAAAAAAGTCCCAACATTTTGACTTTGTCAACCACGCACTGATTGATTCTCATATTGAAATATCATGTTTCAGACTAAAAGAAAAGAACCCGTGAGAGATGCATACCTTTTTATGATTTTCAAGTTAGTCTCCTTCTCTCCTGGTAAACTTTTGGAAACCTTAAGTCTCTCTCAGGCATTTCATCGAACACTTACAGTGCGTAATCCAAACGTCTGAAGACATACCGTTTAAGGCTTCGCAGAAGTCGCTGAAACGACACTGTAGCATGAAAGTATGGCCGACGTAATCTGGGATTAATTGATTCTGC